CATGCAGGCGAGGTCAACAAAGCAGTGGTGGTTCGATTTGGGGATATATAGATTTTGGAGAGGAAGAGAGATGATGATTGGTTTTGGGAATTTTCGGGTTTCAAGGAATTGGGGGTTTCGAGGAATTGGGGTTTTCTTTTGTGTGGTGGAATTTGTGGAGTGTGTTATGCGATTTGCAGCCACTGGACCCTGGCTGAGGGTGTTGATCTTGAGACTGGAATCACCGGGCTGCATGCCATACAACGGCGGGAGTTGATGTTTTTCTGAAGTTTTTGAAGTTTTCAATTCTTTGGACTTTTTGGCTGAAACTCGTTCAGAGGGCCCTTAGCAGACAACTCCGGTGTAAATGCAATCGAGTGGTTTGGTGAGGTCTGGCTCTGTGATATCGGTCAACACTATCATCAGAAAATTTCACAGTTTTAAGAATTCAATTGTTCAGAAAAGGGCCACTTTTGCCTACTCCAAGGACTTAAATGGTCTAAGTATGGCATTATGTGATCCTAGACCTTGATCAATGTGAGTACCAGATGCTATACATTGTATTGTAAGTCCGCTCTAGACTAACAAGGCTAAAGCTTAATCTTGAAGAGTATTTCTATAGGCCAGGATATAGTAAACCCGCCATTCCATAGTCTATGGTGCTATATAATCTCATAACCTCAGCCCATATTGGTAGGTACCCTCGAAGCAGAATGTATGTGATTTTCATTGCATCGAGTATTCAATACATCAAACGGTATAGCATTGGAGAGTTTTGAATTCAAGCAGGTAAGGTATCGCTGTTTACTGCAACTGTGCGTTCGAAACAGAATATGACTTCGCTGGAACTAATAAATCCTTTTAAATCTTACTTACCGGCAGAAGAAATGAGTTCAAAAATACCATAGGACCATACTGGACTATCATAAAGGCTCGCCACCAGCAGTATAGGTTGATGAGCACCACCACTTACCAACAATATGGTAACACCAAAAGAACCAACAGAAAATTACCTCCTCTCCAAATCCAATTAATCTACATTTTGTAAAAAATAAAAATATTATTGCATCCCCGACGACCCTGGCGTTTCACCACCAACGGAGTAATCACACAAATTGACAGGAATGTATTTCTTGCTCATTCAACTAAGGGTGAATTTTACAAAGGTTCTTTTGCGGAGCTGGATTGCAAGATTTCCATTGGTCACTCTTTTACATCGCTAGCATCCAACTGGCAGCTGAACTGCTCTTACAAAGAGTGATCATATTCTCTATTACCAAAGGTTTGGCAGAACTTCAGATTAATCGGGGTGTTGATGATTAGACCGAGGATTGACCGACCAGATGATACCGATAAACACCATGCAATAATCACTGCCGACACCTAAAAGACTCTTCCCTATGAATGTCGCTAGCGTCCCCATAATTCCTGCTGATGCCAATATGATGCTTGCCCTTTTCTCAGATGAATCAGGATCTTGAGATGTACAACGTCATAACCCCAAGGTTTGTAGTAAACGTCAGAGCTTAAGACTAGACCAACAGACCATGAAAGCACTAAACTCGGATGAAAAACTTGTTGCTTCAAGTCTTTGAGAAGAATCTTGTGATGCACTAGTGTGATTATACCTGTACAGCCATAAAATCACACCTTGACATATATATCATTGATCCATTACACTGTAGAGCATAATTACTCAAAACTTTCACACCCTGAGACTTTGCCAATGTTGTTCAACCCCTCTATTCATTGATTGCATTTGGCTAATCTAGGAATCCAAGCTCACCTACTTAAATTGTCAAGGGTGGTATCCCAAAACTGCTTAGCTATATACCATGAATGTATGCATCCCTGCACCAACTAGAACTGGATTCTTGTCAGGAAGACAGGGTCCATATCGCTTAAGCAGCTCCCATCATAAATTCTTTTGACTAATACATCTTTATCGGACTTACGAAAGAAGATCTCTATACTAACTAGACCTCTTTACGAGAGCCGCTTGATAACATACAGTGAAATTAAAAGGTCACCACGACAGAGACATGCGTGGTAATTTTGATCCTAAAACGGACTTGACGCAGATTTATGCACGGTCGCCTTGTTGACCATCATTTCCTGCATACAGCAGACGTTCACTGACGTTCAAAGTTGAAGGTCGAAAGAGGGTACCTCAGAAGGATCATGATGCATTGGACTTGGTGGTATTAGAGATATTAAAGCTCATCTATAAGATATTAAAAGCCCATATATATTGATAAAATTTCTTGTAGTAAACACTGTTGAGCATGCTCCCAAAAAATATTTTTTATGCAAGGGACGTGCGGCTCTGCGACGGGGTAGCTTGATTCGCTAAACGCAATACAGTTACTGGAAGTAAAGAGCCCAAAATTCTCACAAAACCTTCAAATGATACTCTTTGAAACCATGGAACGGTCATTTATTCTTCTCGAATGAAAGGATATGTTTGATTTAGGGAAGACCCTGCTGAAGACATGCATGGCGATCTCGCACAAATGCAATGCAAAAAGTACCATAAAATGGCATATAGAACTTTGAGGCACTACTCCAACACCTGATTCTGAAAGAATAGCTTTTGAATATAAACAGAAAGAGGCAGAGCCTTTAAACTTTGACGAAAGCCCTTAAGAACCGAGATCTTGAATACTCATGCAGGTGAACATTTGAGATCAAGAAGCTATACGGTGCTTATTTCTTAGAATATTCCATTGAAAGAAGTGTAAGCACATATAAGTGCTTTATGTCTCCACTAGAGATCTCAACTATAGGAAGGATGAGCTCTTCCACTGGGTCTCCTTGATTCACTAACATGCATTGCCTGGTCTTCGCGTGTATATAAGAGGATCCATGCAGCTGCCCACATAGACAGAGCGATCACATTATTTATGTAATTGGGGGACTCAATCCCACGACATTAAGGACGCGTATAAATACGCGAGCTTTTGCCCCTTTCTGTTACCCTCTGTCCTTTTTTTTTTCTGGAGCAGCTTTCGAAAGCATTTTTTTTTAAAAAAAAACAACTTTCTAAGGAATTTTCGCAACACTTAGTCGATTAAAACAAAGAAATGCTTGGCCCACGGTCACCAGAAGATCAATATTATGATCCTAATGATCGAAGCGGTCAAAATACCCCATTGCATCGTCAAAATACCCCATTGCATCGTCAAAATACCCCATTACCTCGTCAAAATATCCCATTAAACGACCTTAATGGCCAATTCTATCGTGATAATCAGTCCTTAGGTCAGAGAAATGGGTACTATAATCACGGGCACTATGTTCACGACAACAATTACGAATATCGAAATGACCATAATTATGCTCAAGGTTATGGTCCTGGTGGAGTTTATGGTCCTGGTGGAGTTTATGGTCCTGGTGAAGTTTATGGTCCTGGTGAAGTTTATGGTCCTGGTGAAGTTTATGGTCCTGGCGGAGGTTATGGTCCTGGCGGAGGTTATGGAGCTGGTGGAACTGGTGGAAGTAATGGAACTGGTGGAAGTAATGGAAATGGTGGAAGTAATGGAACTGGTGGAGGTAATGGAAATGGTGGAGGTAATGGAAATGGTGGAAGTAATGGAAATGGTGGAAGTAAAGGAACTGGCGGAGACGCACACCGCAATACCCAAATTAATCTCCGTCCCGTTTGGAAGCAGGTATTGCTCTCCGTCTTCAATATTGCACTCATCATTGGATTCATGATTTTTTTTGTAAAGGCTTTGATAAACACTGTCCAGAACTACAATGAAGTGGTCAATCGTTATAAAGGGCTTCATGAAAAGGTCTTGCATGGAAAGTCAGTGTATTGCAACGAAATAGATCAACAATCATGGGGAAAAGCAAAAAAAAAGATTGAAAGTCTAGGGTGGAAAGAGTCTTGCTCGAAAGAAGTATCGGAAATCTGGACTTACCACATCGAAGATTCCGAAACCGGGTCGGACAACACTACTTCAACTGCAAATGGGCGCTGTGCTGCTATTCGAAAGGAGGCTTATGACGCCGATTGTAAGCAAATTGAGAGTGATTCAAAGCATGCGCATAGATCAACAACTGCTGATCATTCCAATGCCGTGCTGACGCTTGTATGTCTCTTAGTTGGGATTAGTATTCAATTTGAGTGTACTCGCATGGTCACAGCATGGTGTACTTTTTTGATCTGGTGTGGCGTGTGCACCACGCTTATCACTATCGCCCTCTTGAACATCGAAAATGGATTTCAGATAATGTTTGTTCAGAGTCTGTTGGAGGCATATGTTACCCTTCCGCAAATTTTTATAAGGTGCTTTTTTTTTTGAAGCATATCTTCAGATCTTCGTGCAATCAATTGAGGTGTTTCTACATGTGCTATCGCTTCCGTGTTGAATGCCACGGATTGTCTTCTACTCAGTGTTCTGAAGTTCAGACAAGAAGCACTCAGCACAGCCAAAAATTTATAAAATCCAAAGTGAAATCGTGACACAAAGAAATATCGTTTCCTGATTTTGATCGCACCAGATGAATCCAAAGAAAAAAAAAAAAAAAAAAAGGAGGCATGGAAGCTGATATTATGGTTTTTTTCCTCTATGTAAAGTTAAATAGAGTTTTCCATTTAATCAGATGAATCTAACAAAAAAAAAAAAAAAATTGAAGTAGATCACTCTCCATTTCGGTGCACAGTCACGAGCGAGTCCATTCAATAACTTGAATTGAATTGATAGATTCCAGTTTACTGATACGCCGGTCCTGGCTCAATGGAATGCTCACGAGATTTTGTTTTTAGCCCAAGATATGACCTTGATCGGCAACTTCCTCACAAGTTGATAACCTCTCCCGCTATCATTCAAAACAGGCATGTCCAAAACATCTACGCTTTGTGACATCAAAATACGAAGGTGCGTAAAAATGAATCGGTGTATGTTGAGGGGCCTGTAAATGCCTTTTTTACCTCGAGGTAACTATAGGCTTATGAAGACCGAAAGAGTGATGACACTAATATTTGTCATTGAATCCATTCAAAGCAGATAGAGATGGATCCTAACTCTGGTACCAAAGCAAAAACACAAATGAAGCTCCTGATAACTCCCACCAAAGTCAAACCAGCCACAGAAACCACGAAATTAGACAATTTTTTCGTTTTCAAAAGCTTCGGCAACAACTTTTACCAGTTCAGGGAGGACATCCAAAACTTATCAAATCAGAAACACTACTCTTTCAAATCAGTGGGCTACAAACTCTCTGGAGAGTACCACCTGGTTTCTGAAATCCAAGTTCAAAGAGGGACTGACTCCAAGGAGGATAAGCTGAAACTTGCCATTGAAAATGCACTTTGTCGAAACGGTGTCACTTCCTTTGGAGCAGGCCCACACCCAGACAACAAGATGCTTGTGTTTCAGCTTCGAAACACTCAGCTCACCTTCGACTGGTCGCATTATGTGATACCCACACCAACAGCAGCAGGTTGTTTTTTCACGGTGGGAAAGGAAACCGAGCTGTTCCCTGGACCCCAGTTTCCAATGTCGCATCTGCTTTACGGCGTGGACTCCGAGATGAATATGAGTTCTCTTTACAGCATCAACGACGAATCTTCTTTGCTAGTGAAGACACATTTCAATCCTCCACCCTTTTTTCAGCAGGATAACCACCGCCGTATTGTGGCTCCAGGAATGGAGGTATCAGATTTCTTAGCCTTGACTTTTCAGGCAACAGACATGACCGATTACGAGCCTTTTCTTATTCTGGAAGTTTCCGTAGTGCTTCAGGAATTTGTCAGCGTTTATCACAATAGCAGGGTGTTTCAGGACACTCGAGAAATGACATTACTCGAAAACGCCCCACATGAGATGATTTGGGTCTCTAGAAGACCATTGAAATTACCGACCAGAACTTATGCGTGCAAACTTCCAAGCCTTGGTCCGACCTTCTATTCCGAGGATTTAACAAGAAGTTATGGCTTGAAGGTCTCGATAAAACTCACCCGCAAAAGAATGCCCCTGATAAATACCTCTACGTTCATGGAATTGCACGTAGCGCAAGAACAGTCGGAAAAGTTTAAAGGATCGTCTTTTACGTTGTCAAGTAAACACCGAAAGCCGGCTCTTTATGTGGAAACAATGGTGCCAACAGGAGAAGGAGATATTCAATTTTTTTTCGACAAAGAGTTGAAAAACGTCGGGAGGAAATTCCAGCGCTATAGGTTTCAGTCCCACGGGAATATAAATCTACTCATTCTCGAAACGTTTCTGTCTAAAATTGACGACCCCCCTGGCCTCCTTGAAAACATAAAAAGCTCAAAGAAGTATCTTCTTAAATTGCTTACAGACCCACCAAACAACCACAAGATTTCCTCCAAAATCTTGAACCGTCCTGTTGCTGGAAGTGACATGACCAACTTGGACGGGCCATATGCTTCTACTTGTGTGAAATATGGAAAAAATAACCTCCGAGCCATTTCGTTTGAAAAGAATTACCACTACATGAGGACATACACCAGCTACAGTGTACCCGCAGGAGACGAATCGTTTCCTCTCACGATCCTTTTCAAACACAATGAACATGGACGTTTCAGGCAGACCCGAAACTGGGGCCTCGAGGCCATTGTGGTGCCAGGAATGAAACTCTCGGAGTTTGTGAGTCTACTTTTTGTTTTGCCGTTAAGTTATCACGACATGAAAAGAGTCAGACCGACAAAGGATATAAGGATCCAGATTCATCGACTTGAAATTACTCTTATTCAGACCAAAGTGACGGCGGGGATTCAAACGAAAAAGGAGACTCCATTATTCAGCGAAAATGAACTCGCCGTGTTGTACTGGAGCAAGTTCAACGAAGGTGTTACAGGAAGTCGATATGCTAGAGCCATGAGGGTGCCTCCAGCTGTTATTGAGGGGGAGATTCCTTCGAATGCTGAACCGTCACAATATGGTTTTTCGAAAAGTGTGCAATACAGCGTAAAAGTATGCTTACTGTGGTCGCATGGGGGAGAGGTCAAACGTTTGATGTGGAGCTACTTTGTCGAAATCGCCGAACCGGGGAGTGGGTAGTTGCAGTGGAGGTGCTGGTATTTTGATGAACGAAATTGGCTCTAGGTTGAGGTAGTGCTGTATTGTCGATTGTTCATTATGTTACAAAATCAAGGGAGTTGATTTAGCCATTGAACGGATACCCTGGGGTAATATGCCGCTCTGCTTATTTAAGGATGCAATTGAGCAAATTGTTATTTGAACGCAGCAGATTGAGGCACAAATTGCTTATAGTGTTTGATGTTCGTAATAGTGAACAAGGCTGTGAGATCTATCTACTATGGGTCGGCGAGACTTTCGGAAATTCGATAGTAAGATCTTGTCGGAGGGTGTTTTCATGAGTTTATAGCTTTTTTGACTCTGCTCAAAAGACCCCAGCTTATAGAATAGCGTTTTAATGAAGAGGGTTGGAAAGTCAGTATGAGTGTTTCTCTCGAACCAGTCTACATTCTGATGCACAGCCACCAGTCCTCTTGATTTGAAGGCACAGAAACCTATCAAAGTTGATTTATGGAAAAACGAAGTGAAGTAATCAATTGATCTCGATTCTGCAAAAACCATCTTATGTGCTCTTTGTTGGTATCTACCTCGAGAATGGCTGCGAAATGCAGCTTATGGCAGCAAATGGGTCCACACAAACACGCACAAACACACGCAAACGAACCAACTTTCAGCAAGAAAGAAAAACCCATCAATCGATATTCATTCCATTTAAATTTTGAAGAAAAAAGCCCCTCAACCTTCAAGAAAACTGCATTTCCTCCCCACCGGTCACGTGACCGCAGCCAAAAAATGCCGGGGTCCATCACGATGAGATGAGCTCAAACACACCCCTCCACAAGCATGGCGAAAAAACGGTCGGGCAAAAACCGGTCCCAGCAGAAAATCCAGGATGCGTTCCAGCTAGCGGAAAGAGCCGAGTCACGTGGCAAAAACCAGCCCGACTCCGATCTGGACGACGACCAAGACCTTCCGCTCAAAGAAGGTGTGCTTGATGCCAGGAAGTTCTTGAACAAGGAGGACGCCGAGTCGGACTTGGACGACGAGGAGCTTGACTCCGACGAGGCGCTCGGCCTGGACGACGAATTCGACGTTTTGAACTCGAAATTCTCTCAGACTATCAGAGATCAGCAGAAGCTGGGTTACAGAGAAGAGGAGGAGGAAGAGGACCAGGGGTACGAGAGTTTGGACGAAACGCAGTTGGTGACGCTTTCGGAGGCGTGGGACTTGGACCACAAGGACAGGGTGGCCTCTAAGGGCAAGCCCAAGGAGGTTGTTCTAGACGATGCCATGAGTGGGTCTGACAGTTCTGAAGAAGAATCAGAGGAGTCTGGATCGGAAGAGAGTTCCGAGGAGGAATCAGAGGAAGAATCTGAAGACGAAAAGGACATTTTCGGCGGTTTCTCCGACGACGAGGTCGACTTGAAGCTGACACTCAGTACAGTCAACTCCAAGGTCAAGGCGCCCACTGAACGCCGTTATCTTATTAATGAAACCCGAGAAGCCAGCGATTTTGCCATGCCTACCGGTGGAGAATCGCTTTCTCTCGCTGACATGCTCAGTGGAGTAGGCGAGGACGCCGACGATGCATACTTGATCAACAAGGAAGAAGAAGCCAAGCCTGTGGCTGTTCCGCTTCCGAAGAGGCTCCAGGTCAGAAACGACCGGAAAGCCGCCTATGAAATCACCAAGGAGGAGGTCAACAAGTGGAAGGATACCGTGAGAACGTTGCAGGAAGCAGACCATCTTGAGTTTCCTTTGGCTCCTCCAGCGACCCAGGAAGAACAGGAGGAAATCGATCCCGAAAAGGCGTACGAAAACATGCGTTTCATTCCTGAAACAGAGGGCCGGAGCGAGCTCGAGAGCAAAATCCACGGTCTTCTTGAAGCAGGTGCACTTGTGGACGAATCCAAGGAAGCCACCTTTGAGCAGATTGCCGTAGCAAAGCTCTCCAAAGAAGACATGTTCAAGCGGACCCAGGAGCTCCGAAGAATGCGAGAACTCATGTTCAGAGACGAGCAGCGGGCCAAGCGGATCAAGAAAATCAAGTCCAAGCAGTACAGAAAGATCAAGAAGAGAGAGCGTTTGAGGGATGCTGAATTGGTGGAAGGATCTGATGCCGAGCTGGACCCTGAAGACCACGACATGAAGAGAGCCGAGGAGAGAATGTCCCAGAGGCATAAAACTCAGTCGCTGTGGGCCAAGCAGATGATCAAACTGGGCATTTCCAAAGATGCACTGAGCAGAGCCGAATTGGAGGATATGCTTCGAAGCGGTGAGCGTTTGAGAGCCAAGCAGATGGGCTGGGACAAGGAGGTTTCCGACGAGGATGTTTCAGATATCGAGAAGGAATATGAGAACGACAAGGACGACGAGGCTGAAAGAGAAGGACTCGGAAAGGGCATCATGGCGATGGATTTCATGAAAAACGCCGAGGAGCGCAAACGTCGTGAGAACAAGAAGGAGCTCGAGTTCTTGAGGGGCATCGACAGCAGCACCGGTCTTGAAGAGTTTGAAGGTTCTACTGAGAAGAATTCCATCAACAAGGTGAAGAACGACGGCAGAAGAGTCTATGCTCCACAAGTTGCTCAGAACAGAGAGGAGATGGAGAAGTTGGACGAGGAGTTGATCCACGACTACCGAGACGACGAGGCTGATAATTTGGAAAACAGACTCAGAAAGGGCACTGCTCGTGAGAGAGAAACCGAGGACGACGAGCCTCCAGCCAAAAAGCACAAGGTCGAAGAAAAGGAGGAATCCGAATTCGAGGGCTTCGACTCCAAGAGCGACAACGACAGTGAAAGCAGCGAAAGCGAGGCGGAAGAGAACCCCTGGTTGGTTGCAGATGAAAACGACGTTTCAGCCAAATCAAAGAAATACTCCACCGTCACCGAAGACCTGTCGAAGCTTCTGAAAGCCGCCAACAAGATCGAAAAGCACAAGAGCAAATCCGGCAAGAAAAACGGCACCAAGGAGCCCTCGACCTTGATCGATATGAAGCAGGTCATGGACGTGAAGAAGGGTGACGCTTTTGGCAGCGATAACGAAAGCGACGACGACGATACCGACAACCGCATGTTCAAGCAGCTGGGACTCATCAAGGAGGCTTTTGCCGGCGACGACGTTGTCAGCGAATTCCAGGAGGAAAAGAGAAGACTTATAGAGGAAGAAGACGACAAGGAAGAGGACATGACGCTCCCCGGATGGGGCTCATGGGGAGGAAGCGACCAGCCACAGAAACCCAAGAAGAAGTACGTCAGAAAGGTCGATGGCGTGGCTCGCAAGGACACAAGACAAGACAAGGGCAAGGACAATGTGATCATCAACGAAAGACTCAACAAGCATAATTTGAAGTACCAGTCTGCCAATGTGCCCCACCCATACGAAACAAGAGAGCAGTACGAGAGAGCATTGCGGATGCCAATTGGCGAGGAGTGGGCTTCGAGAGCCACGTTCCAGAAGTCCACATTGCCCAGAGTCATTGTCAAGCAGGGTACCGTTGTGGACCCATTGAAGGCGCCCTTCAAATAAATTGTATAGTAGTAAAGGCATAAGTTAGGAAGCCAAGTGGCGTCCCGCCATTCCATTGTCGTATAGTAGCATAACTTATAAGCATCGTCTATGCCCTGGATGAACTAAAGGTCGATCAGCGATCACTCAATCAAAATACCGTTTCTGACGGCCCAGGGCTTGCCGCTCATGAAAACACCGTTGGGGTCCATTTCCTTCCTCACGTCGTTGTAGGCCTCCAAGCTTGGACCAAACCACTTCTGCATCACAGGATCAAAACCAAGCATCGAGTAGAACTGCTTGCCGCCGAAATCCAACTGCGTCTTCAAGTCCTCCTTGGTGTGGTGGTCGCCAGGCAATCCGATAAAGTTCTTGGCCCAATGGGGCTTACCACCAGCTCTGGTCATGGCATCCTCGAAAATCTGGTACCAAGTGTGCGTGGGCACGTTGAAACCAAAAGGTCTGTACATCGTGGCGTTGATGAATAGCGTCAATTGGTCGTTGGTGACCTTCTTGATGTCCTTTTCGTAAGGCAAGCCCTCGGGCGAGTTGTCCAAGAAAGGTCTCAAGTTGTTACCGTGAATAGGACCAGCACTGACAGCGTCTCTTGTAGCCAACCACTTCTGAGGAGGATGCAACGAAGGCTTACCGTCCTCGTCCACAAACGCCTTGTCGCTGTAGGTCACGTTGGAGCATCTGACCTCGATAGGCGCATGGACGTAGAAATCGTTGTTTTTGGCGGCCTCCTGGATCTTGTCGTTAAGCTCCGTCAACACGTTGATGCCCTCCTTCAAAGGCGCCAGCCACTCATTGACAAACTGGGAAAACAAGCAGTCCATGTTGAGGCCCTCGACGGAGTTTTGCACAGCGATATCGCCACTTCCAAGCGTCTCCACATCACCGTACTGCTGCTTGAACACGAAACGCTCCACCCACGGCGTGAGTTTTGGGTAGATGTTTACGGAGACCCACAAGAGCGACTCGTAGAACAATCTGCCGAAGAACGTGCCGTACCACGAAGGTCTAGGGTCGCTCAAGGCGTCTGTGGACTTGGAGGCTCTCCAGCAAACGCAATTGCCCGAGTAAGGGAACCACCAGATCCTAATAAACTCAGAGTCAAGCCAGATGGACTCCCACTCGCGCAACAAGGTCGAGAACTTGATGATCTCCTGCTTCGACTTGATGGTGTACCTAGGCACGGCTCTCAAGGTGACCTGAGTAATGATACCGATTTTGCCAAGCGACAAGAGGGCCGCCCTAAAAAGCTTCTCGTTTTTTACAGAAGAGCACTCCACCAACTTGCCCTCGGCGTTAGCCACCACGATCGACACCACCTGCTGACACACTAATCCGTGGTACTGAGACGAACCGTGAGTGCCTGTAGAAATGAGACCCGCCACCGACTGGTCGGAAATGGAGCCCAAATTCTGGATCGCCAAATTGCTTTTCTTCAAGTACTCGTTCAACTGGTAGATACGAATACCCGCCTCGACAGTCAAATCGACATATTTAACCTCCTTGGCAGCACCAGAAGTTGTAGGACCATAGTACTCCTGCTGACCTAAAACACGATCAAACTTGTCCAAATTGCACAACCACTCGTTGGTCATGGTCAAGTCGGAAGGCGAGTGGCCCAGGCCCACGGTCATGATGGTCTTGTTGAGCCTGGAAGCCTGTTTGATGAGTTCCTGGATTTGGTCCACCAGTTCAGGCTGGAAAATGGCCTGTGGCTTGCAGAAAAACGTGCCTGCCCATGTTCTGTGGATGGTCTTCCTGGTAGTGAACGGCTGGAGCAGCTCGGGCACGGACATTGTGGAATTGAAGGGGGTGATTTGGAAGAAATGGAGGTGGAAAGATAGCGACCGTTTTTTGCCGGCATACAGGCGCGGTAAGCGATTCGGCTGCGTTTCTCCGAGATAGAGTGGTGGGGACGATCTATGGTATTGGATGTTTTCTTTTGGGGGGTTTTTGGGGATTTTGGAATTTGTTTTGGGTGGTGATTTTTTGAAATTTGAAGTGGGATTTTTGGTTGTACGGGGTTTGGTAGTCGGGAGGTGGCAAAACGCTGGACTGTGTCACTTAGCTGCCTGATGCGGTAAAGCTTGCTGCGTGTGGAGTTACGTGGTTGGGTTTTTTTTGTGGTCGGTTTGCTGTGGATCTGGGGATTTGAGGAATTGGGAAAATGGGTGATTTTGATTGGTGGGTTAGTGAATTTGGGGGTTTGGTGGGCTGTGGAACTGGCTGGTAGGAATTGATGGTAGGCTGGTGGGTTGGTTGAGACTTGAAGGTAGTTGATGAATTGGGTTTGGTTTTTGCTTATAGGCTTGATGCTGAAGGTGTGGAATTCTTTATGTTTGCTCTGAATATCGGGGATATATTGACCGGAAACGAAGAAGGTCTATGCTGGCAGTATTAATTGATACCGGTCTGTCGTGGTTGGCTTATTGCATTGAACGAAAGAATGGATGATTGACCGAAAAGTTGATATAATTACATTTCCATGTCCCCTATCGGCAATGTGATACTGTTTTGGTTTTGATGGTAAGTTACGTAGCGATCCATAGATCGAGGCTGGAATTTGAATAATGCAGAGCTTACACGATTGCTAGTCAAAGGTTTGAAGTTTGGGTGAATTTTAATGACTTTCAACGTCAATTCTTCCATTATAAGTCAAATATTTAAATCTGGCTTATTGTAAAGCGAATACCGCTCCTTTGTGCTTGCGATTAATCGGAATCCACGATTGAGCTTCATCAAACGTCTTGGTTCATGCGATCTATCAGCTCAGAAATATCGTAGAAAACATAATTGAAGGTTTCAAGGCAAGAGAGAAATTATCAGAGACAGTGTGACAATTGGTTCATCGAAAGAAGTCCTATAGTCCAGCATTGGCCAGGACGGAATCTGAGTTCAACTCATTTGGGGTGAAGAGATTACAAATCCTCCTTCAACTCGACAAAGTACCAATTAATGGTACTCACCAATTGACTCAAAACCGATTCTTACGAATCTTTCTCGATATCTACCGCAATCGAGCTACGAGCCTACGACCACCGGTTCTCCTATACCCACCAGGTCAACCAATGAACATCATTTCATCACCTCCTTCAAAATTTACCCCAAACTTCCTCTAAACCCCAACTTCCACCCAAACTTGACCTCCCACCATCTACACATTTTTCTGCTGCATTAAAACGTCTCGCCGAAATGCCGAGCGGACCCTCACATGATGACAGTCCTGAAATCCATTACATCACCAAGTGAAAAACCACTGACGTCCTGAATTCTCGATAAAAATTGACAATTCCCGAACCCAGAAAACCAACAAAACCAACAAAATAAAATTCATCAAAATAAAAAACTCCCTTCCACGAAACATCACCAGCTCCATCGGCTACACGTAACCGAGACTTTTCGCAGCCAGTGAGCACCCGCGTATTAGGAAGCACCGGCCACCAGAGCCAAAAACCAGACAGTCGGCTCTCCGGAAATCCCTTCAAAATTACAAAAAAACCAAAAGCCAGGCAGGATCTCCCGCCCCTTTTATACCCCGGGCCAAGTGGGGCAGAATCAGCCGCGCCTGCACAACACCCCGTCGTATTTCGCCCACTTCTTCGTTTAGGTTGCAACTTTTTCTCCAAACCACACTTTTTCCTGAAATGCCCAGCAACATCGGTATCAAGGCCATCGAGGTCTACATTCCTCAGAACTATGTCAACCAGGCCGAACTAGAAAAATTCGACAACATCCCCCAGGGCAAATACACCATTGGCTTGGGCCAGACCAATATGGCCTTTGTCTCAGACAGAGAGGACATCTACTCGCTTTGTTTGACCGTCACCTCCCGTCTTTTGAAGAACTACAACGTGGACCCTAAGAACATCGGTCGTTTGGAGGTCGGTACGGAAACCCTTTTGGACAAGTCCAAGTCGGTCAAGTCCGTGTTGATGCAGCTTTTCGGCGAAAACGACGACATCGAAGGTGTCGACACCATCAACGCGTGTTACGGTGGTACTTCTGCCGTGATCAACGCGGTCAACTGGATCGAGTCGCTGTCCTGGGACGGCAGGGACGCCATTGTCGTTGCTGGTGACATTGCCATCTATTCTCAAGGTGCCGCCAGACCTACCGGTGGTGTGGGTTCTGTGGCGCTTCTTATTGGCCCAGACGCTCCTTTGGTGTTTGACGCCACCCGTGGCTCCCACATGGAGCACGCCTGGGACTTCTACAAGCCCGACTTCACCTCTGAGTACCCTGTTGTCGACGGCCACTTCTCCTTGACCTGCTACACCAAGTCCTTGGACCACGCCTACCGCAACTACTCCAAGAAGATCACCAAGCAGGAGGGCAAGACCGTCGGCGTGTTGGACCACTTTGCCTACTCGGCTTTCCACGTTCCTACCTGTAAGTTGGTGACCAAGTGTTTCGCTCGTATGTTGTACAACGACTTCAGATCGAACCCCGACGCCTTCAAGGACAAGCTTGCGCCTGAGGTGTTCGAGGAGGTCTCCAACATCTCCTACGAGCAGTCGTTGACCGACAGAAACTTGGAGAAGGTGTTCTTGGGCTTGGCCAAGGAAGAGTCCAACAAGAGAGTCACCCCAGCCTTGAAGGTCGCCACCAACACCGGTAACATGTACACCGCCTCGTGCTGGACCTCTTTGGCTTCGATTTTGTACTTTGTCGGCAACGACGAGTTGCAAGGCAAGAAGCTTTCTGTCTATTCTTACGGTTCCGGTCTCGCCTCCACCCTCTTGTCGCTTAACGTCAAGGGCGACATCTCGGCCATCACCAAGGTGTTGAACTTGGAGCACAAGTTGTTCGGCGGCAGAACCCAGAAGACTCCTCAGGAGTACGTTGACGCCATCGAGTTGAGAGAGAAGATCCACTTGAAGAAGGACTACAAGCCTACCGGCTCGCTTGACGACATTGACGCCGGCGTGTACTACTTGAAGGAGATCACCGACAAGTTCCAGAGAGTGTACGAGGTGAAGCAGTAGATTGGTGGATAGTGCTCGCGGCCTTGTATTTATAGGAAACCCTCCTCGGAGGCGACGCATATATTCAACATCCTAGACGAAAATAGATTGTTGTTGTAGAAGGTTGTAGAGGCGAGGTATTGAATTTGTACACTCTGGGGTGTTTTGTATGTGAGATGAGGTGGTGAAGGAAGTAGTGTTATGATGGCATCGATGGAGGTCTCACTTAACGAGGTCTCCCAAGGTAATAATCTTTCACTAGAAAGATATTATTAAATTAATAAGCGACTTTAGTAGTTTTTCAATTTTCTATTGTACATCTTAATCTCTGGATAACGGTTTCTGGCCCAATTGGGAAAAATGGCTGCGAAATAGACACCACTTGTTGAGGTCAGCCATACATTGTAAACCTGTCACTTAACACTGCAAAATAAATATTTTTAGATAGAGCAGATTTGAATTGTCGTATTTTGAGAACACGATCAAAGGCGATTTGTCTTTTCCAATATTTGATTACTATTTGTATCAACTCTCCTTTGCACATTCTCACCAGTAACACTCAATAAAACCAGCACACCACGGAGATTTTGAAAATAAAAATTATATGGGTTCCATCTCTATTTCACCAAGAAGCAAAAAGCTCACCCATCTTCCAAAAAGAACCTCCCAACCCACCGTTATCTGAACCCTTTGGGGCCCCAATAATGCTGGTGTACGGGTCTCCCTCTATTTTGATCTCGTCCGAATCGAGAAAATAGACGATAACTGAATCGCTGCCTTACGCACCTCATACATTATATTCGCGGGTCGTGCGTGCACCGATAGGTAAACACTCACAAACCAAATCTCAAAAAACTCTCCCTAAACCTCAGCAAAACCAATGAGAGAGGTCATCAGTATTAACGGTATGTGCATTGAATATGATGAAATTTGAATATAACTAACGTCCAGTCGGCCAGGCCGGTTGCCAGATCGGTAACGCGTGTTGGGAATTGTACTCCCAGGAACATGGAATCAGACCAGACGGGTACCTTCAAGAAGGATTGGACAGACCCAAGGGTGGCGAAGAAGGTTTTTCTACTTTTTTCTCTGAAACCGGCTCGGGCAAGTACGTGCCCAGAGCTTTGTACGTGGACTTGGAACCTAATGTGATTGACGAGGTCCGTACTGGTGCCTACAAGGACTTGTTCCACCCAGAGCAGTTGATTGCTGGTAAGGAGGACGCTGCTAACAACTACGCTCGTGGTCACTACACCGTCGGCAGAGAGATCTTGGACGACGTGTTGGACAGAGTCAGAAGAATGTCCGACCAGTGCGAGGGCTTGCAGGGTTTCCTCTTCACCCACTCCTTGGGCGGTGGTACCGGTTCCGGTTTGGGCTCTTTGCTCTTGGAGCAGTTGTCCATCGACTACGGTAAGAAGTCCAAGTTGGAGTTTGCCGTGTACCCAGCTCCCCAGGTGTCCACCTCCGTCGTCGAGCCTTACAACACCGTCTTGACCACCCACACCACCTTGGAGCACGCTGACTGTACCTTCATGGTTGACAACGAGGCCATCTACGACATGTGCCGCCGTAACTTGGGCATCTCCAGACCCAACTTCAACTCCTTGAACTCCTTGATCGCCCAGGTGGTCTCCTCCGTGACCGCCTCCTTGAGATTCGATGGCTCCTTGAACGTCGACTTGAACGAGTTCCAGACGAACTTGGTGCCTTACCCAAGAATCCACTTCCCCTTGGTCTCCTACGCCCCTGTGTTCTCCAAGACCAGAGCCAACCACGAGTCCAACAACGTGTCTGAGATCACTGCCTCTTGTTTCGAGCCAGGTAACCAGTTGGTCAAGTGTGACCCTCGTGTCGGTAAGTACATGGCCACCTGCTTGTTGTACAGAGGTGACGTTGTCACCAGAGATGTCCAGAACTCTGTTGCCCAGATCAAGGCCAAGAAGACCGTCCAGTTGGTTGACTGGTGTCCTACCGGTTTCAAGATTGGTATCTGCTACCAGCCACCTACCGCTATTGAAGGTTCCGACTTGGCTTCTGCCAAGAGAGCCGTGTGTATGTTGTCCAACACCACCGCCATTGCCGAGGCTTGGAAGAGAATCGACAAGAAGTTCGACCTCATGTACTCCAAGAGAGCCTTCGTGCACTGGTACGTTGGTGAAGGTATGGAGGAAGGTGAGTTCACCGAAGCCAGAGAGGACTTGGCTGCTTTGGAGAGAGATTACGAGGAGGTTGGCACCGACTCTTTCCCAGAGGAAGAGGAGGAGTACTAAGATCGCGGTGATCTTTCTGTTATACCCACATGCTGCCTGCCGCAGCATGCTTGATGCTTGAGGATATCTAATTTAGCGATAGTTTATTTCTGCTAGGGCCCGTTTAATATACTAGTGTTTGATGGCGATGTAGGTTTGGCGATATCTAGAGAAGGCATTTTTTTGAGTGAGGTGAAATCCATTAAATGTATGAAGCGAACGAAGAACAACGTTTGAAGATGCCTGAAACAGCAGGTTGATTAAAGAAGGAACAGAATCAAAGGCAACGCAATTGCAAATAGGCAAATTGAGTGGGAAGCAGCGGAACCTTGAGCTACCGAGATACCTGGAGTAGGAACATTTCCTGAATCCGAAGTAGGAACATGTCCTGAATCTGAAACATGTTGAGTGGTTGGCTCAGACACCCATGCTACAACGCCAGTCACAATTTCTTGCAGGGTTGTGGATTCGACAGTCGATGTTTCACTTCTGTTACGGGATTCAGAAGTGGGCGAGTCGCTTGTTGAATCGGGAGAAGCTGTTGATTGAGTTCCGCTCAGTGAGGCTCTAGAGGGGCTTTCAGAAACATGGCTTGAAACACTGGCACTTGTTTTGGAAGTAGGAGTTTCAGAAGTCAGACCGGACTCCGAATCGCTGTTTGAAGAAACTGAGACCTCTGTTACCGATTTTGATGGACCAGAAGATTCTGGTGATTCAGAAGTAAGAGTCTCCGTAGTCTGCTCTTCAGAAGCCGTTTCAACAATTTGGCTTGCAGTTGTCGTTGTTTCAGACTGACTCTCAGTAGTTTTTGTTTCAGACTGACTGCCAGAAGCCTCTGTGTCAGATGGGGTGGTGTTTGTCTCAAAGCTTGTTGATTGAGTATCAGTCGTCTCCTGGTGATCCAGAGTTTGGGTGTAGCTGGAGGTACCAGGCTGAGTGGTAGAAACCTCAGTTTCCGAAGTCAGCAAGTATTCAGAGGTGGTGTCCCTTGCACTTGTATTGAAGTCAATTGACTCTTGATGGGAAGTCAGTGAGTACCCAGAAGTGTCAGTCTCAACACTACTCAAAGACTCAGAAGCTTGCGTGGACTCAGTAGTTTCAGAACTGACGCTAGAAACTTCACTCTCAATAGTCAGGGTAAACTGGGAGGTGCTCTCAGCCGTTGATCCTTGACTCACCTCGGTCAAAGAGACTGATCCAGAATGATCCGACGAGAAAACCCCATCCCCTTCAGTTGCACATTCACAAGGTTCTGTAAAAGTGTGAGTGACAGTTACCACAGCGGTTTCAGTAATAGTTCTGGTGTTAACAAAACCAGCAGAGTTTGAAGCGGCAAGAGCTTGGGCAGAAAAGGCACCAAGCCCGATAAAGAGGGAATAAGAGACCATGGTGAGGCAATTGAGCGGTGGAACAAGCTCAATTTATACATCGAGAGATGAAGAATTGTTGATTGCTCAATGTCTAGTTTTACTATTAGCAATGATTTAGAAGCTCAAGTGTCTCTATACTTTTAAGCTTTGCCGAGGTCTGAGAAGTGGAATGGAGCTTTATTGGACTATCCATAGCTTAGCCAGACTTACTGATGTACATTTCTATACCTCTGCTGGAATATCTGTTTGACAACTTCTCCTCAAAAGCTATCAATTACTCGCCTTTTGCTCTAGCTGTTGTCAGGTCTGAGTCTTATCAATACTTTAGGTCAATGACAATTGTGGCTCAAATAGCCGAGTTGCTGCGTAATTAATCCCGCTATTCTAGAAACAGAGGGAAAGGTTTTTTTGACGAGATAACCGAGACTTAAAGCATATATCCATAATTATTTTTCAGGATATTTTCGTTGTATTCGGGTCTTCTTCAACCGCACATAAAGAATGGATAGAATAACCACCAAATTCTTCACGAAGAACTTTTTCCATAGCAAATAATTATCAACTAATTTAGGGTTAAATTAACAGGTATCCATTTCTCCGTGCCTCAAGCTTCAGTATCTGCAGTGGTGCTTAACTTTACATATTCCACGCTTGATCGAACTGCAAGCGAAGCCAGTCTGTCTCAGACTCCTTGTAATATATACTAGTTGAAGACAACGTAAAAAAATAAAAATATTCTATTACAACAAATAAATACTTCGATAGAAGGAGTATAGACGAATCAGAAATGCATTTAGGGCACTCCAGTCGAAGAGTTATGCATGGAAGCCACAGCCTCAAACTTTATAAAATAGGGCTGTAGATGATGCTAAATTTATCCGTGTTACATAGATTCCGAGATAGACCGAGGATACCGACGAAAGGGCGAGTTTTGTGACGGTGAAAACTCAAAGTACAACGGCAAAAACGGATAAGGTTTGCAAAAAGACGTTGCTGTACCGAAGGTGGAATGCACAGCTGCTCTATGAATGGGCGGTTTCAGCCAGCAAACTATTCATTACCATCCATTGAGCATTATACACCGCCAGAAACGTCCCACGCTTTCTTTTCTATTTTTTGATCAATCTCGGTTTCTGCCGCTACTGATTAAAGTATGTCCTACTATAGCACAGTCTACGCTCTGACTAGAAAATTATTAATTCCATTAAATATAAAGTAGCGAAAGAAAGCCAAGGCGGCGATGGGAAGAAGTATAAATAACCATTAAGTCATCAAACAAGGAAGTGAATCAAAGGCAAAACGAGTGCAAAAAGACTCAAAGATTGAGAAGCAGCAGATCCGTCGTAGGTGGAGACTGCGGCAGAAGAAGGAGCAGCAGAGCTGAAGGCAACAGGAGTTTCAATAGATGTCTCCTTAGCAGCCACTGAAGTAAGGTGAGAAGACGACTGAGAAACCAAATCCTGGATTGCAGTTGCAATACTGGTTTCGTAAGTCTCTTCGATAGAGCTGGAACCGAGGGTCAAGGTTCTGGTTCTCTGCTCCACGAGGGTGGTTTCAGGAGCAGAAGACTGGTGGTCCTCTGAAGCACCGTTGTGTGGGATTTCAGAAGAACCCTCAACTGGAGTCTCAGAAGCCTCAGGGACGTTTTCAGAAGGAGAACCTGAAACAGCAGGAGCTGGGGAGGTTTCACCAGCAGGAGCGGTTTCAGAAGGACCCTCGGTGAAACCAGTAGAAGTAGTTCCGGCAACGGTTCCCACAGAGACACTGGTAGATTCTGTTTCGTGATGGTCAGACTCGGTAGGGAATTCTGGAGTTTCAGACGCACCAGGGGTATATGGCAAGCTGGTCTCTGGGGTTTCAGAATTCTCGTGCCCTGAAGTAGCGGTCTCATGCTCTGAAGTAGTCTCTGGGTGGTCAGAGGTCACTGGGTGTTCAGTCTCATGGTTCTCGGTAGTCTCGTTCTCAGTGGTTTCAGTGGTCTTCTCTGAAGTGTGAGGGTACTCGGTTGCTTCAGAGTGGGTTTCAGAGGCCTCGGTTTCAGAAGGAGCAGGGTGCTCAGTGGTTTCACCAGTCTGAGTTGTTTCATGGCTCACCTCAGTAGAAGTCTCAGTTTCAGAGTGACCAGAAGGAATGCCAACCACAACAGTCTGGGTTCCAGATTCACAAGGCTCCGTAGTAGTAAAGGTAACAGTTCCCACGGTGGTTTTGGTGACGGTGGTAACTGGCGATGGAGGAACCTGAACAACCACAGTGGTGGTTCCTGAAGTACACTCGGTGGTGGTCGAAGTGACGGTTCCGGTCCATGTGGTGGTGACAGTGGAGCAGTCTGGTACAGTGGTTGGAGGAACCTGGTTTGTGGTTTCCTCAGAGTGGGTTCCAGTCTGAGTGGTTTCAGAGTGAGTAGAGTCGGTCTTGGTTCCCTCAGAATGGGTGAAGCCAGATTCAGTAGTTCCCTCAGTCTTGGATGTTCCCTCAGTTTCGGTAGTTCCTTCAGAGTGGGTGAAGTCAGTCTTAGAAGGTTCCTCAGAATGGGTAACACCAGATTCAGTAGTACCTTCTGAATGAGTAATACCAGTGTCAGTAGTGCCCTCAGAGTGAGTAACACCAGTAGTAGTACCCTCTGAATGAGTGAAGTCAGTCTTTGAAGTACCCTCTGAAGGAGTGAAGCCAGTCTGGGTAGTACCCTCTGAATGAGTAGTACCTTCAGTCTTAGAAGTACCCTCAGAGTGAGTGGTACCTCCAGTCTGGGTAGTCTCTCCGGAATGAGGAGTTTCAGTCTTGGAAGTACCCTCAGAGTGAGTAGTACCTTCAGAGTGAGTAGTACCCTTGGACTCGGTGGCCTCAGACTCAGTGGTACCCTTGGACTCAGTACCCTTCGACTCAGTGTGGGTGTAAGTAGACTTTGTCACAAAACCAGAACTCCACTTCGTAGAACTGTTACCGTAAGACTCAGAGCTCTCGGAACCAGTCACAACAGATTTGGTGGTTTCAGCAGGAGGAACCCAGGTAGTAGGAACGCCAGTATCACAGCTCTCAGAATCAGTGGTCACACCAGTGTGGCCCGTCTCCGTTGGCCAGGAAACCGTCTTTTTGGTTGAAGTTTCAGATTCGGTGGAACAGTCAGTCTCCCACGATTCGGTCTTGTGGTGGTCGGTTCCAGAATGAGTAAAGTCGGAGCCGGTAGAGCAGTCGGTTTCAGTCTCCCAGGACTCCGTCTTGTGGGTTTCAGTCTCCCAGGATTTTGTGGTTTCAGAATCAGTGCAGTCGGTTTCCCAGGATTCGGTCTTGTGGTCGGTGTCCCAGGACTCAGTCTTGTGTTCATCAGTAGAACAGTCAGTGTCAATGTCCCAGGATTCCGTCTTGTGGCCCCAAGATTCGGTGTTTTCAGTCTCCCAGGATTTGGTCTTTCCGGTTTCCCAGGACTTGGTGATACCAGTTTCCCAGGACTTGGTGATACCGGTTTCAGTCTCCCAGGTCTTGTGGTCAAAATAAGTAGAACAGTCGGTGTCGATTTCCCAGGACTCGGTATGGTGGTGGTCAGTTTCCCAAGAATCCGTCTTGTGACCCCAGGTCTTGGTCTTGTCCCAGTGGTCGGTTTTGTGTCCAAAGTCGTCAGAACAGTCGGTTTCAAAACCCCACGACTCGGTCTTGTCCGTCTTGTGACCCCAATCCTCAGTCTTATGGTCCCACTCGGTCTCGGTCAAGCAGTCCTCGGTCTCCCAGGTTTCAGATTTGTGGCCATCCCAGTGATCCGTCTTGTGGCCCCAATCTTCTGTTTCATGTCCCCAATCTTCGGTTTCATGTCCCCAGTCCTCAGTTTTATGACCCCAGTCCTCTGTCTTATGACCGTGGTCGAATCCGTCGTCACAGTCACTTTCGGTCTTGTGGAAACCGTCACTTCCAAAATCATCAGTTTTATGGAAACCACCGGTTTCATGGGTTGTCTCACTGGGTGGAACAGTCACCACAATAGTATTAGTAGAGGGCCCAGTCACCGTATTCACAGCAGTAGAACAACCGTAGTTTCCCGTAACAGTAGTAACCACAATATCATTATAATCACCATCACCTCCCGTTTCACCATTCTTGTACATGTACCAGCTGGTGGACTGGTAGTCCTCCAAGATGAAACCACCACAACTAAACTTGTACGAGTAGCTGTTGGAAGAACGGAAATCCTTCTTGGGAATGGCAGCATTGACGTTCAAAAAAGGCCTGAATCCAGCGGGAATGCCGCTAAACGAAAGCTTGGCCTTGGTGGCAGAACACTCATCCACATTCACAGAACACTTCTCAGCAGACTGAGGAAAGTAGAACTCGTTGATCTGGTCCGAAACCGAGCCAGCCACAGACTTGCAGTCGAGCTCGACGCCAGAGTCTGGGTTTTCGATTTCAATATAGCCCGACATGCCGTCAGCATGGCACTGGGGGCCCAAAACGTAGTGCTGGTTGGTGTTGAGCAGAACGGCTTTTCTCAAGAAGTAGGCGCCGTGGTCGATGCTGCCGCTGAAAACATAGGAGCTTCCGCCGGTGAAGTCGACGTCACAGGATAATTTGGTTTCGCCGTCGGCCCAAGTAACAGTATTCTTTCCAGCTTTCCAGATGGTCGAGGCAGCCAAGTTGACAGAATCGCCCAGCATGCCAGCATTAAAGGTAAATGGAAATTCAACAGTGCCTTTCACCGAAGAAACCTTCTCCACGGCCGCAAGCGCCGTACACTGGAGTTCACAGAAATCCACCACATTGTCACCGCTGAACAAATCACACTTGGCGAACGAGGTATCACCAGCCACAAGCTCAAGGCTTTTGGTGCCCGAGGTGAACTTGTACACATACGGCATGTGCAAGGCAAAAGTGTCGCCTTCCTTGACGTTCATTTCCTTGGAGATGGACCATCCAACCGTAGCAGACCAGCTGGGTGTTTCAGGCAGACAGTCTTCCGGAGCAGAGATGTGGTCGATGCTGTTGAAGATGCCTGATTTGGCACCGGCAAGGGCTCGAGCCGAGAAGGCACTAAGGCCGATCAAGAAGGATGCAGAGACCATGGTGGGGTGGAACTAGAGGAGGAGAGGGCTGGCTTTATACGTTTTGGTGGACTATGGAGAATCCAGGGTTGCGGGAGTTTGCCACACGGGCGCTTATCCTAACGGGGAATTAGTGATTCACGTATGTGGGTTTGACGAGCCGTTGGCGTATCAGATAGTGGGTGGAGAGTATTGGCATGGAGTCAATGGAGAGCCTTTTTCTTAACCTTGACCAGGGAGTCTACGTTTATTGTACGTTTGATTTAAGAATATACTTGTCCGTTTAATTGTCTTCTTGTATTTATTCAATTTCTTGTGGTATAGAATTGATGGCTAGATTGGTAACCATACTGGGCTGCATTGACGAGGTGACATGGCGATAGTCGCCAGAAATAGCCGAAACGCTGCCTAATCGGGACGCCGTTGGACAAGCGAAGCACGCCTTTTTTTTACGAGTCCTAGACCGTCGCTTAGCCCACCGTTGATGTGCCTCAGGGGAGTATTCAGGCACCTTTTTGCAGCCACCCAAGCCATTGTGGGAAACGGACAAGAACAATAAAAATCTTGATTGTAAGCATTTTTCGGTTTTTCAAAATGCCCATTGTTTACCTCGGAACGGCCTCTTCTCCGATTAGTCTGGCGCTCGTCTAAGTCGTCTGGATTTCTGCAACACTGCTTAAGTTCACGCAGCCCTAGCATTCCCAGCTGTGACGGCTGCAAGCGAAGCTGGCTAGTCTGGCGGAATTTTAGTAATATTCGGTCAAAAGGAGCCAAGAGGCGGTGGAGTTGGAGAATTAAGGAGAATGGCTTTTGTGGGTTGAAACGGTCCCCATGGTCAATGGGGTATAATGGCTGAATTTCTTCACTCCAGACATCACACAAAAAGGCACGGTTCCTGAAAAAATGCATGTTTGGCGGAGTTGCCGAAAGGCTATTTTTGTCGGTGTCGGGAGACCCGGTGTCGGGAGACCCTGAAGGTGGATGTGGGGGTATCCGAGGGTTGAGTTGACGAGGTGTAGAGGCTACCAGGGTTGGGGCATAACTAGGTGTAGGGGTAGAAAATTGTAATAATAAGAGCAGAAACGAGAAATTGAGAGGTGAGTGGGTTGGTGAGTTTGGTTGGCTTCTTTTGTGGATGGTTGTAAAGTAGTGTAGCTGAATACTATCGATGTGGCACCTCTCAGAAGTAGAGGCCCACCACTAATTCACAGCAACAGCAACAAAACACGATTTTCTCGATTTGTGAAACATCCAGCACCTAATTGGCCATTGGCTTCTGGCTGCCGCTTTTAAGCAACTTTTAGAGATGTTGGTGGCTTCTTGACGATAGATGGGCCAGACTCATGGACAGACTCAAATGTTCCAGACTTTTCCATGGAACTAGGGCCGGCCAGAAGCCAGAAAACAGCAATCCAGCAAAAACAGGCCATTTTCTAAAAAAATTAGTTTTTACGAAATCGAAGCTTTGCCCGGACATTCCCCGGAGTGTCTCCATATGGGGTGATTTTCGTGCCGAGGGACTGCCGAGAGGGATTCCCATGGACTACAATTACACTACTTCGAGGGAGTTGGAAATTCGAGGATTTCGGTTTTTTATCAAAAACGGGCCGATCTTTCCCAAAACGGCACTTTTTTCGAGTCATCGCTGGAATTCCCCGGCTGTGTTGGTCCTTCCATAAGGTTCTGTCGAACTTTTCGCAGCCAAGAGAAGCACCAACTATTCCACGCAAACAGCCATGAAATCCATAAAAAAAGGCACCCCCTGAAAGCTCACGCCCCAATTTGCCACACACAACATAAATTTAACTCCTGGAGGCAGTGACACCCGGAAAATGGGAAAATCCCTCCTGGGTCACGTGACCACACACCCACCTACTAATGCGATGCTCTGGTTTCTTCAAACCACAACCATGGAAGACAAAAGAGAGCTCCTCAAGCAACCGCTCCACGGGATCTACATCCCCATCGGCCTCATTCTCTTCGGCACCTTCCTCTTCGGCTGGGAGTACATGCCGTACAGCATTGCCTTCATCGTCATTGTGTGTTCGTGGAACTTTTATGAGGCGTGGAGTCGAAGACTGCTGGTTGAGCCCGTCAGATGGAACGAGTTGGCGTTGATCGACAAGACGGTCATTTCCAGAAACCTGGCCATCTACAGATTCAAGCTCAACCACGAAGACGAGGTTCTCCACGTGCCTACCGGTCACAATGTCGCCTGTTGTTTTACCATTGACGGGAAGGACGAGATCAGGTACTACACGCCGATTCTGAACCGCTTTGACACGGGCTTTTTCGACATTCTCGTCAAGCTGTACCCTCAGGGCAAGGTTTCGAGGAAATTCGCTGCTCTCAAGGAAGGCCAGACCGTGTTGTTCCGTGGTCCTGTTGGCCGTTTGGAATATGAAACCAACATGGCCAAACACATTGGCTTGGTGGCCGGCGGCTCGGGAATCACGCCTATTTTGCAGGTGATCACCCAGGTCATCACGACCCCCGAGGACGACACGAAACTCTCGCTTATTTACGCCAACGAAACCGCCAACGATATCTTGTTGAAGGCCGAGTTGGACGAGATCGCAAGAAAGTACCCCAACTTCTCCGTGCACTACACCTTGAGCCACCCTCCTGCGGAGTGGGACGGTTCCACGGGGTACGTGACCTCCGAGATGATGCAAACCCACTTGCCTCCTCCGCTGCTGGAGAACAGGCTCTTTGTGTGTGGACCTCCCGAGATGAAACGTAGTCTTATTGAGATCTCCCAGGGCTTGGGCTGGGACAAGACCACGATGAAGTCTGCTCCATCCGACCAGGTTTTCTGCTTTTGAGTGGGAGCAGGCTGTGGAAATGGCTGCGAAATAGGCACCGTTTGCGAATCTGGAGAACGTTGAGATTCGGAGTGCCTGCCTAATCGGGACACGTGCTTCGCCTTCGCTGGCGGAGACAGCCGCCGCTAGAACGTGATCCGCGTCGGTTATGCTTTTAGAACAAGGTCTAAAAGACCATTATCAGCAGCACTGAGCCACAGAACGGATGTACTTCTGCAAACGGGCATATTCCTGCACACAAGCCACCGTCGTCCATTGACAGGTGGAATTTCCCAATCGGGCCCTACGCCCGGCGTTGCTTCATCGCCTGCTACTCAAGAGCTCACCGTTTACTATAAAAGAGCCTCCACCCGTCCAATTGCAAACCCCCATTCCAGAAACAGTTATCAAATAGATCCAAAAAAAATGTCCGTGCAAATCCCAGGAAAGTTCGCCTACGGTACCATGTCCATGACCTGGACTCCAGAGCCCATCTCCAACGAGCAAGGCTTCGAGTGTTTGAAACATGCCATTGAGAAACACAACACCCAGCTTATCGTCGGTGGCGAGTTCTACGGCCCCAACGACATCAATATGAAGTTGAAGGAGGAGTTTTGGAAGAAGTACGGCGCCAATTACCCCGATTTGATTGTCTCCATGAAGGGCGGCTTCAACTTGCAAAAGTTCGCCCCAGACGGATCTAAGGAGTCCGTGACCAAGTCCATTGAGAAGCTCGCCTCGTACTTCCCCTCCGACAAGTCCAAGAGACCCAAGTTGCTCTTTGAGGTTGCCAGAGTGGACCCTACCATTCCTTACGAGCAGACCATCGGCTACATCAACGAATTTGTTGAAAAGGGCATCATCGACGGTATTTCGCTTTCGGAAGTCGGCGCCGGCTCGATCCAAAAAGCCCTCTCCGTTGCTCCTGTCTCGGTGGTCGAGGTGGAGTTCCACTTGATGTGCCAAGATATTCTCCACAATGGTGTTCTTGAGGAATTGAGCAAGCACAACATCCCTGTGATTGCGTACTCCCCCTTGAACCGTGGTTTCCTCACCGAGTTTGCCGCTAACGACTTGGAGGGCTACCTCAAGTTGTGCAACCGTCCTGGTGACATCAGAGGTGGTTTGGGCAAGTTTTCCGGCGACAACTTCTGGCACAATGCCAAGTTGGTGAAGGCGTTGCAGGAGTACGCACACAAGAAGGGCACCACTTTGGAGTCGCTCTCTTTGCTGTGGATTTCTTCCGTCGGCGGGTCCGAGAACCTCTACGGCATCAGAAAGATCCCCAAGATTTTGCCCATCACTTCGGGCACCACCGTGCCCAAGATTGACCGTAACTTGGGCTCTCCCATCGAGTTGACCAGACAAGACTTGGAGGAGATCAAGGCCATCTGTGACGCCCACCCAGTCAAGGGCTACCGTTACAACGAGCAGGCTGAGGCCCTCAGTTTTGCCTAAGCAATGTGTATATTTTGAATGGACAGGTTATTGGAAAGGTGCTTGTAGTTTGAATTGACAGGTAATGATGGAAAGTTGTAGGGTATTGAGTTGGGAGGAGTAGGCGTTTCAGTTATTTATTGAACAGTCTAGGAGTTTTTGAGGTGGTTTGGGGGTCTCAGCATGCTAGTGAGCGATCGAGGTGCTGAAAAAGCTCTAAAATAAGGAAAGTCATTCAGTATGTTGGTGTGAATGCCTCTCGATGAATCTGTATGTGTTCTAACAACGAGATGCTGTGATGTCGATATAGTCAAAGGAGTTTGAATATCGGCAAGAATGCCACTTTGAAGGAAATAAAGAACCGACATCTTGAATAATATGATTGAACTTCTCAAGCAGAATTCTTTGAATCCAATTACCTGCTAGTTGTACATTTTGGATCAAATCACCTGTAAGTTGTACATCTACTTGTGCATTTGTTGATATCACCATACCACAAGAGACCGTTGCACCTAACGGTTTTAAACAGCCGATCGAGATATACAAGAACAATCAGTAAACTGAAGAAAAGCTGCTCTATATAAAGAATCGATAAAAGAAGCATTTGCCTTTTGACGTCACGATGTGGTGCAGGATTTTGCAACCATTCTACCCATAAGCCTCGTAAATCTCCCATTGTACTTATTCGTCAAGAGCCCTGAACAACGAATCATTTTAAAAATCTATTTTTTTCCTTTTTACTTAATGAATATCAGATCAATAAAAAAAAAAACAAACAAACATACATTCATGGAATCCTCTGTAAAAAGTCCACTAACCATCCTCAAATAACGGCATCCTGTGCACCCCTTGAAGACATACCCCTCAACCAAACGGATACGAATCAAGGGGGTGCGGGGCATCTCCTGATCATTTTGGCCGCTCAGGTATAAATACGAGGCCTTTCCCTGCTTTCACGAAATCGGGGGAGTCTTGATTGATTTCCCCCAACACGGATGCGAAGCAATCTGGAAGGAAGCAGGTCTACCATGGTCTTGCGAACACGACAGCCAACCTCCTTTCTTTGATTTTGGGCAAAAGGAGTGTTTGCTCCTTCTGTCGACATCTCTGCAGAATTGGTAGAAAGTTGTTTTTGAAGGGCTGCGTTCGCAGTGTGGAATCCTTTCAACTTCTCAAAGGCCATCGTTCTCATAGCCTTTTCCATATCATTAACCGATATGTTATAAGGATTGTCAATCTCCATTGCGAGATTGTGATCATTATAAGAGAAGTAATTCAACTTAACTTTCAATTCGGAGGCGGAATGAGCATCCTTGATGAATTTTTCCTGCTGAATTCTCCTGAAGTTGGATTCTTTACCATCGTGGCAAAAGAAAGCCTCCTTCATAAGAAATTCGAGGTCGTCAATCTCAGAATCTTCGAAAGTTTGCTCATAATCCTGATCATCCTCAGGATTCCGGTAATGTAACTCCGAATACCGTTGGATTTTGCGTCTGAGCGTACTATTGAGGTACATCCAATTTTTTTCTTTTTTTTTATTGATGATGTCAAGGATAATTTGATTCTTGTCATAACTGGGAACTATGTTTTTGTTTGTTTTATGTTTTTCAAGAAAAATCAAGCGAATTAAATCAAGTGTTGTAGGAAGCTCTATGCCTTATCTGCTGATGGGGTATTCTCTACTTTTCAATGTTCTCTTGTTTTTTGCACTTTGGGGAAGCACCGTAGGGAGGTATTTCTTTACTATAAGGCATTTTAGCACCAAGGTTAATTTTCACAATTTAACTTGTAAATCTAAGTGGTTTCAGTGGATCGCTATGAGCCTACTACACTGGTTTCCTGCATACAACATCCATGCTAAACTGCTTTTCAATTTGATAAATATTTAAAATTTCCTGCATACAACTACACAGTCAGATTTTCCGGCTCCATATAGTGCGCCAAAATTGTTCACTTTCGGTTGCGGCCACCGGGGGTAGGGTAAAATACTGTTTCCCGTCCGATCAACGAGCGTCAAGCCGCCCACCGCCACAGTGAGTAATACAGTGGGAGATCATGTGTGAAATTGTGGTGCTGCAATCTTTTTGCCCTCCTTTTTACTTTTATACGTAAACGAAAAGCAATTTAATGAGTTCTATTAATTAGGAATTTCATCTACGTGATGTTTGGTTTCGTCATTCTCGTGTTATTCACCACCCGTTCTTTTGTCTTAGTGTGCGACGCAGTACTATTGGATCTCTTCTCAGTTCTCATAACACGGTGAACTCAAACTACCCACATGGGTGATCCGGTTTGTGAAGGATGCCTTTCACTACCAAATAGCCGCGGTTTCTGATTAAAAGTAACTTTTGTCAATCTTAGACATTTACAGCATGAACAGCTTAATCACTTCTTTTTAGACTGGCTGCGAAATACCAAAAACGGCCCTACGCCTTATATTTACAAAAACAACCAAAACCCAACTACAAGTCGACGACATCCCAAAATCCCGAACTCTCAAAATCTAAGAAGTTCATTCAGAATAAGTCTGTCAGGATATGGCTCGATACACACGGCGAGACTGTTCAGGACACTGATCTTAGGTCGACACTCTCAGCAAAAGTAACAAACGAAATCGTCCTAGAGATTGCCTTTCAAACAAAATGGCTTACATTACCCTTACAAACACATTTCATTTTGAAAAAAAAAAAAAAAAAAATAGAAAGACCCATCAAGGACCACCCTACCTGACCGTCTTCCTCAGTACCTCCCCAGTATATGAAGACTGCAACCACCCATGCGAATACCCCCAGTTATCTCCACGCCCACCCAACCAAAAACAACCAAAACCACATTAAAAAAACCGCCATCTCCCATTCTCCAAAACGCCCCCCAATCCAGTCCCTCCCCATCGACTCCACGCCCAAATCGCCGTCACCTGGACAACTACGGCATCCTGCACAGACACCACCATAAAAATTTACCGCTGCTTTTCCATCCAAAACCCACCATGTTTTCCCTATCCAAGTGGCTGTGGGCACCCGTCACGCGGCAGGCGTTCCGTCTCCAGAGCACGGCGGCACGCAGCAGCCAGCTCCAGGGCGGCATGACGGAACTTGAAAAAAGAGAAGAAACCCACGCCAGGCAAAAGGCCTTGATGACCGCAGAAGTCAAGTTCAAGACGTTCGAGGCCGGCCCGGCCAGACCCGGATCGACGAATTTCAGAAAACCGATCCACGAGCATTTGTGGCGCGGCAAGCCCGTCAAGGAGTTGACGGCGCCCATGAAGAGAACCGCTGGTAGAAACAGCTCTGGTCACATTACCGTAAGAGGCCGTGGAGGTGGTCACAAGAGACGTGCCCGTCTTGTTGACTTCAACAGAGTCGTGGCCGGCCGCCAGAAAGTCGTCAGAATCGAGTACGACCCCAACAGAAGCGGCCACATTGCGCTTCTTCAGCACGAAGAAACAGGCAACCTTTCATACATCTTGGCGCCTCTGGGCGTCCGTGCTGGCGACCGCGTCGAGTCGCTTCGCCTGGGGCTTCCTAGAGATTTCGTCGAGGAGATGCAGAGAACCAACGACGGCGAGATCGACGAGGCGCTCTTGAACTCCCGAATCATGCAAAGAGGCAACTGCATGCCCTTGAGCATGATGCCCGTGGGAGCGGTGATGCACAACGTGGGCTTGCATCCCAACAGAGGCGGCCAGTTGGTGCGTGCTGCTGGTACTTTTGCCCGTTTGCTCACGAAAGAGTCCGACAAGAACAGAGCCATCATCAAGTTGAGCTCGGGCGAGCAGCGGTACGTCCGCTTGAACTGCTGTGCCACGTTGGGCACGGTGTCCAACAAAGCGCATGCTTTGACCAACTGGGGCAAGGCCGGTAGAAACAGACACAGGGGTTTCCGTCCCAAGGTCAGAGGTGTGGCCATGAACGCCAACGACCATCCTCACGGTGGTGGCCGTGGTAAGTCCAAGTCCAACAAGCTCTCGCAGTCGCCATGGGGCCTCAAGAAGTTTGTGCGGACCAGAAAGCACCATGCCAACAAGTTTAAGGTTGCCGACAGACCCCGTCGTTCCGACCCATAGTGTACATAGTAAAAGGCAATACATAGATGCTGGGAGGGGTGGTAGTATGTGTAGGTGAGAGCAGGTAGAGATTTAGTGGATGGTGATGGAGTGGAGTTGAGACTAGGGAGGTCAGGTTACATGTTTTGGGGGATGTATGGGTATCCATCGAAATGTGGCAGTTTGATGAGTTTCACGATTATTGAGTTTCATGATTAACGAGTTTAATGATTAATGAGATTCATGGTTTGGATAACATCTCTGAATTGAGATTTAGCCGAGTTTGTTCAATCATAAATTAGAAAAGCTCTCTAGAGCGTTGGTAGTATGGAGTCTGATACTACTAAGCGAAATTGCTCATCTACCAATCCACACCAGCTCTATAAATTGTCATAAAATGGGTACTCTCGTTGAGAAAAAATCAAATTTGTTCAAATAAGCAGAATTAAGAATGACTTACAAGAGCATTGATAATGCGGAGTTTGACACTCCACTTCATAGAAAGGTTCAACATGTCATACCAGCACTACACCCAATTCATCCATGAATTCGGCTAGTTCATGTAATTTAAGACATCCAATTCCTTAGCACTTCTCATATCACTTATTAGATTTCGACCAAAACTTCTGATTCATTCTCAATTCGAGTTCAGTACTGAATTCTGAGGTCCATGAGCCCCACAACTAAACAACCACACCCCACCATGCCAACCTCTTCTACCTCCCCCTCTACCTAAAAACACTTCTCCACAGAATCTACACCTCTACTTCATAAATCATAATCATTATCACAATCATATCATACTAAAATCACATCACCAGAGCCTCGCCTACATCTCCTCACAGAAAGGCAACCTGGCCCAGCCTAGCTGGACCTGGGCCCAGCAGAAAAAGCCCCTGGCGGCGTCCAAGAACTGCACGCCCCGGCCCGTCACAACCACGTACCCGGAACCCGCCAAAAGCGCCAAAAACGCAACCAAAAGGCACTTGTGGAAAACCCCAAGCAGCCGTCTTTCGGGACTGTGCATTCTGTTCCACACAAAGCGGGCCGTCAGCAACGCCAGGGCAAAAACCAGCGGCCGGGGAAGCGGCGCCAACGACTGGAACAGCGGCTGCGGCGACCGGGGCCTTTCGTCGCTGTAGACACTGGGTGCTTCTGATTCCTCCAGACGAGGTCCAAAAGAGATAAGCGGACGGAGCGACAGCATCAGGACGTCGTCGGTGGCGCCGTAGCGGATGCTCCGAGATTTTGTGGATCCCGATTTGACGGAGGCGGCGTTGACGGAGCCTTCAAGCAGCCGTCTGGACGTTTGTGCCTCGAGATCGAAGTCGTCGTCTCTGTTGCCGACTTTCAGGGCGAGGCGGGCGAGGCTGTCGAGCTGCTCGCTGAGGGACCTGGCGTGGGGTTTGAAGAAGACCATGGGGTGGATTTTGGGGGGATTTGGGGGAAATTTGTGTGTGGTGGTGGAGAAAGAGGTGGTTGGAAATGGCTGCAAAATGCGTCGCAGTGGGTGGGGTGGGGGAGTTGTGGAAGTGGTGGATAGGCCAGGTTGGGCAGAATATGGAATTGGCTGTTTTTGAAAGGAGAGACGTGGATTGGGCAGTTGTTGATTTGGCGGGTTTCGGGAAATGGGGTTCTTTGGGTAGCTGGGTATCTGGGTATCTGTGTATCTGGGTAGTACTGCTCAGTATGGACGTAGGTGACTTGCAATGATATGGGTACTCGGTGGGAATTGTACAGCAATATCCACTTGTTTGGCGTCTCTGGATTATTATGATTGAGCCGTATCGAAAAAGGTATTCGCTGTTTTCAGAACTGTGGTTTGGTGGCTTTAGGCAGATGGGCGGTATGGGTGGCCATGGTTGACCAACGATGTCAATGTAGTCTGTTTGGTGGAAGAAGCACAGCAGCATCCAATCAAATACCAATATTCAGTCATAAATAGAACGCTTCTAAGCACATAGAAGAGAGTTAGTTTTCTGGGTAGTCGCAGTTGGTGGTTGGTTGCCTAGACTATACCCAACCAGTGTCATGGAGTGCTCTCAGCGGCTTACCCAGATAGCGAGTATTTACAAAATTGAAACATCTCGCTTCATTCCGGAACTGCCTTTACTTTAAACTTGCAGTGCTGATTTTGGGTCATTTGGCCAAAAAGTGTTAGCTTAGTACATCTGTAGTCCATAGACACACCATAGACTCACGAAGAGATACCAGGTCAAATTCAAAGTCACCCGAATGGCCAAGAGTCACTCGGATAACTACCCTGAAAGTAGTGCTATTCTCTTGCAAACCACACAGAAGCCCACCATATTCAACACCCAGACATTCAACCATGGTGCCAACATCTACTCCACATACCCCATGTCGCTACCCATCCATCGAAGTCGTATTCCAGATTGATTCCTTCAAAACCCCGCCTTGCTCTCCAAACTATTCCCAAGCACTCACCATATAACCACCATCCTAGCCACTCCGCCATCCTCCATCCTACAACCATCTCACCACCCATCCATTCTATAAACCTTCCACAATCTATGCATCCACAACTTTTCCATAAACCCCTAAGGCTAGATCCCTCACCATAGGCTATATCCCTCGCCATCGCTTCAGGCTATATCCCTCGCCATCGCTAACTGCCAAATCCCTCTCCATCGCTAAGTCCCCAACTCCTCCTCATCAGATACCATATCCCCACACAAGTACCGCCGGGACGCCTCCAAGCCCAGCACATCCCCCTCCTCCATACAAAGCTCCAAGTACTCGGGATCACTGTACAAAAACGGAACCGCATCATCGTCCTTGGGTGGAACCCGAAGCTGCTGTTTCGTGAAGGAGTCCACAATCGTCACCTCTAGCACGAGAATGCCCAAACCGGGCTTGAGCTTAAGGCCAGGCACGGATCCAAAAAGCTGCGGAAGCTGTGTTATCGTGATGAACCGGAGATTGGCTTCTTTGATGAGGAGGATGGAGTTGATCGACATGTACGTGAGTCTCTCCAAATGCTTGTTTTCGTACTTTATGAGACTCTCCCTGCTAAAACAAACAAGCACTTTGTGACTGGCATCGTGGAGAATCGCCGTAAGCCTCCCGTCATTGTGTGCTTTGCAGAAACCTAGAATACGTAGTAGAGGTGTAGCTTTTATGTTCATGTCTTCTTCGCTTCTGTACACCACAAACCCCTTTTTGGCTAGCGGGTTCGTGTAGGTGGACTGCTTGTTGATGACGTCACGGACCAGCTCGAGAAGCCATGCCGGTAGGATGGGAATCGGGTGCATTGCTGATATGCGAAAAAGGCGAGTGTTGATGGTGTACTACACCTCGCTCGCAGGCTATATACATTAGGGTCGGCCCTGCACCTTCATCTTCTTGTAGTGAAGCCGTTTTTCTCTTTTTTGCTGCCGCTTGTCCATCATCTTGAGCCGGTCCTTGACCTGTCGCTCGCCTTCTTCTCCGGGCGAAAGTGCCGTGATGCTGTCAAAGAGCGGCTTCTGGAACCCAAACGTCTGGTACCGAACCGACATCGTGTCGTAGGCGTAGCACACGTCCATGTCGTCAAAACCAAATTCAGGGTCCACCTTGTGCTTGACAATGTTCTCCAGGACGTCGCCGAGGTACCGGTCGAGCATCTGGCACTGCTGCTCGTATTGCTGACAGGACCTGATGAAGGTGTGTTTTTCGGAATTTCGGGTGCTGTGGTGGGTGAGGAGAACCTTGGGGCACCGCATGAGCTGTGCCATTCTCACGGCCTCCGTGGTGGTGGTGTGCTTTTTGGCGAGTGCCTCTTCTATAAGATCGTCTTCGAGCGAGGCCTCGTGGATGAGCAAATCGGCGCCCTGTCCCGTTTTGAAGAAGCTGGGGTTTGGGCGGGTGTCTCCGGAAAACGACAATTTGAACGTTTCGTTCTCGGAAAGTCTGAATGTCATGTTCACCGAGTACGCCCAGTAGCAGTGGATGGCCCGGACGGTTTCCACTTTTTCTAGATGAACAGCATCGTAGAGCTCACGAATACGCTCTTCAGGAAGCGGGCCGAGCTTCTTACGGGGGATTGCCACGTTCAACTGGCCCGCATCAAAGGCTTTTTCGAAATCGGCAATATCCGCTTGTTGAAACTCGCTTTCACGGCGAGCATGGAAATCCTCGTTGCTGATGTAGACGAGCCGGCTGAGATCGATGCTGGAAAATTGCTTTTCGAGCTTGTACCACTCATTCAAAAAGTGGTCAAACTGCCACGGCAAGATCAAAAACAACTTGGCGTCGTTGTGTCTGTTGGTTTCGAACCATGCGTTGATCACCGAAACGAGCCCGAGATGGTGATCGGCGTGGAGGTGACTGAGATAAATAAGCTTGAGCTCTGTTAAGATTTGCTGCATCTGTTCGCCGTTGTTGTGGCTGAACATCCGCAACATCGTGCCCAAGGTGTTTTCACCGCCGTCTAGAATGACCGAGGTGAATTTGATCTCGCCAGTTTCCGTCTTGTAAGGAACTCTGACGAGGTTTGAAAGAACATTTCTGTAAATAGCCGGAAGAGCCGATCCTGTTCCCACGGTGAAAACCTGAACATGGTCCTTCAACGATTGTGCGTTTTCGACCGGGTCCAACAGGATGATTTGCTTGCTCAAAAGCGACTCCAAGTCGGCTGCAATTTCCAGATCGGCAATGTGTTTGTTGTAAAGCGTCGCCCAGGAGTCGCTGGCCACCTTGGACTCGTCAAGCTCGATTCCCGTAGACGCAACGTTGAAGTTCTGAAGCATCTTGAGACCGACCGAATTGGGCAAACTTGGCCCGTTTTTCGTGTCGTGGTACGGAAGACAAAAATTGTCGTTCAGGAAGCACTTGAGCTTCATGTGGTGAACGATGGATGTCGTGAAAACAAGCGAATCGTCACACACCAGCTTGTGGCTGATGACGTGCTTGCAGTCTGCTGGGAACTTATTGATAAAATTGACATACGCCTCCAGCGTGAAGTCGATGTCGTCGCCCAAAAAGTGGTACACTAGTCCGACCTCCTCGTGTCCATGTGAATCGGACCTGCGGAACCACTCCTCGTTGTCGATGGTGTTCTGGAGGTAATGCTGGTTGGGAATGTCTATAATCACGGCTTTTCTGAACGTGTAGGGCGCCTCCAAAACCTGCTCGGGCTCGACCCACGATCCGTCTGTGCTCTGGACCCTTTGGCCCTGGGTGAGTTCTCTGAAAGCGACTCCTCGAGGAACACCCAACTCCATGGCCTTTTTCGGGTTGAATTTGCCTCTGACGGGGAGAAAACGAATCACGTACGAAAGCGACGGCTGGTTGTGGAGATGCAAGGACTGTGATGGGTCCGGGAGGGCTACATGCGTTTGGGCCTCTGTTTCGGACGGATCCAGTTTATAGGAGTCTGGGTCGTCGCTGTTGGCCTTGGAAGTGTCCTTTGGGAACATCAAGGAGGTGATTTTCGAGAGCTGGCGCTGGAAGACCGCCACGGCCTCTTCAGAGACCAGTTTTTTCGGCAAATCGCTGTCGATTTTCACCGGAAAGAGCATCACGGTCGAGTCGCCAATTACCTGGCCCGCGTGGGGCTCCAAAATGTTGAGTTCGATGCCACGGCGAAACACAAAGTAGCGCCATGTAGCCACAATATACGAAAGCACGCTTTTGCTGTTGGTAAACACATCAAGACCTCGGCTGGTGGCGTCGGAAGTGGTCAAAAAGAGGCCTGGAAGCCCGCCTATCTCAGACCAGAACTGCAAGTTGCCTGTCATAAACACAGACTTGAGTTTCCCGAGTCTCATGCTGTTTTCGTTAAGCGTTCGCTGAGTGCCTTCTGGCACCTTTCCAAATAAAAACTTCGAGCCCTCTCGCGTGTGAAGCATCACGAGCGGGTGCTGGGTATCGCTAGTTTTGTGGCAGACGGTCGTGAAGGTGAACATGGTGGAGGAGCTGTTGTCGATGTCTGGGAAGCTGGAGAAAAAAGTGGTATGGTGATTTGGCGAATTGAAGAGCTGAGGGGGCAAATCGCTGGCACGGGGGATTCGGGCACGGCGGGATTTGTGGCTGTGGCAGCGGAAAAAGGCGGTGGTTCGGGGCGTCACTCGACAAAAGTGACCCATATGAGTCTTGTTGAGATGGGTTTGCGATGCCGCGAAAGCACAGTGGTAGGTGGTGATTTGGTGAAGAAGAAAAATTTGGGGATTTTGGTGGAAGGAGATTTGATGGGGTATTTTTGGTGGGTGCTTTTTGGTGGAGAGGGAATTTTAATTGGGATGGTGGTGTTTGGTGGTGTTTGATGGTGTTTCGTGGTGGAGGTTGATGCGTTTTGCAACCATTGAGGTGAGGCCGATGGGTAGATGTGTGGTGCGTTCTTGAAGGGTGACAATCTGATTAGGGACAATTAATTATATGGGATTGTTGAGGTCTTTGGGAATTTCAGCTGTATGGGCCATTTGAACTGAAGTTGTTCCATATGGATTTTGGCCTTTTCTGGTGGGTCGAACTTGGAGATGGAGGGCATAAGATGCACAGAATGATGCGTAGGAGAAATGAAGTCAGAATTGGGCGAAATAGATTTCATAGAATTTCACGGTCTTACAGTTAAAAGGATATTTTGGTAATTTGAGAGGCCTATATCTTTGTCCTTCTAGAGCAGAGTTAGATGGTGGATCACTGTGCTCCAGCTGTATGATAAGGTATGGTCTACTAGGTTAAAGAGGCCAATTCCAGAATTAGAGCAGAATCATATTTCCATAGAAGAGACCTGTAAAAACTTCGAAGGAGCTCTCTAAAAACACGCTTGTGTAGGTTTGTTGCTTCCTAGAACTAAAGATACTATTCCTGAAAGTGTAGCTTCTTCAATCCTAAGAAAACACCACACTGCATCAGTCCATCGACAAACAGAACATTTGAATCTGTTGATACTCAGAGAACGCCCACACAACGCCTTCTCTCAAAAGCCCCAATTTCCAAAAAAGCCCCATTTTCTCGAGGCACCTTCTCGGTACGCCTCCACAAGCCCTCCACAATCATGACGTTGGTGCCCTGGATCTCCGGATCCCCCGTTTTTTACAAATCCTAAAATCTTCAAATCTCTCAAACACGTTGTCACGCTACGCCCACTCCACACCTCCAACCGTGTTGTTTGTTTTCCTACACCACCCACGAGGATCTCTTACGTCACCTACGCCAATCTCCAAACGCCACTATTCCAGCGCCACCACTTCCAGACCACGGAGCTCGATAAGCGGAATTACACAAAAACAAAGATTCCGATTGTTTTTTGGTGGTTTTGTGGAGGAACGTGGGGCAGATGTGTTGATGATGCAGCGATGGAAAACACGAGAGGAAGCCGATCCCAGGGCTTAGAAACACGGTCCGGGAAGACGTTTCCACAAAAAAAAAAAAAAAACTTAGAAACTAGTATAGATGTCAATCGCATCATCAATTGAATCACTGAAAATCAGCATCCACTTGGTCTGACTCGTAAACAAATACGCAAAAGCGATCTAGAAAGCGCACCCGAGACTCCCCGTGGAGCCCTGAAGATCTCTGTTACCGAGCAGATCAGGCTTAGAAACACGGTCCACAAACACCACGAGGTGACAAGAAGGACAACCAAAGCGACATCAAAATTATTCAAATCACTATTCAAATCACCAAATCACTAAAAATTGTTTGAAACTTCAACGTTTAACTTGGTAGTTTTTCCCGCTGAACCATGCCAAAAATCAGCCCGCACGAAACCGCCGCCCTACGGCCTCTTTTTTCTCGCAGTCACCCACTCCGAAGCGTCTGGGGTCGCACCATTTTGGGCCCCCGGTACCCCTCTGATTGTGCTCCGCATGCCCAAACTGGAAGGAGGGTTGCCGGCTGCTCGGGAAATAAAGGGGCGGGCGGTGCCGGTTTTTTTGTGATTTTGTAATTTGAATCTGTTGCAAAAGCCTGAAATCCGGTTGTGTGGTTTTTGGGCATTCTCGTTTATTTCGCTTCTCGTATCGCTTTCTCGCTTCTGCGTTGGGTTGGGTGCAAATACCGACATCTGCGACCCCGATTGGGAAACTCGGCCCTAAGCTCGGTGAAGCCGTCTGTCCATCCAACTTAGAATCCAAGCATTTTTGGAAGCTGTTTAAAAAAGAATTTGATTAAGGCTTTCACAAAGAATTAATCGGTTTTGTGGCTTTTTGGTTCCTGCCATCTCGTTCAATCCACTATTCCAAAGCCCCAGGGCTAATTTGTTCTGCGGCACTGCTGCAATAATACGTCTGCGGCAAAACAAGCATCTTGCATTTGCCTAATTGGTCAGGCCCATTGAAACACTTATAAGAAGGGATTTCCGGTTTTTTGGAACAGAGATATCCGCTTGCAGAGGTTTCTTCGAGGGTTCCGTTTTAGATCTTTTGGTAATTTAAGGGATTGCTTTTAAGATTTTGTTGAATCTCGCATTTGACCCTATTGCAACTTGACGTAAGTCGAACACTCCCTTTCAAACAAAAAGACAAGAATTCTCGATTGGACTTTTTGTCATATTGAAGAGCTAACCTGATATTTGCTTACCGTCGCTGAAAGCCCAATCCATTCATTACAGATTGATCCCCTGGAAGTCCATTCACTGCTTCCACTTCAGCTTTATACCTCCGAGTTCAGCAATTGTTCAATTGAACCCCTGACTCACTAACTATCGTTGAGACTTTGCTTACTAGTCCTGGAAAGTTCAACATCACCTAAACTCCGCTTTTTGGTCGTTGAAACCTCGCATTCAAACGTCCTTATCGTTGGCTAGTGCTCTGGAAGTGTACCTACACATTCACTTCCAACTACTGAATATCGAGTTTTCAGCCGCTCATCGTTTGAGCTCATTATCCCCTAGTTGCACTCTTCAACTCGTTGAGCTTCAGATCGCTGGACCAATTCGTTCTACGAGCCGCTCATTCAAACGCTGCCAACCGTCAACCTCATCTACCGTTGACAAAGCCTGTTTCGCAGCCACTGCCGAGCCTCAACCACCAATTGGCTAAAGCTCGCTAACCCACCAATCGGCTTAACCCACCAATCGGCTTAACCCACCAATCGGCTCAATGCACATCGTGGTCACCCTCCTCGCCCAGCTCATCCTCTCTTTCGCTTGGGCCGCCGCCGCAGCGCCAGACGGGTCGCCCCTGGGCGGCTACGCACCCGCCCACGTCTCGTGCCCCAACTCCACCCTCCTCCGTGAAGGCAGCCTGATCTCCGAGGCCGAAAAAGACTGGATCGCCCTGCGTGCCGAGATCGCCGACGCCGCCCTCGCCGACTTCCTCGACGAGCACCTCCCGGGCGCCAACGGCTCCTGCCGCCTCGCCACCGCCTTCTCTGGCGGCGGCTACCGTGCCATGTTTGTAGGAGCAGGCGAACTTGCCGCCATTGACTCACGTTCCGAAGGCACGCTGCCGCTCAAGGGCCTCCTCCAGGCGAGCTCCTACATCGCAGGGCTCCTGGGCGGGCTGTGGCTTCTCAGTCTGGTGGCGCTTCAGGGGTGGCCTCAGGTTGAGAACATCGTGGACAGTGGGCTCTGGAACGCCACAAGCCAAAACTCGTTGATCGACACGTCGGACTTCTTGGGGCTCGCGTGGGCCGTCGTCACGGCAAACTACAACCGCTTGTTGACGCACGTGCGCCACTGGGAAAAGAGTGGAAAAGGGATCGGTGAGGAAATCAAGGCGAAGGAATCCGCGGGCTTTTATACTTCGCTTACCGATGTGTGGGGTCGCGGTCTTGCACACCAGTTTTTTCCCCTGCAGAACAACTACTATGCTCCAGCACTCTGGCTGGATTTGGCTGAGGCTGATTTTTTTAAAAACCACCTGATGCCGTTTCCGTTGGTGACGGCGTTGGCCAGAAGGCCCGACTCGCTCGTGTACGATTTGAACCTGCCGGTAGTGGAATTCAATCCCCTTGAAATGGGCTCCTTCGATACCTCCATCAACTCTTTTTTTCCCACGCGGTACTTGGGCACTGAAGTCGATAACGGTAAAGTTTCTGGAAATTGCACTCGGGGCTTTGATAATGCCGCTTTTGTGTACGGAACGTCGTCGTCGTTGTTCAACCAGTTTTTGAACACCCTAGTTTGTCCAGACTGTGATCAGCTTCCGGGTCTCATCAAGTGGTTTGTGCGGAACCTCCTCAACAGAATGTCCCGCCAGAAAGAGGATATCGCCATTTACAATCCAAACCCGTTTTTCGGATCGGAGCACGCGGCGTCGCTGAATGTATCGACCAGTGAATCGCTTTTCCTTATGGACGGTGGAATTGGTGGTGAATACCTCCCTCTTTCCTCCTTGATGAACACCCACCGTGAGGTGGATACCGTTTTGGCGTTCGATAATAACCCCGGCGGATGGCCGGATGGGTCCTCCTTGGTCAACGCGTTCCGCCGTTCGCAGACCTACGAAGGTCGATCAACAATTTGTCCCTGGGTCCCCGGTGAAGACACCTTTTTGGCTCACAACTTCACCGCTCGTCCTGTTTTCTTTGGATGCGACGCTAAAAACCAGACGGACCTCGTCAAAGACGACGTGGTGCCGCCGCTCGTGATCTACCTCGCCAACCGTCCGTTTGAGTTCTTTTCCAACCAGAGCACGCTTCAGTTGGCGTGGCCTGATGACAAGAAAAAGGCGACCATCCAGAACGGTTACGATATCGCTTCTCAGATGAATGGTACTGTGGATGCTTCCTGGGGCACGTGTGTGGCTTGTGCGTTGGTCAGAAGAGACCAGGAGCGCCAGGGAGTCGAGCAGAGCGAGGAGTGTCAGCGTTGTTTTGAAAAGTACTGCTGGGACGGTTCTGTCTATGAGGGTCCAACTTATTACAGGCCTGTGAACTATACCGTCGATGGACTCACCAACAGTAGCATGACGCTTTGGGGCAATAACCTGATTCCCGTGGATACGAGCCTGGGTGGAGGCTTCAGTATCTGGAGCGTGCTTCTCAGTGTTTTGAGGTCGATCTTTTCGTGGTTTTGATGGCTGCAAAAAGCGCAAATTTCTGCAAGCGAAGCTGTCAAGACGCGGCTTAGCTGCGGCGCGATAGCCGCAGCACCTAGGCGAGTGGATAGTTAATGAGAATATGATGAGGTGATTGTAGGGGGAGGTAGACGAGGGGGGGATTTGGTTAGAGAGGATCAATGGATTTGGTTTGAAAGCAGGGTTCCGATGTTGCGGCTATGGTGTGAATCAAAATTGGTCTTTGTATGAGTGTGATGTCAGGGTTCTACGGTAAGGTTCGGACTAGCTTCTGATGAATTGATTTCTTGTGAGATATTTCTGTTTTCGTAATTTTGGCATGATGAATATTTTGTCAGTGGGTTGGTACTACAAAACTATCACTCGCAGTCTGGTCCTCAGTATGACGAAGAGGCAATTAAGGCACAATTACTGACATTGCGAGCCCAAAGTCTATTCCACGAAGTCTATTTCTAAAGCGTCTCTCTCAAAAGTCTCTTTCTATAATTCGTTTAGTGAGGTTTACTCAAAGTCTTCGAAATGCGTGGAAAGAAATAAAACAAGGACTGAGTACATATCTGCCATGCTACTGCCAATTAACATCAAAACCTAAAAATTGAGCATACCACACCCAAAGCTCCACTCTTTATCTTCAGCCAACGCTTATTTCTTCATCACCAGGATACGCCTGTACCGCTTCCCTCGACACCAACCACCACTGAACCACATCTCCATTTCCTATAACCTCAACTACACCTCCCTTCCTCTCCTTCTGCCTCCTTCAGTTGCCCTCCACGACCCTCTTCCCACCCCCTCCTTATTTTTCCCAATCCAGCGGATCTCCCCACGCCTCGGTGCCAGATCACCAGCCATTGTTACCTTCTCAGAATGGTGCTATTGTTACCCCAGGTCATCGCACAAAGTGTAAACATCAGCCGTTCCGTGGGGTGTCCATAGTAACTTGGAGATTGAGATTTTGAGGAAATGGATGACCAGGGGAAAAAAAGACTGTTTTGCCAAAATTCACTTGTGACGATCCCAGATCTCATCCTCGGCTGCTTCCTCGGTTGCAACTTCAGCAACCACTTCATCGCACCATCAAACCGTGAATTTCCACCATTTTCTAAACATCATTAACTTCACTCTCCACCCTCTTTCCACCCACTTCTCTCTATTCCTTATAATACTACTCTCCTTTAGTCCCCTCGTATTCTAAATATGGGGAAGTGCGTCTGCAGCCAGCAAGCGGCTCAACCAGCATACCACATACGCCCAACCGACCACCAAAAAGATCAAACTTCACGAAATCCCAAAAACACAAAGTAATCCAAAATCCCTCCCTCCAAAAAAAGCACCCTTTTCAGATCTCACCTGCATTCACGCCGTTGCCCGAGATCCTCCTAATCCATCGATCGCATGTGCGACTCATCCAAACATCTACAACTACAACTATAAAAAGGCACCATCCCCCAGATTCCACCAACACACTTTTTTAAAAGCCTAAAAGCCACGTACGCTGCAACCCACGCAGTGCACCCCTAATTCCTAATATCTCCCCGAAAAACACCCCACCACATCCCCATCCACCATGGCTGAAACAGCCGTATCCGGTCATGCCGAAATCATCCAGAGCATTTTAACACAAAACCCTCAACTCCGGCCCAAGGGCCCCGACGACGGCTTCGACTCCCGTACCTCCATGAGAAACAAGGCTCTTCTGGCGCTTCGGCTCGTGCCTATAGTGGGAAAAGTCGTTCCAGCAGTGGACCACAAGAAGGAGCTCATAGAAAAGCTCAAGCACCAGCAGAAAACAGCCGTCACGTTCAAGGAGTGGTACGCGATCCTGGCCGAGTTGGACGAGCTCTTGGGCAACAACATGTGGAAGTTGGACCCCCAGCTGCCCTACTATGACCACGATACCGTGTACAAGAACCTCCAGGAGCTCAGGAACGCCCGTTTGCTGAAGGACTACAATCTTTTGTTGTACTTGATCAGAACGAAATGGACCAGAAACGTCGGCAACATGGGCGACATCGACTTGTTCCGCCATTCTCACGTTGGCACCAAGAAGCTTATCGAAGAGTTCATCGAGGAGTGCCAGCTCTCGCTAGACTTCTTGACCAGCGACCCGGACGTCAACCTCGACGACAGATACCTCCTTGGCATGTTGATCCAGACGCGTAAGAACATCGGACGAACGGCGCTTTTGCTCTCGGGCGGTTCGACGTTTGGCGTTTCCCACATTGGCGTCTTGATAGCGCTTTTGGAGACGAACTTGATGCCCAGGATCATTCTGGGCTCGTCCTCGGGCTCTATTTTCGCCAGTATGTTGTGCTGCAACACCAACGACGAGTTGACCGAGTTGTTGTCGCTGATAACCGAGCAGAAACTCAATATCTTTGGCTCGCTGGACCCGAAAGAGGGCACCTTCAAGCGCTTCTTGGAGCGCGTCAGCCACATGCTCAAATTTGGCACTATTTTCGATATCAAGGGTCTTCAGGAAACAATGCGTGAGTTTGTGGGTGATTTGACATTTAGAGAGGCCTACAACAGAACAGGCAAGATCCTTAACATCACGGTTTCGCCTGCCTCCATGCACGAGCAAACCAGACTCTTGAACTACCTTTCGGCGCCCAACTGCTTGATTTGGTCTGCTGTGAGTGCATCTTGCTCCCTTCCAGGCATCTTCCCTTCTTCCTCCATTTACGAAAAGAACCCTAGAACTGGAGAGATCCGTGAATGGAACAACGATGTCTCGCTGAAATACGTCGACGGCTCCGTGGACGGTGATCTTCCGATCTTGCGTTTGTCAGAGATGTTCAATGTTGACCATATCATTGCCGTCCAGATCAACCCTCATGTTTCGCCCATTCTTCGACTTTCCGTGGGCGCTGCCTCTGGAAACGTCGAAAATGAATTCAGTGAAGCTATCAGAAACGTGCTCAATAATTGCTACGACTTCATTGCCTGCGAAATTATCCACTACCTCCAGATCATCCACGAAATGGATGTCTCGAAGAACTTGGCCATGAAGGCTATCTCCTTGTTATCCCAGCAGTACTCTGGAGACATCACCATCTTGCCAGAACTCAACTTCTCCGATTTCCCCAAGGTTTTTGAGAACCCTAAGCCCGAGTTTTTGGTTGACTTCCTCCTCAGAGGAGCCCGTGCATGCTGGCCCAAAATCAGCCGAATCAACAACCACTGTGGAGTTGAGTTCCATCTAGACAAGGCCATTACCAGGCTTCGTGGTCGTGTGATTGCATCTTCCAACAACAGGATCACCTACAATAGCACATCCATGAACCCCAGCAATTCGGATATGTTGAAGAACGGTGAAATGAACTCCTACCTTATCAGCTACCCGGTGTTCAACAAGGAGCCTAGAGAAGAGGAGAGGCAGTGCCCAGAACTTCCACAAATCAGAAGACACAACACCACCACTAATGCCAGCATCTACACACCGAAGGAGAGAGTACCCAGACAGAAGAAACGAGACAGGTTCACCTCGATGTTCAACGGCAAGGGCAAGGGGATCTTGAAAGGCAAGTCAACGACTTCATTACTGTCTATGAACCGGAACCTCGATCGAGGCGTTGGCAGCGAGCCTTCTGCGGGACAGGAGCTTGCGATTCCTTCCATCGAAGGCTATGATTCCTCATTGGACGAGCACCAGAACGGTCGTACGATTCGTAAGGCGCTCAGTTCGGGTAACTTCCAGGTAGACTCTGTTCCACAGAGCCCCATCAAGCTCCGCAGCAGCCCCAAAGACGACAAGTCTGTTCATTACTTTGACTCCGACAAGGCCTCGTTGTACTCCACGTCCGGCAAGAAGCTCGAACGGGTACGAAGCCAGGAGATCAGAGAGAAAGCCAATCTCCCTCGTTCACTGGGAACCACTGGAAGCAGCACGTACTTGGCTCTCAACAGGCTGAGAGAGAATCTGACGTCGTACAGCCCTCAAACCAGCCAGGCATTTATGCAGCTTGGCTACGACAACGAGATGATTGAGCTGATGAAGACGCTCAATCTGCCTGACTTGCGGAGACTGATGTCGAAGACCCGAATGCTGTCGATGCGCCAGCGTCACCACACCCGGTCGCTTCTGGGACCAGCTGGAAACCAGGCATATTTTGACCGCAGCAATGGGGCCACGACGCCCACTCCGCTCAACAAAGCGCCTGTCTTTGATAAGGAAGTGAGCGATTCTGGCCAGTCGAAGGACGCCAGCGGACAGGTTCTGTCGGACAACGATGCCGATACAGAGGTTGACGATGGTAAGAAGGAAGGCGAGGAGCGGCCCGAGGAGGACTCCGAGGGGGAGTTCTTTCCCTGCGAATGAAGGAAGGGACCCCAGGGTCGATAATCAGGGTCGATTGTTCCAGGTAGTTTTGTGTCCTAGGGACAAAGCATAATGTCATAAATCGTTATTAATGTGCGCCGGCGACGGAGAAGAGGATGGGAAGCACCATGCCGCCGACGGTCAAGATCAACTCGGTGGAGGAGAAGGCCTGGGCCTGGGGCTTGGCGGACTCGATGTCCTTGCCCTTGCGCTCCAAGACCTCCATCATGACGTGGATCACGGAGTACAAGAAGGTGCCGCCGCTAAATAGAAGCAAGATGCCCAAGACCAAGGGCGAGTCCAAGTGGAACGTGGAGATGATGCCGTAGGTGAGTAGCGAGGATGTGGGCGTGGACAAGGCGAACAAGAGGAGGTGGAAGTTGACCACGTTCTGGGAGAAGCCCTCTGTATGGAGCACCACGGCCAAGCTGAAGGCGGTGGGGAGCTTGTGGATGATGATCATGAAGAACAAGAACATGTGGAAGGAGTTTTCGTGGAAAAACGACAGGCCCAAGGCGATGCCGTCGACGCAGCTGTGCAAAATGAGGCCAATTGTCAAGGTGGAATGCAACGTGCTTTCGAGGCGAGCCTTCCAGGAGCTTTCGTCCGAGTACTGGGACGGACTGGAGTCTTTGATCACCGTGTACTGGTCGACAAAGAACATCAACATGAAGCCGACCAAGAGCGACGTGCCTGCGACGGTCGACGTCAGCAAAATGTGGGGCCCTGCGCCACGTCCCTCGAAGATCGTCTCGGCGCCCTCTGGAATCACCAAAACCAACACGGTACCCACCAAAATGCCCATACTGGCGACGATAACCAGATCAAGCTGATGAAGCGGCAAACCAAACTTCCACGGAAGAAAGCCTGCTGCAAACAGCGTGGCTGCCATGAACACCGCCAAGAGAAAGAGCACAAGGAGGTCGGGCATGGGGTTGATTCAGGAAAAAGAAGTGGTTGGTTTGAGAAACGCGAGGTGGGAATCGGTGTGTAGATATAGTGCGATGTGCCAAGACCCTGTGCATGGGTGGTTCTTCACATTTAGATGTGATGTTTTGGGTGGTTTTGGAATTATGGAGTTGATGGAATTGATAAATGGCCTGTCGAATGTCGGTCATTGCTTTTGTGGGATTGGCTTATTGAATGTGTGGATTGGACTTAGGTGGGCTGGGTCTTATCGGTGCAGGTGGCTAGTGAGGTACCGAGCCGGTATGCCATTGAGGTTATGGAAAGTGGCATTGTTTCTTGGGATGGTTTTGGATTTGTGGGCTATTTTTTATTTTTTTAAAGGAGTTGGTGGTTTTGGTGTTTCTGAGGCGGATGGAGAGAAATTTCAGGGTTTTTGGGTTCGGCGACTTGTGGCCAATTTGTGTCACTAGATCTCGCCGATGTCTCAGATCGGTGCGTCGGATCCAGCGGGCTGGTGCGATCTGGGGTTCCACGACATTGGGACTTTTCGAGGGCGGGAGATTTGGTACTGGTGGGTGTTTTGGCTCTCTGGGAGTTTTGTTATATTTTTTTTGCTAATTTTTTTGTATCTTTTCGTGGAGCTATGGCTTGTTGAATTTTGGGATGGTTTTCAGGTGACAATGGGTGTTCTCTTTAGCGTAGTGTATCAGTCTTCTTGGTTGTTTATTCCTAAGGAAAAAAATAAGGTATTGGTCAGTTAGGCGAGTCTATGTAATGATGCAATTGGCAATTGTTGGTAATGTTTCTCTGACTTGGTTGATAGTACTGAACAGATCCCACTACGTTCATGAAGCTCAAACGCACATATCGAATCGAAACTATTATAAAGACATTAGCATTAGCATTACTCAAACAAGGAATCCAAAAAGAATGTTTTCTTTGGAATGCTTCATGGAGAAGATTATCATGGTTATTACCCAGTGCTTTAGCTCTCGTGCATTTTGGGTGCGAATAGTACCACCCACATAAGATCTAATACGTCTGTAGAAGCCGAGCAAGGCGACAACAAATTATCTAAAAAAATACTCCAGTAATCTGATGGTGACAAAAAAGAGAAAAGTTAGTTTCAAAATATTCTGGCTGATCTTGAAATTGAGATACTCATCGGGGGAACTACATTCCGGCTGGGACTAGTAATATAAATCTCCGTCGAACCTTCTGTGAGGTTTGGTTTTGCAATGGTCTCTGCTTCCTTTGATTATTCACACACACAAGTTTTTTAAGTAATTACAATTCACATTATTGCTGAGACTTACGAGAATATGATCCCCAGTGTCTTCAAGGTAGGGATAGTGCGAATATGAGATATGAGGAGGTTCTAGGAAAGGGACTGTTGAATTGATTTTTCAACGTATTCGTAATTCTGAGACAGTCCTGGTGGCGCTTTGTTTTCAATTTTACAAACTTCACTTATAAAAACGCTAGGAATTTACGATGGGGCTATTGGCTTTCGAATTGAGCTCATCAGATACACCAAGTTCCATGGTATAATCGGAGGTTACTTCTCCTGTGATTCTGGTAAATTCGGGAACGCGTTTGAGTCGTCGAAAATACCTACAGTTTCATCAACTTGGCGTATATCAATAGTCAATGCACTTATTGAAGACGATGTCTCACTCGTGCTTTTGGCTGCGAAAGTGTCACATTATCACGACATTTATCTCGACCATTCAACAATGTAAACACGACAAACAATTATCAAAAAAAATACTCCAGTCATCTTTGACATTCAATAAATGTGTCTAAAATAACCAAAAGCTCTTAGCTAGTATCAGAAGTCAGTGAACCCTAGGGTTCAACAACCACTTATTGAAGAATCATAGTATTGAAGGCATCAAATGTCCACAGTCTAAGACTACATTCCATATGTGACTCGGAATTTTGTCTAAATTATGCTAATCTATAATTTTCAGATTCGCTTCCCAAATGTCTAGGTATCTTTGGTAGCGAGTTCCCTCGTCTCTCATCTCAAACGTCCATATACCCCCACCTTAGCTTTTCTTCCCATTTTTTACCTTCAGACCCTTTTGTCTGGAAGGACATTTCCGACGTGGGTGACTCTTGTCGCCACATTTAGTGCAGCCCCTGAACTCACATTCCAAGAGCGAGTGGTCGGTCGTGTAACATATGCTGCAGTATCTAGCGCAGAATTTAATTGAGCAAGACATATCTTCACCGTCGGGAACAATGCTTTTAGGTGCATAAGATGAGTATTCCTTGATGCATTCCCCGTAATACTTTTCATGCGCAGCAGCACTTGCGATAAGATATTCGATCGCTCCCTCTCGAGGTTTAACCAGTGAAGCTCTGACGATTTCTTTAAACTTCTCTAGAAAGATTTGTTGGTCTCTGTAATCTTTTTTGTTATATTTTAGATTGGTGAGGTACACCTCCACTGTTCCTCTTTTCGGAGGAATCTTTCCCAGAACAAGGTCGATCTGGACGTTGGAATAACAAAACTCCGTTGTATCATCTTGGTGAGGTAACTCTTCCCACAGAGTGACAGTATCCGCCGGTTGCAAAAAGAAATCTTTAAAGAAGTGCTTGGGAGAAAATGGTCTTTTATGGAGAACAACCATCCATAGGAAGTTTTCAGGCTTGATGCTCTTGGTCAACAGGAAATGTCTGGACTCATCCTGGGGGTCGACGAATTTTTGGTCAAGTAGAAGCTGAACAAGAGTCTCTATGACTTGATCAATTTCTGGAGTAAAGTCATCATTGGCTTCCTCTCCGCTCAACCTGGTATAGATCAATTTGATACAACTTCTTTCCAACGCTCCCAGGAAGTGGACCTTAGAGCCAATGATCCTTGCGTTGCCGATGAGCGCATTTACAATCGCATCTTCAGCGGTTTTTTTGAGTTCCTCTTTAATATTTGGCCTCTCATTGTCAGAAAGCGTCTCTGGATCAGGCTTTTCGGGATGCTCTAAGGAGAGTCTCTCGAAAGCCTCTAAATCGTCTGGTCGTAGCTCCTTCCACCTAAGCTTCGCCTCCCTATAGTTCTGCCAGCCAAATTCACGAAGTATAGCTGTCATCTCGTAATCCAGCATCCCACTCTCATTTGACACGTCCATCTTGTAGGTTATGCTATTATGAGGAAGGTCATTCAATTCCGAGCACACCGTCTCCCTGGACGCCCCTTGCATCACGATTTGCTTCACCTGGTTTTGGACAAAGTAGGAGGCATCCTGGTAACCGACCATGGCTTGTCTTAGAAGATAATCCATATTGTCCTGATGTTTCTCGTGTGGATCGCTGAAATTCGGATCGACCAGTTTGTGTGACGTAGCAATCCATTCAGTGGGAAACTCGATTTCATCGCTCTGTGGTTCAGGCGTCTTTGTTGTCTTTTGGTTCTTTCCCCGATTCAGAGGCTGTGGATTGACAGGTTTGGGGGAACGGTTTTTTCCCTTTCGGGTGGGCCTTTTTTCAATAGTCATGGAAACGTGAAAATCAGTGTGGATTTGTGTGGGTTTGTGTGTATTTGTGTGGGTGTTTATGGCATTTCGTGGAGAATGATGGAGTAGGTCTCAGTTATCGGTGAGGTAGATAACGCGAATGAGGTAACATGATGGAGTTCTGGAAAAATAGCATGAAAGGGACTGAAATTACTTTATAGTAAAATCACCAGGATCTTTGTAATTCGAGAACTCATTATAATTTGAGTGAAACAATAGTTCTAAAAAGGTTGTAAAATAAACATTTAGGTTGTGGGTTTCCCAAATAGTTGTCAGATCCATGCAAGCGCTGGATTCAATAAAACGAAAGAATCGACTCACTTTTAGCTAATTAACAGTGAATATGAACCTTTAAAGCTAAGTCTTCAATTTGAGGGAATTTTCAAGGTTTCTTTGCAATTGTTGAAGAAGATGTCTTGCGTCATTTTGGCTGCGAAACTGGGACCTCGAAACGACATTTACCTCTCTCTGTAAACGGAGTGAAATTTGGTAAACAATTAGTGAAAAAAATAGTCACATCATCTTTGAAAATCAAAATATAGCATCAAATTATTCAAGGTTATTCATAGCAAGCTGTTAACGAAATATCCCTATAATCGAACCCACACCTACCTCTGTTATATATGGGGAAGACATACCAATAAAGACCCATTCCCCAAATCACCAAACAAAATAGATTTCACATAATTTCCAGAAACATTGTAGTTCATATATTTACGTAAATTTCCCAAACCACCGCCAAATCAGCCCTTTTCCTAAATCACCTTTCACCCCACCATCACCTTCTCGTGTACTCCATAGTGCGATATCAACTACACCTTCTTTTACGTCAAACCCACACCACATCCCAGGATTGGGGTTTCCCTGGACCGTTACCCCGCATAACCAAAAACTATATAAGTCCGCCAGAATCCCCCTTCAATTTCCCAAAATTCCACAACCCAGTCCACACCAACGCGTCTAATGGAGAAGGACGAGGAGGCCTACGAAGCCGGAATCGAGGCGGCCATCTCCCGCTTCAAGAAAAAAGACTACAGTCGGTGCCTCGGCTTGCTCAATGAGCTTGTGCTGCATCTTCAGGAGACGCTGCCTTCGGAAATCACGAAAATCAGGAAGTACTACAATCTCACACCTAGACCGCTAATGGGGGTCCCATGCCATCCCAGACTCCTTTCTGTGTTGGATCACAGAGCCGCTACATACGAGAAATTGGGCAATTTGCCTAGGGCCTTGAAAGACGCCCAAAAGGCCATGACTTTGGACCCTTTGGACCCGAAGGGATACCTTAGAGCAGCTAAGCTCTGGGGCAAGGAGGGCAAGGACGTGGACGCGTACAAGGCGCTTCAAAGGGGCATTTACACTATCGACCGGGCGCTAGAGAAGCACGACGTGCCGATTTCTCAGAACTTGCTTAACCAGCTCAGGACCAAGTATGGCGAGCTCAACCGACAACTCAAACGGAAACGGCTGGCTTCTGAGGCGTCTTTAAAGAAACCTACCCCTGAGGATAGCATAAAGAAAGCAAAGAGCTTTTCTGCATCGGGTCTCCAGCGTAAACTCGACGAGATGTTGCCTCTTCCACGCTCCTCGTCAGCGCCACAGGCACTTGAACCAAGACATATTCCAAAATCATCTTCGGACCCGCTTGAACGTCTACCTGTGGACTTAATTGAGCAGATTTTTCTGTATCTTCCCGTCAGAAGCTTGCTTCGCTCGCATTTGGTCTGCAAAGACTGGTATGCTCTCTTGACATCAATGCCCAGTTTGTACAGCGACATCTTCTCTCTCCGCCACCGAGGAACCGCTCCAGAGTACTTTGGCGGCTTAAAGCTCATGAAAAAGGTGTCTCAGTACTCCTACCAGAAATCTGTCTGCTCAGTAAAGCTCTGGTCGACTTATGACGCCATCCATCTCGGACGCATTCTAGAAAACATCGTGTCTGACGAAACTCTCAAGCTTCGAAAGTTGGAGATTGTGAACAGAGACTTCAGCTGGCAGCTTCTCTTGAACAAATTGGAGAAATGCAAGTGGAAGCTTGAAAATCTCAGCACAATCGAGAAGTTGAGATTCGTGATTAACAGGCCCTTGGTGAATCCTCAGCTCCTATTACATTTATACCCACAGCTCACCGAATTGGACCTTGTTGTGGCCGATGAAGTGGCAAATATTCCATACGATACTTTGACACCGACATCCGATATTTACAAAAAGTTTCTTCAAGAGCTGAGTGCCACTACCTCGCTGGAGTCACTCAAAGGTCTCTCCTATATCAATCAGGAATCTTACATTATCATAAGGCCACTTGCGCAGCCGCAGCTTTTGAAACTCCGGTTCCCAGCTCTCACTAGGTTGACGTTTGTTGGTGTCAATTTCAAAAACTTAACGCATGAGTTCGGGGAGTTCATTTGTTGCTGTGACCAGCTCGAAAACCTATACTTGGAAAAGAATGAGCAGCTTCCGATAAGGACCCTCTTGAGGCTTTTGCAACTATTTGAGGCAAAATTCAAACTCAAACGTCTTACCATCAGAGAGGAGGGCGAACTGAGACACTCAAATTTGAACGATGTTGAGGAGGACTCCTTGCCATGCTTGTCTGAACTAGAGCACTTGGACATCTATGGCTCGTCCTTGTCATCAAAAGGCCTCCTCAAACTACTTACGATTGCGAACGCAGGATTCAAGCTTTCATCGCTAAATTTGGGCAAATCCCGCTTCGTTTTCTTCCGCCGTGATCAGTTTGTCACTGGCCACGAGGTTCTTGAGTTTTCCCTGGTGTTTCAAATCGCACCACACCTCCAAACGCTTTACTTGAACGAAATGGACATTGACAACCTCTCGATGAAGCTTCTCCACAACGATCTAGCCAATGCATGCGGCTACGATAACATCAAGCTCAAGAAACTTGACCTCTCATTTTGCCAAAAAATCAATGGAATTGGTATCATGAACTTGCTCAACTTTTCCAGTTCGCAGCCATCCAACCCCAAGACCCTACATTTGGACGAGCTCATCCTCGATGGCCTCGATATACACAAGGGCTCAAGCAACCTCCTCATGAATAAAGAAATCGTCAAGTTAATCAGAAACGACCCGACGAAGACCACATGGATGCAAAAAGGTGTCAATACGCTCGTGCCGTGATTACAGCTGATATGTGCGCGACACTACCGAAAAATACCCACGATGAGATGCCTATCTCAGAAAGTGGAACAAGATACCCAGGAGAATGGCGCCAGTGACCCGTCAGGCTTCTAAGAAAATTAAGTTCACCGATGACGGTGAGCTTCCCGAGAACCATGAGCCCATTACAGTCGACAAATCCGAGTCAGAGCCCGAGGAGAGCGAGTCCGATTCCGACTCAGACGAGGCTCCAGAGGAAGAGTCGATCTCAGCATCCAAGGCCAAGACGCTCAAACAGCAAAAAGAGCAGGAAAAGCTAGAACAGGAAAGACGCAAGCAGGAAAAGCAAAAGAGAAAAGAGCAGGATCTCGTATACCAACAGCAGCAGCAGGAAAAGAAGAAGCGTCTCGAAGAGCTCGTGGCGTCGCAGGAATTGCCTGACTTGCTTCCGGAAGAGCTTCTTCAGGAGGTCAGCTCTACGCCGGAGCAGCCCCAGGGCAAGCACATGAGAACAGAGGATCTCGAGAACGAGTACGCCGAGATGAGAAAGAAGGCCAAGTTGGAGAAGCTCAAGCAGCTCAAGCAGCAGCGGACGCTGGCGATCAAGAAAGGCCCCGTGCACGTGCAAGTGCAGCTGTTTGGGCTGACCAAAAAATCGGTGCCCAAGGCCGACCCCAAGGTGGTTGAAAGCAAGAGCAGCTGGCTCAACAGAGACTCCTTGAGAAGAAAATAGCATCAGCATCCCATAACCTTGTATATTATTGGCGAGGTGGCACGCTGCCCCGCCCCCAGCATGACCTATACACGTTGTAGCTACTGGCCCACGCCTAGTCTTTCGTTTCTTCCCGCCAAAGATGGTTCTTTGAATGTGATGGTAGGAACGGTTTTATCCTCCTGATGCAGATCGATTTGCGTTTCATTCTGTGACTTTTGTTCTGCCACCGAATCGTCATATTCTAGCACGTCCTCTGGAGTGAGTTTGATGGTTGTAGCTGGACGACGTAACATGTTGTTGATGTGCGATTGAGATGTAGTGAGCAGGAATGGTGATATGGGGATGGAGGGATGGTGGATTTCTTTTTTTTTTTTTGAAATGAACGAAACTTGATAAATGATAGTTGTAGTGTTGAATGAAATATTTTAGGGTTGAAAAATGTAGGTTTTGATGTAGGGCAGTGTGGAACTCCAGACTACAGGTTATATATGGCGTAACAGGAAGGTGAGAAGACCTCGATATTTGAAAAATGGCATCTTTTTTGGAATTATAAATGGCATATTTTTTGGAATTGCTGTTTATGGCAAGTTTAACTGGAAACTCAAATTCAAGCATTCCTTGCGGTTCTAGAGTCCCTGGGTCTGTTCTGCTATTGTGAGACGTCACTTTCAGGCAATCTTAGGAAGCCCTCTACATTTCATAAACCACAACTAAAGCCCAAACTGATATAATCTTGATAATATGCTACTGAATAAGATGCTAACTTTGTGCTCGAATAGATTATAAATCTTTTGGTTAAGGCTTTGAGCCATAATCTTTCCACCATCACAAGCCTTCCATCTCCATCCCATGGTATCTCTTGCACTGGACTATCTTAAACCTTAAGATTTTTCATTTTTTCGCTGTTTTCGCCATCTTTGAGTATGAGGGACTCAGTTTTGATTTGTAATACTAGCTGGATTATTGCCATGCCTTGTATCAGCCCAGTACATGTCCTTCATTTTCACCATCTAAGCTCCTCCTCACCCTACAAATTATGTAATGCATTCGAGGAGGAAACATGAACGCTTTTTTCGCCAGTGGCACTCAGTAATTGAGAGTAACGTCATAAGCTTTGGGTACATGCAATTAGTCAAATCAATTCAAGATACTCGTCACAATAAATCATACTATTGTTCCGTTTCTGTATTCATAATCTCTGTTCCCCTTTTTTTTTTCACAATACTCGAGTAACAGATTTCAATCTGAACGCTGAGATCATTCCGTAAGGTTGATTCTGAATGCACCTTTCCCCAGAACCGCCTCCAAATCAACCATCTTCACTTTCACATTTCACCAAACATAAGAAAACACCAGAATACAATGAAAATTAAAACAATTGCAAGATTTTCCTAAACCAATATTGCCTGAACCCTCAAAACTACTTCCCCAAGGCCTAACACTTCATACACCTACAAATCAATCATCAATTCATATTTCACAAAACTCAAGAATACATCACAATACAATTAAATTCAAAATATTTTAAAACCTTCCTTATTTTTCTCAACACCTCTCCAAACCACTCCCCATTGCCTACTTCTACACCTCCTCATCTAAATCAATGCCTAAACTAGCATCTAAATCAATCGTTACTAAACAGATAAACAGGGTATAAATGTTGGCTCACGCCTGGTCTACTCCCACGAGAGACGGAAGTCCTTCTGGAAAGCACCTTTATCAGTGTACTCCTCCAAGTCAAGCACCTCCACGGTCTTATTGTAATAGTCAAAGCTCACGGTCTGGTTGTTGAATCTCACAGACGAAGGCTCCTCGTCCACACCCAAAATCACCACCGACGCCAAGGGCTGCTCGATCTCGTAATCACCGTAAGCAGAAGAAGTAAGAACACCATCGCCAGCCACAAATTCCACCGTGGTCGAGTTGCCCACAGGGTACGAGATTCCGTCATCCGAGTACAAAGACCCCAGGGCCGTACCCTCGATGCCCAACGGCACAAGAAGCGTCCAGGAATTATTTCTCGACTCTGCCGTGGTGTAGCCGGGATCCTGGAGCGGAATAATGTGGCCTCCACGGATATGGAGCGGAATGTGGCCGAGTGGAGCGTCCAAGGTCTCGTTTTTGCCGTCTGTGACGTTCACCTGCTCGTAGGTGTACCAGTCGTAGTAGAGGTCGGTGACGTTGGCGCCGGGGAAGACACCATCAACTTCAGAAACGTTTGGCTGGAGAACTGGGGTCACCAAAAGGGCGTCTCCTACGAAAAACTGCCTGTCTGCGTCAGAAAGAGCAGGGTCGTCTGGGAACTCCCACGAAAGGGCCCTAAGAACGGGAACACCGGTTTCAGAAGCCTCCTTGAGCAAAGTGTAGTAGTACGGCAAAAGCAGGTACCGGATGTCCATGGTGATCTTGGAGTGCTCAAGCACATCCGCCCACACATAGGGTTCCTGGTCTATGGCGCCCAAGACGTTGTGGTTCCGGTAGAACGGGAAAAAAGCACCCAATTGCATCCAGCGGGAGCACAATTCCAAGTCGGCGTTGCCGTTGAAGCCGCAGACGTCCACGCCAAAGAAAGGAATACCCGAAAGACCCAAGGTGAGCGCCTGAGGTATCGAGTAGTAAGCGTACGTGAAGTTGGACCAGTTGTCGCCGCCCCAGTGGCCCGCATAGGCGCCCAGGCCGGAAAAGGTCGATCTGGAGATGATGAAGGGACGCTTTTTGGGCTGGATTTCGGTGAGGGCATGGTAGGTAGCGTTGGTCTGGAGATAGCCGTACAAATTGTGGATATCGTATTCGACGGAGCCGTCGGCATGGGTGGCGTTTGGCGAAACGGCATGAGCGGCAAGATCGTGGCCCTCCTGGGCGTTGTTGAGCACGTAAGGTGGGTAGTTGATGTTGCCTTTTCCGTCTTGCTTGAAGTTGAGGAAGACCGAGGAATTGGAGCCATTGGAGGCCGTGGAGTTCAGCACGATCAGGGCGTTCCAGCCCGTCTGGTTGTAGGAGAGAACCTGCAAAAACTGCTTGTACTCCGTGGCGTTGGATTTGGCGAATCCCTCAGGGAACTGTTTTTGCAACCCTCCGTACTCAAAAGGCGCCAGAACGGGATTGTCCTGGACGTTTCCGGATCCACACGAGCCCACGCAGAACGAAGAGGCCTCGTTCATGTCGAGCCAGATTCCGTCGTACTCGATCTCGTCCCGCCAGTCCTCCAAAGCGTCCTTCCACCATTCGTACGTACTGTTAGCGAGGAAGTCAGGGAACACAGTGTAGCCCGGCCACACGGCGCCGATGTAGAGGGAGCCGTCCGGGTTCTTCAAAAAAACGTCTTTTTCGACGCCGTCGTGGAAAACCGTGTAGTTGTTGTCGGTTTGGTTGGTAGGGTTGGGGTAGTATATAGCAGCATCCACTAAGGGAATGTACTTCTGGTCGCCGTCGTGCAAGTCTGCAAGGAAGCTTTGGAACTTGTCAAGTGGGTACTTGACGGGGTCGTTGGTGAAGTCCTTGAACGCTGCCATGTAGTCCAAGTCGGTCCAGATGGTTTCAAGCTGGAGATCAGCACCGGCGAATTGGTCCACTACACCCTGCAAATCATCCACAGAAGAGTACCCCCAGCGTGACTGGTGGTATCCCAAGGCCCAATACGGCTGGAGAGCCGGTTTTCCAACTTCCGTGACGTACTGCTGGATCACATCCTTGGGAGTAGGGCCTGCGAAGAAGTAGAGGTCAATTACACCATTGAGCGCTCTCCACGTAAGAGCCTCCTCTTCAATGACGACCTCCTGGGGCGCCAGAGACCTCCACCAGACGCCGTGTGTGTACGACTTGTTGAGCGGTGTAAAGTCCTCGTAGAAGCTCAGATTTGAGACGGTGGAGTTTCCGAGCGTCAGGTTCGTCAGATTGCCCCATTGCACGCCGGGATAGCGGGTTTCGTTGACGGGGCCCTGGTGGGCGTTTGTTTCGCTCAAATTGGCGTATCTCTGGTCGATGTAGAACGGATGGACGCCGTAGATGTTGCCGTCTACTGGATTAGCGGCGTCGTTGGCATAGAGCGTTCTGACGGTGCCAGGCGGATTCGTGAAACCCTTGACGGCCTCGCCCAAACCGGTAATTACGTGGCCCTCGGGAAGAGAGGTGTTGAATTGCACGAACTGGTTGGAAAAGACGAGCGGGTTGCCTTTGGTGGAAAAGAGCACGTCTGCGTTCAGTTTGCGGACCACCTCGAACCAGAACAGCTCGTTGACGGCGGAGTGGCGGAAAACGAGGTCAGAATTAAAAGAAGTGGAGTTGGAGGCCTCGGGTTCAGGCACCAAATCGGACGAAAGCTTGTAGACATCGGTGAGGTTCCTAGGCTCAATGTGCACCAGAAGCCTGGACTCCAGCTGATATTCAACCTCAAGCTTCAAAACGTCGTAGTCAAAGCCGTAGAGGTCGGTTTCCTTCTGCAAACGGAGGAATCCCGAGAGGCCTCTGGAGGATCTCGATACATTCAACAACTGGTATCCCGAAGCCTCCTCGTTAGCGTCCACGGACGACTTGTTAAGCACATTAGGCAATTGCGAAACGCCCCACGTCCACGATTCCGGAAAGCTTTTGGTGGAATTGTCGTCGCCAGTGGCATTGGCCTGGATGAGGTTTTCCACAAACGTCGAGTTGGGAAGCAGGCTGGGCACGGCAGCAGAGAGTGCCACGGCCAGACAAAGCGAAACCGTCCACAACTTCATTTTTGGCTTTGCCAGGATTCATGCCGCCTCGGCCGTATATAAGGCTCCGGTGGGGTCCAATTGGTTGCGGTCATTGCTCCACGGTGCATGGGCCGAAGCGGGCGGGGCCAAAAAGAAGCCCAGGGTAATTTTTGGAAACTAAGCGAGTGGGCCAATCCTTGATGGCGTAGCTCCCTTCGCTGGTTCAGTACCCCATAATCTTCTTCATCGCTACCCTCCTTGGCTGCGAAATTGGCTGCAATCCACCGCAAACGATCCTCAATACCCGCCAAGCAGCTCCGTCCGAATCGAGCAACGCTGCTGCTCAATGGAGCAGGGTGTGATTGTGTGACAGCGCCCCGCCGCAACCGTTGCAAAATGCCAGGGCCCAGAAGCGCCGGGCTCGGGGAAACTCCGACGATTCCGAGGCTGTTGTGGCGGGGCAGGGTGGGTTTGCTGTGGCTGGTGGGGGCTTTTTGCGGGCTTTTGGCGGGGCAGCACGGGCGGAGGAGCAGGGGCCGGAAAATGGCAGGGTTGGTTTGGCAAAAATTGTGGTGTGGGTTTTTTGGCATGACGTAAAGGTTAATGGGACGGTGCATGGTGGAGGCATTGCGGCGTTGGTTGCGGCGCCGCGAGGTTTAAGCATTGAGCCGATGGGAGTTATTGGAAGAGTACGTGGAAGAGGTGGTTATTTGGTGAAACTTGCTACGTTGGTAATTGACGTTGGCAATTGACGTTATTGGTGTTTATGGGCTTTTTGGGGTTTTGTGTCTACCGTTTACTGTACCATTCGGTATATGGTATATGGTGTATGAGGATGGGGAGGGAGGGGCCGGGGATTCCGTTGAATTCCGAGAACACCATGGGAGCACTTCGGCTTCCGTTTCGGGCACATATTGCGGCTTCGTTTCCACGGATGAGCGGCTCAGGTCATCTTTTGGATTGATCGGTTCGGCTTATTCTGAGGCACTTAGTCCATGGGTGCGAGAGTAGTAAAGGGAGAACAGTGAAGATGAATTTCAGCAAATCTTCATAATAGTCGTATCTTTAAGAATTGATAAACATCGGTAGAAATCGAAAAGTTGAATTTTTGATAATCTATCCGTTTTGGCTCGATGTGGCCTAATACGGTCAATGGGCCTCAGGCCTTAATGCCTCAGGATCGGTCGCTTCGGCACGCTGACGTAATGTGACAGCACGTCAAACCTTCTCTATTTACCCTCGATTCGGTCAACACAAACAAACGGTCCCATTCGCATTGTAGCGGTTTTGTTCTTTTCAGGACGTTTTTCGAGAAGTGGATCGGGATGTTTACAAATACCGCTGCCACGCGGGCTATTTGGGTTATAATTAGAGCTTCCATTGCAGCGCCGGTAGGGGTGTTTTTTCGGTACATGTTGATGTATTTCCGTATCGAGCAAATTGCGATGGATGGGGTGCCCTAGGCGGGATGTGGTCATTTTGTTTGGATGGAGGCTAATTGGTAGCTCATTTACGGTTTGTGGAGTGTGGGTGTCAATTGATGATGTAGATGCTGAATTTCCCATTTGAACAGTTTTTGAAACGAATGAAATAAACTCAAGAATGGCTGTTTTACTTCTCTGGTCCACTCATGTCGCTTGTGTTTGATCTAAAGGCGTCATGGATTCTTCAGCTGGACATTATTGGCGATATGTGGTGCACTTTTCTCATTAAACACTTCTATTTGAACAAAAACTGAAAGATCGGTAGAATTGTCGAATTCAACTCCCCCATTCAAGTATTGATAATCTCCACTGGTACATCATTGGGACCTGGAATCTAGAACGCTGGACAACTGTTGAGGCCGAGGGGAAGAAAAGTGGAAACAGTAAAATTGGAAAACAATCGTGTTGTTTGCACTAATTCCAATATTGTGCTTGTGTTTGTAATAATTTCAAGTCCAAAGTAGTAGATCCCTTCTCCATTCGGAATCTTGTCGAACCCATTATCCAACTAAGACAAGGGAGGGTTAGAAAATAGCATTTAAATACAAGAGCAAAAAAAGGTAAAATACCACAATAATGGATAATGAGCTCTTTCAAAACAGACCTGCAAACTCGCTTGTTCAACTGCACCATTCTATCTCCTTTGTTCTGTCCCTCACCTTCATGTCGATGCCGATACCTATGCCTTGATACCAGATAAGCCACCACACCCAAGGCACCAAAATCACCAAAACCCCCACAACCAAACCCCACAGTACACCACCAAATCAGCCAGACTCCCCAATCCCCATTCTATTCTCTTTTTATTTTTTTTTTTTTCCCCCTTCATCTCTTATTCCACCATTTGCAGCCACCTGCCTCGCCTGTACCCCGGAAATTTCGCAGCCGCGATGGCCTCGAGGACCAAGTCCCGATGTGTGGGATATTTCTAGCGGTAAACAGCGCCACCACGCCGCTGAAGCTCGAGCCAAAACGGTACTCGGCAGCCGAAATTGCCCACGTCGTCGGCGCCCGCGTGGCGCTCCAAACGGCCCCCTCGGCGCTCGACAAACAGAAGGTGGAAAACGCCCAAAACATCCGGCAACGACAAAACGAACTTGGACGCCTCAGCGTGAAGAACCACGGGGAAAGAATCGCTCAGTTGCAGCGGGAAATTGCAGAAATGCTGGTTGTTTCGGCCCTGGAGGCGGTTGGGCCCGATTTGGATGGAACCTTGGTGGATATCATGGCCAGGGGTCCCGATTACGCTGAGTTGTGGGAGGCGAAAATGGGCGATTGGTTTGTTTTCGGCTTGAGCTCGGTGCTTTCGTTGAGACAGCCGTTTGCCGTGCAGCCGTGGACGGACGAACGGTACGTTTTTCAGTTCAACGGAGAGCTCTACAACGAGGGGTGTTTTGATGGGAATGATGGGGAATTTGCGTTTCAGGCAGTTGAGGCGGCAACGGGGGACATTGAAGCCCTAGGGACCGCCCTCTCCACCCTCAATGGCGAGTTTGCGTTCGTTCTTACCGACAAATCCGCCAAAACGGTGTTTTTCGGAAAAGACCACATCGGCAAACGGTCCCTCTTGTACTCCACTGCAAACGGCTTGGCCGTGGGCTCCGTCTTGAGCCATTTGCCCGAGGACAAGCTCGTGGAGTGTGAGCCTGGAGTGTTATACGCCTATGATGTGGAAAACGAGAAACTCTCCAAAACACCATATCCAAAGCAGCTACGCTTGGACGCCGTTTCTGGGGAAGCCTTCAGCAAAGGATACGACGAAACGGCGTTTTTCGTGGACCAGCTCCACTCACACCTCAAGAACGCTTGTCTGGTTCGTCAAAAGACGGTCCACCCTCTACATGCTACACAAACACAGGTGGCTGTTTTGTTCAGCGGGGGCCTTGATTGCACTGTATTGGCTTCCTTGATTGCCGAAAACTACGAATCGCTCGGCGAGCCCGTCAAAATCGATCTTCTCACCGTCGGTTTCGAGAACCCCAGAACAGGCCTTTCTGCGCTGGAGTCGCCGGACCGCAAACTCTCCGAGCAGCTGTGGTTTGAGCTATCGAAAAAATTCAAAAACTCCACCGTCTCCTTCCGTTTGGTCCAGGTGGACGTTTCGTACGCTGAGTGGCTTTCTCACAAGAACAGGGTGCTCGACCTTATCCGCCCTACGGCCACGGAAATGGACCTTTCGATCGGCATAGCGTTTTATTTCGCCAGCAGGCCGGGCGTCTTTACCGCCTTGACGATGGAGGACGTGCCCGAGTGGCCAGAATTCCAAAAGAATCGGGATTCCTACGTCTCCTCGGAAAAGTACACTTCCAACGCCAAAGTGCTCTTCTCGGGCCTCGGCGCCGACGAGCTCTACGGAGGGTACTCCCGCCACGAGGCTGTTTTCGACTCTCTACGTGAAAACGCCGCTCCAGAAACCGTCCACGCTTTATACGACGAACTCTCAAAATCGCTCCACCACGACATAACAGCCATCTACAACCGCAACCTCGGCAGAGACGACCGGGCCATTTCCAGCTGGGGCAAGGAGCTCCGGTACCCGTACTTAGACAGCGCTGTGGTTGAGTTTCTGGCGAGTTTGGCACCCCACTACAAAGTCCAGTTCGGCTGGACCACCGTGAAAACCAAAAAAGGCGAAAAACGAGCCAAACTCTATTCTCGAAAGTATCTTCTAAGGCAGCTTTGCCATGCACTTGGGCTCCCCATGGCGGCGGAGGAGGTCAAACGGGCGATTCAGTTCGGAGCCAAACTGGCCAAACTCGAGGTGGGCCAGAGCAAGACCAAAGGCACGGAACGAGCCGCCCAATAAATATAGTTAAATTAGGACCGTGCAGCCACGGCCTCCTTGGCCTGGTTGTGGAGGTCCTCGACCCATTTGGGCTCGATCACAAGACATTCAGCTTCCGTCAATAAGTTCTCCTTGGACTCGACAAACTCAGCGATATCGCCGTCGATCTCCGCGTCCAAGTCCACACGGTACACCTGGCCCTTGGTGATGCACTTGCGGCCCTTTTTGTTGACAAACGTGCACTTGATCAAGACGTACAGATTGACGAAGCACGGCTTCAAGTACTTGATGTTCAAGTTGGCGGTCACGCCTTTCTTCGAATGGAAGTTCTGGAACGCCACGCGGCACGTCAACTCGTCCAACAACGTGGCCAAAAGCCCGCCGTGCACGATCTTCGGGTGTCCTGAGATCTTGGACCCCAATCTGAAAAATGTGTACCCCACGTTGTTTTCACCTTCCACGAGCTCCTCCACGTCCTCGAACGTCGTCAAGAACTTGTCGTCGATCAAGTACAACGAGCCCGACCTAAGCCCGATCTTGTCTGGACCAATAAGCGTGTCGCCAGTCAAATTAGGCCAGATGCTCTCGGAGATGTCACCACACTTTTTGTTCACCACAGCGTGCTTCTCCGCCAACGCCTGGTAGTACTGGTAGATTTTGTGGGAGTAGAGCTGTCCGGCATACTGCTCGTCGGCCACGACGCCGGCGGATTTGGGGGCTGTTTCGCTTTGAGTCATGGGGAGTAGTAGGATGAGATGGTGATAACGCGGGGTTTTTCGCAGCCGAGGATGCGCCCCACAGTGTGGAGGTGGACAAATGGGATTTGCAAAAATTTGCAAAAAACGGTGGAAGATTTGAATCGATGGTGGAAAAGAGGTTTCAGGAGAATGGTGTAAAATGGGATCTAGAGAATTTGTGCAAAAGTGTGGTCTAACGGAATTGGAGGCATGCTTAGATTAGAGCACGGCTGCAGAGATCCACTGGGGAGAACGGCTGCAAAATTCTGATCCACGGATACAAAAAGTAGACAAGAAAAAACGGTCACAACTATATATCTGCAAAATTGGTCTACAGATTTTGGTTGCAGAATTCTAAATACTGAAATTGGACGCATATTCATCCTGGAACATGGATGGAAAACCTTATCAAGGAGAACGGCTTCATATCCTGATCTACAGAAAAGGGATGCAAAAGTTGGACTAGAAAAATTGGTTGCAAGCCTATTTCCACGAAAAACGGTTTCATGAATGTGATCCAGAATATGGTTGCAAATTTTAATTACTGGAATTGAATGCATACTTAGACTAGAACATGGATGGTAAACCATATCAAAGAGAACGGCTTCAAATCCTGATCTACGGGAAAGTGATGCAAAAATTAGACTTAAAAAAATGGTTACAACCTCATATCTACAAAATTGCTCTACAGGATATGGCTGCAAAATTCTGACTACTAAGATTGAATCCATGATTACACTGGAACATAGATACAAAGATCCAACTAGGGAATATGACTGCAATATGGTTGCAAATTTTTGGTCATTAGAAAGGGGATGCAAAATTCTACGAAAAAATATTTCATTAATGTGTTTCACAGAATATGGTGCATCAGCTTGGTCTACAGAAATTGAATGCAAAGCTCAGACTGCAATGATCCAGCTAGCGAATATGGCTGCAAAATAGCTGCAAAATAGTGATCTAAGAGAAACTGTTGATCCACAGATAATGGTTGCAATTTAATCCATCCAAAATGTTTGCAAATTTACATCTACGGACGGTTGCAAAAAACCACCCAAATGACTCCTACGCCGACTTCCTCCTCCACAATCCAATTAACTATACTCCTAAACTATCCTCCCTTATCCTCCCCATACTCCCCTATCAAACCTTACCCCTACTTGCCCAAAACGCCCCCAAACACCTTCCGGAACGCCTCCTTGCCGCCGGTCTCGAAAACAGCCCCATGGCACATCACCAACCTGTCGAAATCCCAGCTATAAATATTTCTGAGCCCCTCGGCGCCGCTGGACGAGCCGGCGGCCTTGTTCATGAAGAATCGGCCCACTTTGCTGTCGGGATTCATGTACTTTGCCGGATACGAGAAGCCGTTGAAAACGCTGCCTTCGTGGCCCACCTCTTTGGAAAACTGCTCGTTCTCCTCGTCGCCACGCAAATTGAAAAGCAAGTCCGCCTGGAAAAGACTCTTCAGGTTCTTGTCGTACATGACAAGCTCCTTGTTGGCGTGGCTGGGGAGGTAGACAAACTCGAAATTATCCACAATCACAGGGTCCGTGATGCCAATCAGCTCGAGCGCCAGTTTATCGAGAATCTTGCCCTTGACGTCGGCCGTAATCACATGGTCAATGGGCGCCTCCAGCCCCAAATCCACACCCTCCATGGCGATGATCTTCAACGCTGGAAACTGCTGCTTGAACGATTTTGCAGCCATTGTGTGTTCCTTGTCGGGAACGATGACGTACGAAACCTGGGGTTCTTTTCCACCTGCCGAAAGCTCCAATGCCTTTTTCACGCCGTCGCCGTACGGCATCGCCAGCCACACCACGATGGAGCCGTTGTAGTTGAACAAGGCCATGCGAGCACCAAAGTTGATTTTGCCGAACCGGCGGAAGCCGCTCGAGCTGAGCACGATGCTGTCTGTGATTTTGCGGGAAACCACCTTGAGCGGGTCGGGGTACATGGTAAAAGATGGTGTGGTTTTGGGGGTTTTTGGGGAATTGCTTGGGCTTTAAGTAGAGGCTCCTGCAGATCCAGATGTTTGCTTATGTTGCGCCTCGAGGGCTGACGTGCCGAGGTGGCATGGTGAGGCTCAGGGGCAGCTTTGCATTGGGAATTAGCTTTAACTTTGGCTTTGGCTTTGGATTGGCATCGGCTGTGGGTTGATTTTTCAGGAGGTGATGAGCATCGTGAGATGAGCATCGCGAGATGGGTGATGCGGTCGAATGGAAGTTGCATTTTGGTTTTGGATTTTGATTTTTGGGAATTTGGATTGGACGGCTGCAATTGAGGCTCGACGGCGGATTAGTGATGGGTCAGGGTCTGGACGGTGTTTGGCTGATGAGGCGATGAGGCGATGAGGCTTGAACCGGAAGATGCTCGCTTCCGAGCCGCTCGATGGAGTTAGGACATTGCACGGCGAGGCCTTCTCTGCTTACAAAGTGAGGGAATGTGAAGGATGTCGGTGGTGGTGGGGTTTGAGGCAGTGGTGAGGTTGTTGGTGAAGGTTATGAAGAATCGATTGGATGGAGAAGGTGGTGAGTGGTACGCTGAGCTGGTGACCCATTTTGTGGAAGGAGAGTGAAAGCGGTTTCAATGAGTTTTTGACATTCTGAGGATTGAATCGAAATTGTGCCTCTGGTATTGCCATTGTCTCTATGGTCCCTTTTGGCTGCCCTGTGCTGAAATCTAACCTTGACTACCTTGCACCGCGAGGTACCTTCCATAGCGCCCTAGCATTTATAGACATAGAGAAATTGGCTTTAGACATAGATAAACTGACCTTAGACATATACTACTGTTTAAATACCTTGAAATCAAGACCATCATACACCGTTCGCTCTGGGCTGCCACCATGGGCACCGCACCTCCATCCAAGCCTCGTCTAAAGCACCAAGGTAGACGAGGTACATATATCTGCAAGGGCTACATAATTTTCTAGAACCCACATTTATTATCTAGCTTCGACCCTACCGGGGGCGAAAATCGATACGGCTGGTGCTTGGCCGGGGGCTTCCACGCAAGTGCCCCGCTTGTCGGGCCTCATAACCCTCGGAAGTCGGGCTGCCCTGGAGTTCTCCGAATGGGTGCAAAACGTCGATCTCGAGGCAGAACTAATGAACAGGTTTAGAAATGGGAGAACAGGTTTATAAATGGGTTAGATGATGAAGGAAATGGATGAAGTTTATGTGAAAGTGAGAGGTATCAGCTTTGGTCTAGGTTTTTGGTTCACTGGCGCTAATGACGTCTTTCCTGAACCACATACAACGTGCCACTAACTGTCCATCCCAATCTCTCCAATGAAGAAATCTACATCTTTTACACCACTAAATATAATAATGTTGAGTTCCACTGCCGTGGCATGGTCTAGGTTTTTAGGTCATGATGTCTTGGCAACGGTGCACGCTTGGCTGTGGATTAGATCTTGGTACCGTCTGAAAGTCCATAAATGTTCAATTACCACTATCTGAAAACCAAATCACTTCAATACATCGAATGCCAAAATCCTCATTGCCAATTCCACGCTGGATACCTGTTCCACCACATCTGAGACACTCTGAGACACTGAGACATCAAAAGCCACAAAACCGAACCAGTAACCCAACGACTCGGCCCGAGCCACAATGGACAATGCCAACAACGAAGAAAGAAATTTGAAGAAGTTCAAACTTCTCAGCAAATTGCCTCGGCTATGACAAATCACCGATCATGACTCAGCAATTCACACCCACCTTAGCGCCGTGCTGAAGGTCCCTGTGCCACACCTCCACAAATCAATAAACCAGATCGTCAATCCAGATATTCAAGCCAAACCTCCAGAATCACCCCCAATTCAATTGTCAAAACCAAAAACCCATTTTTCATCCTCCACAGCCGTCCTGTCCAGGGTGAAAAACCAATTCCGCCCGATGACCTCACCATTCTGTACGGCACTGTGGGGTGCATAACCCCCAGGTTCCTCCTGAAATATGGCAATACCAGGAGCTGAAAAACAAAAAGCCAATCTCTCCATAAATCCTTCAACTCAATGATTTCACAAAATTAAGCCAATAAATCCAAAACCAAATCCCAATAAACCATCCCTCAGCCCCACGCTGTCCCGCATTGTCCCGCACAGAAGCCTCACCCTAATGCAACGGTCCATCCACCACAATTTACCAGAAAGCCAATTCACAAACTCAAACAAAAATCCAAATTCACCTAAAAAGCATCTCCAAAATGAATTAATTAATTAACATCATTTCAATTTCCTCTTAGTCAAACCTTAAACCCCACTACCCCTCCGGCACCTCGGTGCCGATCTCTTCGGTGCTTATCGCACTTAGTATACCGAATCGGTTGCTGATTTCCACACCTACCTACCACTTTCTTTCTGCGCCCCTGGCTCGTTTTCCCACCACAAAAGGTGCCGTTTAACAAAGAAAAAACAACTTCAATCCACATAACCACATAAGCAAGAACTGTCTGCCTGCCAACTTTCAATCCACAAAATCCACATCCTACTTTCATCCATGCCTCTAAAAGAACGCCTATCGGGATTCTACCACAACGTGGTGCTTCCGAACACAGGAGTGCTGCTTCTCCTCGTGGCCCACTTCTTCAACTCCATCATGATCGTCACCTGCAAGTTGTTGGAAACTGACCCACAGACAAAAGACCACCCGATCCACCCCCTCCAGATCCTCTTTGTCCGCATGTTCATCACCTACCTCCTCTGCCTCGCGTACATGCTCGTGACGCGTCTGGTGGATCAGGCGCCGTTTGGACCCAGGGACCAACGCGTGCTCCTCGTGCTACGCGGCATTCTCGGCTTCTTTGGCGTCTACGGCTTGTACTTCTCCTTGCAGTACTTGTCCCTCTCGGACGCCGTGTCCATCACGTTTTTGATCCCCATGGTCACGCCGTTTTTTGCCTGGATCGTGCTAGGCGAACGCTACTCCGTGCTCGAGGCCGTGTGTGCGTTTCTCAGTCTTGGAGGCGTGCTTTTGGTGGCCAAACCAGAGTTTCTCTTTGGACCTAGACCCGACACCGACAAGGCCGACGACGCCACCGAGTCCTCCTCAACTGAACTTCGTCTTTTGGGCACCGGCGTCGGCCTTATCGGCGTCTGTGGCGCTGCTGCCGTTTACATCTTGCTTCGGAAAATCGGAAAACTGGCCCACCCGCTTATTCTGGTCAGCTACTTTGCCTTGACCACCTGCATCGTCACCTTTGTCAGCACCTTGGTTCTTCCGACGGTGCTGTTTGCCGTGCCCCGCTCGGGCTACCAGTGGTTTCTCTTTGGCCTTATTGGCGTTTCGGGCTTCTTGATGCAGTTTTGCCTAACCGCCGGTTTGCAACGGGAGAAGGCCGGCAAGTCCTCGCTCATGATCTACTCCACCATGGTCTACGCCTTGTTTTGGGACTTGGCCATCTGGGGCCACCTTCCGGGTCTTTTGAGCATGTTGGGCACCGGACTCATTGTGCTCAATGCCACCATTGTGATCAAATACAAGCCCAGCGCAGGCCCGGAGCCTGTGGAAGGCGACGTGGAGTCAAGCCCTGCCGGCTACCACAAGCCGGGTGACATTGCTCTCGACGATTTCATAGTCACTGACGACGACGAGAGCTCATAGATTCTTTTATACACCGATACACGAGACAACAAGGCTGCCCGGCGTGCTTGAGGGCTTTCAACAGCACATTCTTCTCTTTTGTAGCAGGAAACGTCAGACCTCTTCTGGTGGTAAAAGGCGACACAACCTGTCGTTCAAACAATACGGACTCTTCTGCATGCTGATGCCGGTGACTTAGCATCGATAAGACGCCTGAAGAACGGCATAAAACAATTTCCTTCAAGCTCATCCAGTTGAAAGAAAATCTTTGAATAAATGTGTCGAGTAAATGTTGGCCTGAAGCGAGCACCCATTATATTGAAGACGAGCTTAGATCAAGTTGCACGTTTTCCGACTTCACGCCCTGTATCAACTGGAGCTTCAAAGGCTGGCCTATCATTTCTTTCAACCATCTTATCACTTAAATGCTTGCCAACACCACCGTATCACAGCAGGTAATCACATCATGCCTTCACATGCGGTTGTCGGCGACTTCAAGATGGTGAGACCACTCAAAGGCATGGACCTGGCCCAGAAAACGCACAAGCAATCTGCATTCCATCAAATGGCCTCGGTGGAACTTCGACTTATGACAAAGTACGTAAGGTTTCAAATGCGCAGGCAAGTTCCCTTTGAACAAGGTCTGCGGCAACGTTATTGCACGAGCTTTCGGGCTTCCAGCAACGGTATCCTTGAAGTCGCTCCATCCTATCGAAGGTAAGCTCCTGTCATCAAGCAAGATTGTCTCTTCAATCGTAACTTTGCCGTTCTCCATTCTCCCTTCAATCAATTTGATCTCAATTTGTTCAAGCTGGATCTCTGTGTCCTCCACATGGTGATGGTGGTGAAGGCTGGCTTCCTCAAAGCTCTGCGCAACGATCAAGGCACACTTGACAAATTCGGAAAGCTCCATTCCTGGGCTAACAATAGTCACAGCAGAACATTCATTCGATTGTTGAAAACGCTCATGCTCATTGAGTGACACTCGTACGGTGAGCGGAATTTCTCTTTCACCAAATCGAACTATCCGATACGGAGACGATCGCTTCTGTCGCACAAAAGACTTTGGTGAGTTCGCTTCGATGATCTGACCGTTTAAGACTATGCATGTAGCAGCATGAGGCTTATCAAGGCTAACACCCGTCCCAAAAGTAGGTGGCCGAACGGTTCTAGTCTCCAAGCATGGTCCCGTGCATTTTTCATGGCTTGAAATCGAAGTGCCTTTCAGCCACTCCAGATACTCAAGCACGAATTGCGAAGTGTTCTTACCGCTTTTATCACTCGTCCTATAAGGTCTATCTTTCATGATCTCAGTCCCTATGACAACGCATCCCTCTCCACCACGCCTGTGCACCAGAAAAAGATATCGCTGGAACTTTCCCGTGGATTCGTCTGCATTCAAGCCGCTAAGAATCAACAAGCCATCGGCAGTCGACTCCACATCCCTAAGATCCTTCATGAGATGAAAAATGCGGGCAGGTTCTCCACTTCCGTCGCCTAAGTAGCTCGAGATTGACCTCCTCACCTCCTCGTCCTTCATCCATTCGACCTTTTTCTGGGCCACATTAAGCTCGATGAACACAGATGCATTGAAACTAAGAGTACGTTTGTTAGAAATCGTCAATGTGACTTCCAAGCCGTACGTTCTCAAAAAGCCGTCCGTGAAGAACGTAGGGCCCACTTCTGGAATCACGCAATCGTACATCGTGTGGGGAATCATGGTTTTCTTGTTGACCAAGTCAATTGCCATGAAGACTTCCTGCTCAACCAACACCTTTCTCTGGATGTCGGTACTTTCAAAGTTTCTGTCTGGCACACACCTGAACTCTTGCAACTCCACACGAATCTTGGTCAAGTGAAGCGGCTCCTGGAGCTTTGTATTTGAGCTCCATTCATCGACAAGCTGTAAAGTCAACGGGAGGAAACTTGCCACGTGCATCCCAGGGAGCACGATCCGAGAATATGCCTCTTGCCGAATCCACGAGGGCGGCTTGAACTCAGCTTTGAGCTCGAGACTTCCCCCATCCATTGTCACGTTATCATGAATTGAGCCTATCTTCATTTCAGACCCAAATCCGTAGAGCTGATGCGACATTGGGAACTTGGGTCCTGGAAATAGCTGCCTCTCATCGCCAGCGGCTAAGAAGCATTTCCCCACTATCGGCATTGGCATTTCAAGGTCGGACCAATCAAAGGTGTGATATGTATGAACCACCTCGAAAACAAGCATTGTACTCCCAGGAATTGGCCCTTTTCCAAAGGCGGTGACGCCGTTCCTCAAGCGTGCGTACTCGATTTGAATCTTCAGATCAGGGTGCTCGGCCATGTCAAGGCTCTTCACGGCGAGCTCAGTCACTTGAAGATGCTCGCCTTGAAGCAACAAGCCAACTGTCCGAGACAAAAAGACATTCTTGTCAACAGCCTCTACTACGGCATCCAACTGCCGTTTGTAATTTGTTCCAAAATTGCGAAGCTGAAAGATCGTGCTCAACTTCTCTCGAGGAGCCTCCTTCCGAAGCTGAGGTTGAGGCTGAGGCTGAGTCTTTCTTCTGCGGCCTAGGAATCTCATAAGCAGTGTGAGTGTGAATAGGTGAAAAAGGTAAAGATATAGTGGTTGTCATGACCACGTTGCTATATCACCTTTCATAATATTGACCCCCGCGTGACCTCTCGATATCAAAAACGGAGGCGGTGCCAAATGTGGAAGGTCTTACTGGTCAAAAGGCCTCAAGCAAGCAAGCGACATAATGACATATTCTGCCAGACCTGGTTATATTATGCTTGGCAGGTATGGGACTCGTTGAAGTACAACTCAAGCAGAGTTTTCTGACAGGATATTGATGAACGCGTCGTTCTTTGGATATCCATGCCATATTAGCCTAAGTCATGGTAAAATGGTAGATGTTTGCATCCCCAGCCCTCCTTTTTGATAAGTTGGAACACGTCTTATAAGTTCAATAGCACGAGCTTCAATGCAAAACATTGCAAAAAGCTGCGTGTTGATGTTGTCTTAGCATTCGACAATCGCCTAAGACGTCTTGAAAGAAGAATGTATCGTCTTCTTTAAAAAGCCATTTGAGTCAAGGAGAATGTTGTAGTAGATGTTTGATTCTGGGATCGAGACATCAACAAATTGATACAGGATACACTGCGACTCCACATTCTACTGAACCGCCTATGGCTTGGTGTATTGGATTCAATTAAACGGTGAATTCTGCCCGCAGAAACCATTGGTGTATTTGGAGGAGACTGATAATTCAAATTCGAAATGGATACACTTTTCAAGTGTGCCTAGTAAACATTGAAGGGCTCTTTAAGTCTCAATCCCACCACCAGTGGTTCACGCAAACCGCTCACTCCCCTTTCAAGAGATTGACGGCCACACTATCAAGGCTTAAGATTGAAGCTTTGACTGCCAGCAATTCTCGCAAGCGTGTCATCCTGAGAACTAATGATACACATGTTAAGGCATATCCGCAGATTAGTCTCCCTGAAAATTGCTGCTTCTGGCCTTTCCAACTTGCCCGTGAGAGTCTCAAAAGCTCAACAGCGTAGTCTCTGCTAGAGGTTAAGTAGTAATCTAATTCCTTCTTGTCGACAAAATTCCAAATAACAATCCCCGCAGACAATGCTGCAAGACCGAGAAACCCGACCAGTGTGAACATGTTCCAACAATCTTTACGCCCGAGAGACTGTAACTTTCTGACCGACTCCTCTTCTAACTCAATTTTGGGAATCACCTCTCTCAAGAATCTGATTTCGAGCCATCTTCCTTCCTCGTCAGCCGGCAGGAGCTGTTCCACACGCTCGTTGAAAAAAGCTTTGGCAGGATGTTCAACTCCCTCTAGCACTTCCTTTCGCAGAAGTTTACCAAGTATTGCTCTCAATACGTGACACTCCAACCGTTTCTCAGCTCTCTCCTCTACCAACCTTAGACGCCTCTCCAAATACACCGGCGTCTTGCTTTGTACCGTGGATTCTTCGCTTATCGCATTCTCGTTGACTAGCGCTTCTAGTGTTCTAATGCGTGCGTTCAGGTTAGCATCGTCCTCCCCCACTCTTTCATCTTTGAATTGCTTGAGTAGCCACTCCAAGTAAGCTGAAGTGCGGTCCTCGGCCTTGAGCACGTCATACAAGTGCTGTTGACGGATGATGACCTGGATTCTCTTAAAACCTGGTGTTCTTTCATCAACAAAACGTTGCAAATAAGTAATGACGGGCTGTGAACTCACTGACAATCTCCCAAAGAAATCCTGTAAATCAAACCATGCGGTCAACCGTGCATGCTCTGCCTGAAGTCTTCTGTTCTCGGTCTCCAATACGGTGACGCGGTTCAGTGATGCTTGAAGTGCCACAAAAAACAGGTGTTGATACCAGCGCACTGGACGAAGTAAACCGATATGATGCGGGGAACTCAGTCGGGAACCACTAATTGGGCTATGGCTCTGTGGGAGCGAACCTCGCCTTGTTGGTGGGGATGTCGAAAAGGCTGAGAGATCGAGTTGAGCGAGAATGCTGCCTTGCGTGTATGATGATAATGGGTTATACGTCAGCGTGGCTCTGTCTCTCGAGGAACCCTCAATGATTGACAGGTCCTGCCAAGCAGTTCGCCGGGAGAGGTCGGTTGTATCGGTAGTACCTACAGCCAGCTGCGGGCTACCAGAAACAGATCCCAGCCCTGATGAGCTCATCTGATGAGTTGGCTGGGAAGAGGTTCTTACTCTCCGGGAGTCTGCCTCGACTTGGGAGTCTTCCTCGACTTGGGAGTCCTCCTCGCTTGGGTGGACCTCCTCGCTTGGGTGGTCCTCCTCGCTTGGGTGGTCCTCCTCGACTGCGTGGTCCTCCTCGGGTGGGGCCCCCGGCGGCTGAACAGTATTCTCAGCTGCTGAAGTAACAGCTGTTGTCGAGGGTGTGGACTGAACCTGGTTTCCTCGCCCGTTAGCCATTGTACACTTTCCTGATCTCTGTGGGCTTCACAAGAGAAAGACCAACGGCTAGAAACTCGTCGTGGAGCTTGAAAGGCTTCTGCTTTGTATTAATGGATCGGGCGGTCGTCAATAATCAACAAAAAGAAGCTCAAATCAGGTTCTGAGCTTCAGGTTGTCAAAAACCGACTTTGGGTGTGTGCTAGAAAGTGGGTCAAAACGTTTTTGCAGCCATTCGCGATAACTTCCCACGAGCTCCACGGGGAATCTGAGCACCCATATCGACCAGCTTTATGGAACAGCACCCGTAGATAGGCTTCCGCTGTCGGTTACTCTTTTCAAAATTCCAATTGCACTCATCTCCATCTTCCTCGAAGTGGAGAAGCTTACACCCCATCATAGCAGACCCACTCCGTCGACGCTAGACAGCCAACTTTTGATTCAAAGTACCTGTTGAATCAACGAATGCACTCAAACTAATGATAAAAAGCATCATATTGGAACTTGAGACTAGATCTGGTCTTCTATGGTACTTGACTTGGCCGACTTCTTAAGTGCGACCATCGACCAATGGAGTGGACCATTCGATTGGGCTGTTTGTTTCAGAATCACTTCTTCTCATACGTGTTTCTGGTTCAATCTGGTTTTTATCATTAAGTTCAACCAGTCTAATGAGCGGCCTCCAGGTTGAGCGATCTCCCTCCTATAGGCACTTTCCTTGCCCCTGGGCATTTCGCCTACACTATGCGCCTCAGTGACCCAACGACGAGTTCTCAAAAACACGCTGCTTTCTTCCTATCGTTTTCAAGCCACTTTTTCCCGAGCTGAGCCCCCAAAAAGAGTGCTTTGTTTAGAAAGGACCCCAATGAAATTCCACATTCTGCATGCTTCCCGCACTGTAAGACACTGAAACTCCCGAGTGATGGATCGTCCTCTTTAAGACCCTACCACCTCAGTGCTTGTCAACGTCCCCAGTGATTATATGAAGATGTCCGCATAATACCCTCACATGCGGTTTTCGGCGACTTCAAGAAGGTGAGGCCACTCAAAGGCATGGACCTGTCCCAGAAAACGCACAAGCAATCTGCATTCCATCAAATGGCTTCTCTGGAACTTCGACCTCTGACAAATTACATACGGTTTCACATTGGCAGGCAAGTTTCCCTTGAACAAGGTCTGCGGCAACGTTATTGACCGAGCTTTTGGACTTCCAGCAACGGTATCCTTGAAGTCGCTCCATCTTATCGAGGGTAAATCCTTGTTATCAAGCAAAATTGTCTCATCGGTCGTAATTATGCCGCTCTCGGTCCTCCCCTCGATCAATTTGATCTCAATTTGTTCAAGCTGGATCTCTGTGTCCTCCACATGGTGGTGACGGCTGGCGTCTTCGAAGCTCTGCGCAACGATGAAGGCACACTTGACAAATTCGGAAAGCTCCATTCCTGGGCTAACAATGGTCACAGCAGAACATTCATTCGATTGTAGAAAACGCACATGCTCATTGAGTGACACTCGTAAGGTAAACGGGATGTTTCTTTCGCCAAAACGAACTATCCGCCATGGGAACGATCTCTTCTGTCGCACAAAAGACCTTGGTGAGTTTGCTTCGATGATCTGACCGTTTAGGACTATGCACGTTGCAGCATGAGGCTTATCATAACTGACGCCGGTACCAAATGTAGGTACTTTAACAATTTTAGTCTCCCAGCATGGTCCCGTGCATTCTTCATGGCTTGTAATTGATGATCCCTTTAGCCACTCCAGATACTCGGTCAAAATTTGCGAAGGATTTTTGAAACTTTTATCACTTGTCCTATATGGTTTAAGTTTCATGATCTCAGTCCCTATAACAACGCATCCCTCTCCACCACGCCTGTGCACCAGAAAGAGATATCGCTGGAACTTTCCCGTGAATTCGTCTGCATTCAAGCCGCTTAAGGTCAACAAACCGTTAGCAGTCGACTCCACATTCCTGAGATCTTTCATAACATGAAAAATCCGTTGTGGTTCTCCATTTCCGTCGCCTAAGTAGCTCGAGATTGACCTCCTCACCTCCTCGTCCTTCATCTGTTCGACCTTTTTCTGCGCCACATTAAGCTCAATGAACACAGATGCATTGAAAGTAAGAGTACGTTCGTTAGAAATCGTCAATGTGACTTCCAAGCCGTACGTTCTCAAAAAGCCGTCCGTGAAGAACGTAGGGCCGACTTCTGGAATCACGCAATCATACATCGTGTGGGGAATCATGGTTTTCTTGTTGAACAAGTTAATTGCCATAAAGACTTCCTGCTCAACCAACACCTTTCTCTGGATGTCGGTACTTTCAAAGTTTCTGTCTGGCACACACCTGAACTCTTGCAACTCCACACGAATCTTGGTCAAGTGAAGCAGCTCCTGGAGCTTTGTATTTGAGCTCCATTCATCGACAAGCTGTAAACTCAACGGGAGGAAGCTTGCCACGTGCATCCCAGGGAGCACAATCCGAGAATATGCCTCTTGCTGGATCCACGAGGGCGGCTTAAAATCAGCTTTGAGCTCGAGGCTTCCCCCATCCATTGTCACATTATCATGAATTGAGCCCATCTTCATTTCAGACCCAAATCCGTAGAGCTGATGTGACATTGGGAACTTGGGTCCTGGAAATAGCTGTCTATCATCACCAGCGGCTAAGAAGCATTTCCCCACTATCGGCATTGGCATTTCAAGGTCGGACCAATCAAAGGTATGATATGTATGAACCACCTCGAAAACAAGCATTGTACTCCCAGGATTTGGCCCTTTTCCAAAGGCGGTGACGCCGTTCCTCAAGCGTGCGTACTCGATTTGAATCTTCAGATCAGGGTGCTCGGCCATGTCAAGGCTCTTCACGGCAAGCTCAGTCACTTGGAGATGCTCGCCTTGAAGCAATAGGCCAACTGTCCGAGACAAAAAGACATTCTTGTCAACGGCCTCTACTACAGCATCCAACTGCCGTTTGTAATTTGTTCCAAAATTGCGAAGCTGATAGATCGTGCTCAACTTCTCTCGAGGAGCCTCCTTCCGAAGCTGAGGTTGAGGCTGAGGCTGAGGCTGAAGCTTTCTTCTGCGGCCTAAGAATCTCATAAGCAGTGTGAGTGTGAATAGGTGAAAAAGGTAAAGATATAGTGGTTGTCATGACCACGTTGCTAGATCATCTTTCATAATATTGACCCCCGCGTGACCTCTCGATATCAAAAACGGAGGCGGTGCCAAATGTGGAAAGTAAGGTCAGGTTGACTGGATGTGCGGCGTGAACACTGATCAACCCCTTCCTTTTAGAGTCCTGGCTCTGTCATGCCTAGTGCTTTCGATGTTCCCTTGCTCAACTGACATGGTACACGCGGCGTGTAATGCTACCAAGCATCATCCAACATTCTTTGAGCTCACATCCTCCGAAGACACGTAAACCTGTAAACGGTAGGCTTCTCTTAGCACCTCTGTCACTTGGTCAGCTTCAAGACCTGTAGTTTCAAAAATCCACGAGTTCTTGCAAAGGGTCCTCTTCAACGCACACTATCAGTCCAGCTGAGCTCGTTTCGAAGATTCTTAAGCTGAAGCATCGCTTCCACAGTGTCCTCTTCATGTTGCGTGAGTTGCTTTGCTTCAACCCCTAGGCTCGCCACGTTGGCCATGAGTTTGCGTGAATTGTTGAGATTCACATCGAGATACTCCACTTTTAAAATGTCGTTCAGCGCTGGGTTCAGCGGTAGTGCTCGAACCTGTCGAAGCCACGACATGTGTAGTTGTTTGTTGATGATAAGTTGTGGTGCGATAAGAAGAGTATGGCAGTGTGAAGGACTCATTATGGAGATGGCCTACATTTGTATTATGGCTTCATGGAAGGTGAATTGGGTTGTTGACATCGTTTTATTAAAGGATGCATTTTATTGAAGGAAGCAATGAAAGCAGGGAAAGATGGGAGAGGGTGGATTGTCAATGAGTGGAGTATGGTAGGAAGGGTACCATTACGGACTTAGTGCACCGTATTTAAACAAAAGTGCCCAGTTTTCAAATTGAGTGCCCAGCTTTTAGATAAACTGCTCAAATTTGAAAATGATGGCAATGTTTCATCGAGGCAGGTGCCTCTGTGGATGTACCGCTCATTGATGGAAAGCCTCATGGATGCTCTGTAGGATCCTTAGCTTCTGGCAGAGCAGAATACCGATGGCAAGCTCGCCGTGGTGGAAATCCGGTTTTTACGGAAAAACGTAAAAAACCATTTTCTTCAAATAAGAAGGGCACCCTGATGATATACATGGCATCATGGGAAGCGGCTCAGTGATGAGGAAGTCTTCTGAGTCTCGAAGCAGCCATTCTGTCAAAAATAAGGATTTTCCAAAATAAAAGCAACCCTTCCTTTTATGCATTTCGAAATAATTTGCTAAAAGCCTCCGGGTGGCCGCTGCTTGTATTAGTTCATGGAGTGGTGCGGATGGATCATGGAAGACAAGCCCATTGATCCACCGAAATTTGTGATTCTGGAGCTCTGCCGTTGAAATAAACGCCGCTTTCACCATCTTCTCGGAAATGCGATACTCTCCGTAATGTGCCTTGCTGTTTTCAGCTATCCCCAGTTGAGCATCCATGGTGGGAGGTTTTCATCAGACCATAGAACTACCTTTTAGTAAGAAAAGGGAGGAATTCAAGCGCAGGTGATTTCCGTGGAGATTCTTTCCATGTAGAACACCATGGCTTCTCATAGGCCTCTGTAGGAACCTAATACACATCACACAATTGAGTGGTATTCCGTAAGTAAAGTCCTGGATTCTGCGTCAGTGTTCAATATTCAGACCAAGAAGCTTCTAAGAAATCAGTATTCTACCGAGAAACCCTTTCCATGACGCTTGCCATGACGTTGAATACTATATCGATCTTAATGCCTTGTATGACCTCTTGGATCGAACCACGGTCAGAACCTACAGTTACATCGTCCACACCAATTGAAACAGCTTTAATACTATAAGAAATACAGAATCAGCCCCAAATGGCTTAATGTCTTATAAACCTCACAATTCCAGGTAAGCGAAGCTTGTATTCGTCCAAAAGCGACCTATAAGTCCTTCCCACCCTTCCTCTCCAGCCAAAAGGCCCTTCTCCATCTGGCGCCTCTCCATCTAAATTCCCTCCATCTGCTACCTCCCTCCCCCCTACGTCCGACACAAGTCCACCACATTACGGCCTCCCAAAAAACCATCCAAATAGCCCTGGAAATCCCCCAACAGCACCATGTCCAAAACACCCAACGGCGTCAGGGTCCGGAGCGGCTGGCCACCGTAAAGAACCCTCACGAAACTCTGTCCATCTCTCTCCCAAAGCTCAAAAACAACCTCGGCCCCCATTCCAGGCCACCTGAGCTCCTCGATCTGAAGCGCTCCTAGCAAAGGAGCGATGGATCCGTCGTGGGCCACATTGTGCCGATACACCACGGCACTGGTTTTCTCCAGAGCCTGCTTCAAGTGTTTCTGGATCTTCTTCAAAAAAACGCCGTACCGGGCCGCCGAGTACAACGTCGACTGTGGTGCTGCTCGGTACTGGTAGTGGTACTCGTAGTCGCCCAATCGGTACACCTGCTGGGCCTGTTCTTCGGTGACACAGTTTGCTGGATTTTCGAGACTACACGGCAACGGAAGCTGGTGGCACTGGCGATGGGCCAAATTGTCAAAATAGTGGTCCCACGAGGCGTGCCAGCCTTTATTGTCTGGATTGACTCCCGAGACGGCGTCCAATTTGGCGAAAAGGTCCTGTGATCGATGGAGATGCTCTTTCCACCCGCCCGACGCCAAAATGTAGTTTTTCGTCTGGTCCGCCCCGTTGCACAGGTACTTGGGCTCGAGGTAGTCGGAGTCCTCTCGCTGGACAGACACCTCCACAGGCTGGTTCTGCAAAGCAGGGTACATTCCGCTGACGACGGCGCCGGCGACCTGGGACGTGATGACGTTGTTTGTGGCGAAGAATTGCACTTTTTGGGGGTTGTACTCTTTGGGGAGAAGCCCGAGGCTGTGGTAGTTCTGGAAGAGGTCCACGCCATGCTGGTGCGAGTCGTCTAGTCCGCCTTGGCTGATTTGTGGAAACTGACACAGCCCGTTGAAGCCGTACTGGTCTGCAAACGGGTTCTCCGGATCCACATACGAATTCCAGCCGACCTGGGCGCTGGTGTTCTGCAGCTTCACCTGGCCATAGTAGAAGTTGGTCTGACTGTCGCAGGAAAGCGGTATATCCTCCTTGGGAAACACGTTCGAGGCGTACGGCGTGCGTTTGTGGTGTCTATGAATGACCTCAACATATATTAACTGCCCCTCTGGCTTTTTGTACTCGCTGGACCGCACATGGGGCATGTTGCAGAAGTTGTAGGTGCCGTAGGGTGAGCTTTCTGAGGAGGTGTAGATACCGCCATTGGTGGCCTTTTTCGGGTCAAAAACAGCGTCAAGGTTGCCGATGGCGCCGTCGGCGGGCGGGTAGTACGGTGGGTACACGGCGCCGAGGCACGCTGTCAAGAGGGAAAGAAGGGTTGTTGTTTTGAGCATGCTGGGGACGGTGAGGGACGAACCAGTAGTTATATAGTCCCCACGTGGGGTGGTGGGGGTGGACTTAATCGTGGGTGTGTTGGGAGATGAAGTGTTCTTTTTGCCAGGAATTGTTGATGGAGTTGGTGGGTGGTTTTTTTTTTTGGAGGTTTTGGATTTCCCAGAGGGTGGGTATTTTGCAACCAAATGCAAGTGTGCGTCAAGACGCACGAACTAATGCGTGGGGAAGAACGGGCATGAAAAATCGAATCGGCGGGATTCTGGTGTGATATTGGGGTTTAAGGGTGAATTTGGGCTGGAGATTACGGTAGGCTGGTTTTTGGGCCTTTTGCGGCGGTGTGGGCGGGACAATTGAGTATGGGCCAGGGAGGCAGATCAGGGGGGCCACAATGGCATTGACAGGATGGAAAAGCCACCAGATGGATGAGCCAGATTTACGAGAAATGCACGAATACGGGGTGCCGGTGGAATAATGGATGTTTTGTTTTGGGTGGGTTTGAAAATTGGAGTTTGGGGCGTCCATTGTGTGGTGCAGCCTGGTTGCCATATAAGGCACTAGCTCGACCACCGAAGCCACCGTAACTCCACACAATGTGACGCTCTTTTGGCTTTTTGGCAATCAGGCTTCTGCTTTCTTGGATTTTAAGGTATCTGCAAATTGATCTCCATTGAGCGGATCCACAATACACTTGTTGGCAGTGTGCTACATTCATGCAACAGACCCAGGTAATGCCCAAGCAGCACCACATGAAATTCCACACCAAAAGGGTTTACATTAGATTATTCAATTCCCGTTATCAACATATAAACTTCTAAAAGGTTCATGCCAAAAAGCGATTCCCAAAACAACCACCTCGATGCCCATCGCTCACCTCCACACTATCAACTATCGCGCTGCATCACCCAAACCACCTACAACCACAATGTCATACAACGGAATCGGCCTCCAGACGCCGCGAGGAAGCGGCACTTCGGGCTATGTTCAGAAAAACCTCGCCGATAAAAAATTCCAGGGGTACAGAAAGAAAAGAGACAGAGAGCAGGAGAACGAAGAGAGGAAGGAAGCCAGGGCTAAACAGCTCAAATCCAGAAGACTGGCTGGAGGGGAGATTGAGGAGCACGAGAGGAGGCGAAGAGTGGAGATCAAGTGTGCCGAGCTACGAGACAAGTTGGAGGACGAGGATGTGGATGACGATGAGATCGATAAGCAGGTTGCCGAACTACGAGAGAAGTTGAGGAGTGATGGAGGGGAGGTTAAGGAGAAGGAGGAGGTACAGAAAGAGGATGATAAGGAAGGGGATGGTGATAAGGAGGAGGTTGAAGAGAAGGAAGTTGACGAAGAAAATGGAAAGAACAAAGATGATATAGCTTCTAAAGATAAGCTGGATGAGGACGCTTCAGAGAAACCCACGAAGCCGCTGACCTCCTACAACTACGTACGCCGCTACGGCGACCGCTGATGATAACAATGCAATTACTCGGCCTTGTCGGCCACAGCCTTCTCGGCATCGGCCTCGTCGGCCACGGCCTCTTCCTCCTCGGCCTTGCTCACAAGCACAGGCTCGTCATCGTGCTTGCGCACATAGTCAGACAATTCCTTGAGCTGCTGCTCCACCTCGACCGTGGGGTCCTCCTCCGACTGCAAAAACTGCTCGGGGTCCTTGGTGAAGTCTCCGAGCGGCTTGGGGCTCGAGAAGACCTCACGAGCTTCTTCAAAACCGCTGTCGTCGTCAAACTCCTCTGAGGTGTTGGCCCGAGGCGTCTCCACCTGGTCCTTTTCTCTGCTGATGATCTCGTAACCGGGCTCGGCTTCGCTCAGAGCATCTTTGGTCGTGGTTTTGCCTTCTTCAAGCGCATCAAGAGGCGCCTGGGTGGCATGCTCAATCTTCAGAAGCTCCTCCTTGTCGTCAATGGCAGGCTGCGTCTCTTGCAAGCTGGGAAGATCCTCGACACTTTCTGGCTGCTCTGCTGAACTCTCGCCTATAGGAATAGAGAACTCTTTTGTTTCTTTTGTAGTTTCAGGCTCCTCCACATCCTTCTTCAATGAGTCCTCTGAGTCCAATGGCGCACCAGTCAATGGCTCTTGAGAAGCAGCAAGAAGCTCCTCCTTGATATCCTCCTTTGGCTCGGTCACACCCTCTGTTGATTCCTCAGCACTGGGCTTGGAGAAGTCCAACTCCCACAAAAGCCCACTGGAAAACTTGAACCGGGGCTCTATCGTGATCTTGGTTTCCTGGATAGACTTTGGAAGCCTCTTGCCTCTAGGGCCCTTGGCTCTTCTGGATGTGGGTTGTGGAGCTTCATCCGACTTCTTCTCGGAGGGCTCAGACTCCAGTTCAGCAGGAGCAAGCTTCTTCAACAACTCGGGATTGGCCATGCCAGGCAAGGCAATTCCAGCACCCATCATATTTTGCAAGTTTGCGGCAAAGTTGGTTTTCTCGGAGGAGAGCTTGCCACGCTTCTCAGGCGAGCTTTTCTCCTCTTTGGCAGCCTCAGTGGGTTCCTGGTTGAACATCTGCTGGAAAGCGGCGATCTTTGACGAAAGCTTCTTAGGCTTTGGAGGAGGGGCCTTTGGTTTCTCCTTGGTTGCAGGTTTGGCTGGTCTGGAGGGAATAGCAGGCGAGCTCTTGGAGTCCAGTTCGGAAACACTAGAGTCGAGTCTCTTTGGCTTGCTGGGGCGCAGAGGGATGATGGGCATTTTTGGAACAGGGCTCTCGTCCTCGCCATCCTTCGCAATTGCCTTTTCCTCGGGGGTCTCTTCCTTTGGAGCGTCTTCCTTTGGAACATCATCCTTTGAAGCATTATCCTCTGGAGCATCCTCTGGGGCATCCTCTGGAACATCATCCTTTGCATCGCCCTCGGGGAAAAGGATGTCCTCCTTCAGAGGAGCTGCGTCCTGCTTTGGCTTAGCAGAAACGGCCTCCTTGGGAGCGTCAAGATCAGCTGGCTCCTCTGAGTCCTTGGAAGGAAGATCAAGCTCCTTGGCCTCAGAAGGTTCAGCAATCTGGCTTACCTCCTCAATTTCAGGTTTCTCGTCATCCACACCTGAGATTCCCTCGGAGGCTGGCTCCTCCTCGGACTTCGTCTCCTTCGTCTCCTTCGCCTCCTCTGCCTTCTTCTCATCCAAGGCCCTCAAAGTAAGGTTATCCTTGGCAAACGCAGCATCCGAAACCTCGTTCACATGTTCGTTCCGAAGGGAGCCGCTGTCGATCTCGTCAACCAATGCACCCTCAGAACTCTCAACTTGCAGGCTCTCCACGTTGGACTCCACCAGCTCACTGGCGAGTTCACGTTGCTCCTTGATTTTGCTTCCTACAGCCTCCGCCAAGTCACTAGACGAGTCGCTTTGGGCCACGTTTCCAGAAGAAACAGGCTCCGTGGTAGCAGCCTCCTCGGGCTCTAGATCCTCGTCTTCCTGTGGCTCAGAAGGCACAATCTTATCGGTTTCAGGGGACTCCGGCTTGCTGATTTCCTCATCCACATCGGCTTTGTCGTTCAGGGGAAGCGTAGGCGCGTCAACAACCTTCGAATCATCAACCTTGCTGTCGATTTGCTTGGGTTCCAGCTCCACGGTGTCAGAACCGAATGCAGACGATCCAACGTCACCAGAACCAGATTTAGACAAATCCAAAGGCTCTTCAGCCGCTTCATCCTTGACAGGCTCAAGCTCCTCAATCTCTTTGGCTCCAGCATCTTCACCGACTTTCGGCTCCTCAGACTTCTCCTTCCTTGGACGTCTTGGAATCGAGGGCAATTTCGGTTCAACACTCTCCGTTTCAGAAGATTCACTTTTTTCTTTCCTTGGTCTGCTGGGAATCACAGGAACAGCCGCCTCCTTCTTCTCCTCACTGTTTACACTCTCCAAGGAGCTCAGGGTATCTGTCTTTCTGGGTCTCTGGGGAATCGTGGGAATTGACGCGGACGAATTGCCCGATTCGGCACTAACGGCGTCTTCCGACTTCTTGGGCCTCGTTTTGGGCCGCTGGGGTATCGAGGGAACAGGGGATTCCAGCATTTTGCGGTGTAGGTGGTGGTAGTTTTGGTTGAGGATTCTGGGGTACGTATTTATCCGGCCTCGCTGTATCCAGGAAGGGCCACGATAAGAAGAGGTGTGGTGGATTGGGGTGCTTTTTTGGGGGAAATAAAGGGATGGTGAATTTAGGGGAAATTGAGGTTGAAAATTTGATTTGGTGGGTTTGAATTTTGGTAATTGGGGGAAGTGGTGGGTTTATTGGAGTGTGTGGATGCAGGGTGTGGTAGTCAGGATAAGTAGTGCTGTGAATAAAAGGATATGAATTTTTTATTTTTTGTTTTTTTGAAGAGATTAAATAGATAAAATATTGTACTAACGTTTTCTAGAGATATTGGAACCCTCATGTTGCGTGGAATCGGTGGGTTGCTGATAGATCCGAGGCAGAGTAAAGTGAGCCATCATTGTGCCACAATTAATCCGACAAGATGGTCAATTGAGCAGATTTGGGGATGTTATTGATCCTAATAATTTTTATGAAAGTTTGCATTGACAGTGAAATAGTTAAACGCCCCGTTCCATCCTTTCTTTTTAGACCAACCATTAGTCCTTTCATAGGAAGCCAAAGTCTGATGATATAGACCAAAATTCCACCCATTGAGGCCTCCAGTACCTAGATTCCGGAAATTTAGAAACAACAGAAGCTATTACCTTAGTATAGGTCAGAAGGAAGCTTCGTAATGGAGCCCATTGAGCCGTTCACACTGGAAGGGTACAACTCATCAATACCAACGCTTCCACAAATTTTTCCCTTCAAATCCACCCGATTAATATAGTCCGATAAATTTAGTACAGTGAGCTCTTAAATAATACTCTCCATCCATACCACAAAATTCTCTAACACCTCTTGCCTTTAGACCTCTTCATTCACCACTACACCCTACGCTCTACATCCGCCCAACGGGCACGTCATGTCACAATCCTATATTTGCCTCTATTTAGCCTCACGAGTAGTTCAATCTGAAGATGTCGTTGAACACGTAGTACGAGGATCCATCAGGAATCAAGTGGAACACCTGCGAGTAACGCTGGGCGTTCTGCTCCTCGTCAATAAGCAACTCACCAGTCACCATGACCAAAATATCGCCCTGAGGAGAGGCGGGCTGGGCGTCCAAAGTGGAGATTCTGTGGGCCACTTTAGCAAATGGCAAACCGGCCAACTTCTCCACAATGTCCTTGGAGCCCTGCAACTGCGAGGTCTCGAAGGTCAACATGGACTGCTCTCTGTACAAGTTGCCCAATTGGGATCTGTCGTTGTCGAACTGCTGGTAGTAGAAGTTGCAGAATTCGGTGGCTACGGTGTTGAAATCGACTGCGTGTTAGTTGGGTTGGGTTTTTCTAAAATGGATGGGGATTTGTGGAATTGAACAGGCATCCCAATGATAGCCCAATTATGGCTCCAAGCGGCTTACATACCAGACATGGCGGTGGTGTTGATAGATGGAACCGGCAATTTTTTTACTCCCTCTGATGTCGTAGGTGCCACATGCAGGACGTTGATAATTGGCTCCAACCGGTGTCCCGCTGATCCGCTTCGTGGTATGTTTTTTTTTAGGCAGGAATTTTTGGATTGGGGAGGAAGGGGGATTGGGTAGATTGGGGGGTTTTGGTTGAGGTGGGGAAGGTGTGGAGGCAAGTGCCAATTGTGTTTTTGAAAGAATGGAGCTAGAAACGGCCAGTAAGCGGGTTTCACTGTTTTGGAAAACCTGAAGTGTTTTGGATTCTGAAGAATTGGGGAATGAAAATGTTTATGGATTTCGAAGTGAAACTTGGAGTTTTGACAGTGGAGAGTTGATAAGAGATAGGGTGCGCATTGATCGGACTTTGTAGTTGTTTGAGTGCCAATTGCTATTCTTCTTTTTTTTTTTTTTTTTTTTCTTTTAAAAAATTCAAAGGTACGCGGGAGAAACTGTTCGGCTTCGGTTTGACGGATCGGGGGATGGAAGGAGGTCAGGTTCGACTATGTGGTTCACGGCATTTCGATCTAAAAAGCATGATTCATGAACTCTATGCTTGCGTATTTTATAAAAGTCAAACCGGAGATGCATTAAGAAGCTCCCACATATTCTTCCATTTTGCCTTAGGAATATACCTCTAGTATGCCGTGAACGAGGAAAATAATTATTTCTTACCCTGAAACATACAACTGGTGGACCACATCAGGAATTGAAGGACGCCATGTCATAAAAAATATCTCGAGTATATAAATGATCACACACATTTCTTAAAAAGTCAAATCTATCGAGCAAACTCTACGAAATGTCCTCCAACACCGCTGAAACCGACTCTCAGGTAAACGAAATGGTGCCATTAGAAGATCTAGAAGCCTCCCCTCAAGAGCACATATGTCCAGACCCAGACACTTTTCAATGTGCCATGCAAGTGAAGGAAGATTCTGACGAGACTGGAGATCTTGAACACGACGAAATTGAAGAAAACGAAAGTGAAGATAATCCCCAGGAAGCAAAATTGCAAATTTCCCCAGAAACCATCTGTGATGTTACAGCAGTGCAGCAGGTGATGGTCCCTGACACCGAAAATCAAGCCGAAGCTATTGATGAAGACCAGAGGTCCACCGGAAAACCCAAGAGAAGTCTCCGGGAACGCATCAAATGCATAGCCATCACATCTGATTTGATGATATGTGCCGAGCTAATTCTCTTGATGGTGTTCTTTATTATTCTAAATATAGTGGAAGATTTAAAATATTCACCTCTAGTCGAAGCTTATGATATAGCATGCTATGAGGGGCAGCAAGGTGGGTGTACTCCAGTACTATCAAATAGTCAGCGATGGGACTGTCGGGACTCTGTTCGTGAGCTCTGCTTAGAGAGTCAAACGCTTGCTTGGGATGAAACAAAAGAAGATTTCTGGAAAAATATTAGCGAAAGCGCCACAAGGACAAATAGACTATCATCTACGAGTGTACTGACAAGTCTCCCAACAGGGCTGGATTTGATTGAATGCGAGACTCAACGGGATCAAAGGTTTGGTGCTAGCTGCAAAAAGGTCCAGAATAGAAAGAATTTACACAAGGTCCTTGCAGGTGTCTTTTTGGGAATACCTCTAGGGTTCGGTCTTTCACACATCATTCTGTTTTTTAGTATGGATGTGCTATTGGTAGCCTTTGGATTTGTATGCTTTCTAGGCCACTTTGATATTGTCTTTTTTGTCTATTTATACATTAGGGGGCTACCGGATAGCTCACCACTCTGGTGGGGTTCCTCAGCGGTGGTTACCGCATTATTGGTCTTGTTTTGTTGTGCTTACTGTGGCTACAAAGGAACGATTGATGAGGTTTTTGAATGCATAAATGAAGAAGATTGAGGCGTTGTTTGAATAGGGATTCTTTGGAAGCACTCAAATTGCATTGTGTTTCATTATTGTGAGCCTTTCTTTCCTCCACATGTTGTACGCCCTCTTTCATATTTGACTCGCTTTATATAATTCTTTTGTCCAGTAGGGCTTTGTGGTAGCAGGATTTCGAGTTAGCAGAACTTCCTAGTAGCAGGATCCAGTAATGCAATAATAGCGAAGAATTCTTCTCTCGATCTGTTCATGTCGATGGACCAAAAAAAGGAACCACCATTTTCAATTCAAGTTCATTAATCCAGACAGCGAAAAATTCAAACTCTTTCACATCATCTGTTTTTCAACAAAATGGCCATCCACCGTAGTACCACTATCAAGGTTGTGATCAAAAAAATGCAAGTATTGACGCGGTGCCTTGCATACTTCCTTGAAGCGATAACTACTACATTCTCGAACGGTCTTTCACCAAAAGCTTGATAAACGTGGTGGTGATTTTTTAAAGGCAGGAATTTTTTGAATATGCCGTGAGCGAGAAAAATTATTGTTTCTTACCCTGGAACATACAACTCGTGGACCACATACTTTACAAGAGGAATTGAAAGACGGCATTTCATAAAAATTATCCCACCATGATACTGAACACATAGCGTTTCCTAAAAAAATTAAATCAATTTGTCATGCGAATGAACGATTCTGTATCGCATTGCTAGGACCCTTATTTTGTTCATCGATGCGGCATGAACTGCTATCCACCTAGTCTATCACAGAATACCACACAGAGAAGTTGAAGTGATCGTTTATTTTTTCGTCTTTGACCAGAAAGTAGTAATATAGTTAGCCATTTAAAATTGTATGGCTCTGTGGTTTTATTGTGTTGTTGGAATCGAATACCACTACAATTAGTCAATCTGCTTCATTATTATGACAGCTTGATTCTTTTGGCCCGGCAAAGATTCTGCAAAGAAATATAGAGGGGCGTCTGGCGACTATAAAAGCTACTCCCCAAAGCTCAGAAATATTATCACGAGTATTATTCTCCACAAGTCACCCCATCCTATAAATCACAAAGGTAAGAAAACCTGAATACTTCTTATTGAAATAGCTCCAAAATGTCTAACACCGCTGAAACCGACTCGTCACCAGACCAGGTAAACGAAATGGTGCCACTTGAAGATCTAGAAGCCTCCCCTCAAAAGCACGTATGTCTAGACCCAGTCACTTCTCAATGTGCCATGCAAGTGATGGAAGATTCTGACGACACTGAAGATTTTGAAGACGAGACTGGAGAGTTTGAAGACGACAAAACTGAAGAAGACGAAAGTGAAGAAAAAGCCCAGGAAGCAAAATCGCAAGTCTCCCCAGAAACCATCTGTGACGTTACAGCAGTGCAGCAGGTGATGGTTGGAACACCTAAAGATGATAACCAGAGGTCCACCGAAAATCCCAAGAGAAGTCTCCGGGAATTCATCAAATGCATGGCGGTGACAGCGTTTGGGATGGAATGTGCCGGGTTCATCTTCTTCCTAATGCTCTTTCCTATTTTAGTTATTGTGGCTGAATTTCAAGATTCAGCTCTAAAAGAAGCTGGAACTATAGCATGCGATGAGGGGCAGCAAAGTGAGTGTATTCCAGTACTTTCATCAAGGCAGACCTGGGACTGTTGGGACTCTGTTCGTGAGCTCTGCTTAGAGGGACAAGAGCTTGCTTGGGATGAAACAAAAGAAGATTTCTGGAAAAATATTAGCGAAATCGCTACAAGGACAAATAGACTATCATCTACGAGTGTACTGACAAGTCTCCCAACAGGGCTGGATTTGATTGAATGCGAGACTAAACGGGATCAAAGGTTTGGTGCTAGCTGCAAAAAGGTCCGGAATAGAACGAATCTACTCCAAATCCTTGCAGGTGTCTTTTTGGGAACTCCTGTAGGGCTTGGTCTTTTACAGATCCTGTTCTTTTTTACTTGGGATTTGAGGCTGATAACCGCCGGATTTGGAGGCATTGTGCTCCAATATTTACTTGGCTTTATTGCCCATTTACACATTACGGAACTACGTCATAGCTCACCACTCTGGTGGGGTTCCTCAGCGGTGGTTACCGCATTATTGATCTTGATTTGTTGGGCTTTCGTTGGCTACATAGTGTTTGAGGAGTTCCCTGATTACGAAAATGAAGAAGAATGAGGCGTTGGTTTAAAACGGATCCTTTGGGGGCAATTTAGCTAACCCAATTTGCACTGTGTTTCATTATCGTGAGCCTTTGTTTTCTCTATATGTTAACAACACTTTTCATATTTGACTCGTTTTATGCGTATATCCACATCGAAAAGAACTTCATAGTAGCAGAATTCAGTAGTAGCAGAATTTATTCGTAGCAGAATTAACAGGATTCAGTAATGCAATAGTAGCTGGTGGTTCATCCTCTTCGATCTGTTCATGTTATCGATGGACCAAAAAATAACAAAAACCACCACTTCCAATACTCATAAACCCAAACAGAAAAAGATTAGAGTTTCTTAACATCATCTGTCAAAAAAAGGCCATCAACCGTAGTTCCACTATCTAGGTCGTGATCCAAAAAATGCAAGTATTGACGCGGTGCCTTGCATACTTCCTCGAAGCGATAACGCACCTCATTGTGGCTACATTCTCGAGGGTTCTTTCACCAAAAGCTTAAAAAACCAGTCTCCTACATAGAATCAGGCGGGAATCAACAAGCCCTGAATTTCTTAGAATCAAGGCTGAATCAATGGCTCTGTGTCAAGAAGACCTTGCATGGAGAGCCTGCATATAACTAGAGAGATGCATCGGGGCCCGAGACGTCTACTCGACATCGATAAAAGAAATAAAGACGACATTGTCTCAAATGAAGCTTCACAAGAGTACAGCAAAATGGTCAAAATCAATTGAAATATCAATTTAAAATTTATATGTCAATGCACGATTCCGCCTCACATACTATGCGAGGACCCTTATCTCGATCATCAATGCGGCGTTCAAGAATGCCATCAACCAGGATATATTGGTAGAATACGAGAAGCAGTGTATACAGAGCCCAGGGTCTTGAGTGGCTGTTGAACCAGAGAGATAAAAGATTCAATTTCATGGATTTCTATGGCAATCATCGAATTCACTAATATTACCTTTTTATTGCCTGAAATCGAAAACACCATCTGACAACTACACATTTTACTCCGTACTTACTGATTACTCTAATTCAGTTACCCGCAATTATGTATCCTGTAGATCTGGAAGGAGGGATTTCCAGGGCACTATAAAAGCTGCAATGGATCGCGTCTTTACGACTTTCCCAAAAACACCCAAAACTTCTCCTTATCTTAAAAATTCAACTACACGTGTCTGAATTGATAAAAAATTATACACCCATAGAATTAACCACACCCAGTGATTCACTTTTTGGATCTATTCTAGAAGATGTCCTCGAACACAGGTGAAACCGACTTGCCACCCACCGAGGTAGCCAATATAGTGCCACCTATTTTCGAAAATGCAGATGCTAATATCAATCGGATTTGGTCAGAGAACCCATCCACTAACAAGAATGACCCGCAAATGAAGAAGGATCCCGACTACGAGGATGGAAGTCTCAAAGAAAACGACCAGAATGGAGACGCCAACGTCGAAGAAGGCAGCGAAGCTGACATGAACGAAAAGGTCTATGAGCAAATTGGTGACGCCGATGACGAGGCTTCACCGTTGGTTTCAAAAGAGGTTGTCCCAGAAGACGTGACCATTGGTACTGATGGAACAGGAGCAGTGGAACAGGAGAGCTACTTCGTTCTCGACACCGACCCAGCCCAGCAAAGCAACAGCAATCAAGAAGGCGGCAGTCAGGAGACAAATGCATTCACTGCGGATCCTGAAGATGCCTGGGAGAGATTGACCCGTTTAATGAAATATACATCTGTTTTTGCAGCGGCAGTTGGACTTATGTTCGTGTTTATCATCCTTAACGCTTTAAGTATCAGGGGCGAATGGAGAGATCTGGGCTTCAAGTTGGCTTTTGGTGTTGTTTGCCATGGGAAGCAGATAGGCCATTGCGTTTCTTTTCAAGCGTTGAAATCCGCTTCTGTTCAGAAGGAGATTTGTGAGAAACACTCTCGGAAGGTTTGCCTGGAGAAACAGAAATCTGTTTGGAAAGCTTCGAGAGATGTCCTATGGCAACACAACGTGGACGTTGAGGCTCTCGGATTGCCAAGTCCAACCCCTGAAGGCTCACAGACCAACGAAGAAATTTCACCACAAGATTTGGAGGCCCTTTCACCTGAATATTGGGAATGTGAGTTGCGACGGGATGGCGATTATGCTCATTACTGTAAGTATGCCGAGGAGCAAACCGAGCCTATTCAAAAGCTCGAAGGGATGCTTCTAGGCCTAACTTCAGCGTTATTTGTTTTGCAGTTGTTTGCGCTCTGTACCACACGGGGTGATAGGCCTCTTCGTTGGTTCAAATGCTCTCTTGTGTTTGCTTTCTGGTACTTTATGCTCACCTGTTATGCCATCTCCTTTATTGCCATGGAACCTGAGCCCCACGCAGGCAATTGGGTGCCTGAGGCGGTAAAATGGGGATTAATTTGGTTGTTTGCTGGGGGAGCTATATGTCTTGCTTGATTTCCAAATACCGATTGAACTGCGAGAGCCCAGCGCCTCACCCCAGTTAGCCAGACAAATCCCCGCGTGGATCTACGAAAGAAGAAGAACAGGAAGGAAATCACTAAAAGGAGGAGTTACGACTTGTCCAGTTGAAGGGGAGAAAATTGGTTGTTCAGTTGACAGAGATAGCCGCTTCCATAGCCACGCTACTTTTCCAATCGTTAGTCCGTTGTTTTAACCATATGTAAATGCAAGCGGCGACGCTGTCGCCTGTTCTATGTTTGCAAGCGTCACCTGGCCTCTATAAGACAGCCAAGGCAACACCGCAGGCCCTCAAACGAGCTGCGAGTAATCCTTCAAGATACCCTTCATGTGGGTGTTGGTGATCTTGCCTCTGCGGGCCTTCTTTTGTTTCTTTTCCTCACGCTTGGGCTTCTTTGTCACGATGTTAGGATCGGCACCGGTGGGTTTCAACGACTGGTCGACAAGAGCCTGGTAAAGGTTGTCTGGCTCGGGAATCTTGATCTTGTTCCACATGTCCACAAACTCGTCGTCCAACGTGCCGATTTCACCGCCCAAATTGGCCCACACGAGCCTAGGCGAATTCTCCTTCTTGTTACGAAGCACAAGAATTCGGTTGCTTTCCTCAAGGGTCTGGATCGCCTCCATGCACCCGGACCAGCCGTCCCGGAGCTCCTTGACCAGTGTGCCCTTGAAAGTGGGCTGCAGACGGAGGAAGTCTAGCAAGTCGTCTGCGGTACGAATGTTGTGGAGAGACATGTACTCCAACGTGCCGGTGGCAGGGTCGTACTTGATCCGGTCAATCTCCTTCAACAACGGAAGCAACGCCTCCGTCACATCCGTGCCCAAGTAGCTCTCGAGCTTGTCGATCGCCACGGGTTTATCCTGCTGTTTGATATACTCCACTGCCAAGTGGAGTCTAGTCGAGAGGTGGGAGCCCGACATGCTGATGTTCAGCCTGTGTTTCTTCATAGACTGGAACGAATCCTCAGCTAATCTTTTTCTGCCGTTGCCACTGGACCCGTTGGTCAGTGGCGTTGGAGGAGCCAGGGGGGTGTCCTGGTTCAGAGGCTTTGGGGTAACTGCTCTTCTGACCGCCACGGATGGCCCGCTTCTGATTCTGGACTTGAACGCCAGGAGCTGAGACAGGAGGTCTGACATGATATGCTAAGAACAGTTGTGGTGGGTTTAGCAGGAATGAAGGAGAACCTTGGGGATATATTATAAACGAGTGGTGAATAAATGTGTGATTGCGTGGTGCACGGGTGTCGTTTTGTCACATTTATGGAAACTCGAGGAGGTTTCAACAGGAAAGGCGTGCCTTTTGGGTGGATTTAGGGCAAGAGCAGCGTGGTCATGCGTTCAGTATGGTCATGTAAATTTGAGTTTTTGGAAAGTACTGTTTTGGGCGTTTCAAGAGCGTGAACTGGTTTGTTTGGGTGAAGAATGTTCACAAAGGGTAAGGTTTATGGGATTTTTGAAGCACAAGGAGGCAGGGAGGCAGGAATAATGATATTAGTGAAAAGGGGAAATTTTTGTGAATTGTCTTGGTGTGATTTTGTTGGTGTTAACCGGCTTTCTGAGCATGTGGAAGTCGATTCATGGAACTGACACCATTGACGAAGCAAAAGGAAACCAGCAGCCCATAATTCCAAAAGCTCAAAGTTAGATTACTATTCATTGAGCTATTTCACTGCCGTCCTACCTCTTTGACCTGGAAAATTGGCCAATCAGAAGGCATTATTCACTGCCCTGCGAAGCAACGCTCACCAGCAACACAGCCCCAAAAGTCTAATGCCCGTGGATTTCTAAGAAATAGAAATTCGTTCGATTTCGGTGATTTCTAAATTTCTTCATTTGTTAAAATACCTCGGTTTGCATGGTTTATGGCTGGGTGGGTGGCTGCAAACATACTCTAACCCACTTTTTGACTCTTCACTACAAAGCCCCAAAATCACAATTCCATCCCCTCAAAGCCTACACCACTCCAACCTTTTCATTTTCATTCCGTAAATCCAGGCTATATCATACAATGCCTCACGGCGTTTCCTGATTTCTTCCTATAGGGCCCTCTGAGCCCGGTCGTGCACAGGCCAGGATACCTATACTTCATCGCACGAGATCAAATCTTTTCACAACCAGGACTTCCTACTCTGGCGTCGTTGCCACGGCATTAACAATGGCCTCGGTCAGAGCCCAAGCGGCGTTGGTGTAGGGTTTTCTAGATAAACACATTCGTGCAACCAACTCTAAAACCATCGCTGTTGGAGGTCGCCTGCCCTAGGGTACGAGCTGATCCATGAAACGGTGATGACCTGAATGTTGGGACATCTCTTAAGAAAAGTAGTTTTCGCCGGGACGGCCCATTCTGTCCCGCTCGCGAAGCATGAACTCTTCGAATGGCGGGAGCAATTCGTCGTTTAAGATCTTGTGCACTAGCTTTCTGCCTCTTCTGGTCTCAAGATCAATGGGCTGAGCCCAACGGAGATTTTTGTTCATGCCCGAGTTGCTCAAGTCAAGCAACATGCGTTTCGGCGTGCCCGTGTCTTCGTCCTCGTCTTCTTCATCTAGAAGCTCGAGGGACGAGAAGTAGTTATCCTTGAAGACAGTGCACTCTTTGCCGTCGTATTTCTTGCGTTTGAGGTCCTCGGCAAGCATGCCGCTGATGAACAGCTTCACCAAGCGCAAGTTGATCCAGATCATGCTCAGCAAGTTGATGTACTCGAGCCTGGACCGCTTGCACAAGGATTTGAGAATCTCGGACTCGTTGATGGTCTCCAAATGAGCGCTGTTGATGGACTTCAAGTTCAAGTCGCTCAAAAAGACGAGCCCGTCGCCTTTCTGGAGGTACAGAATATCACGAACCAGCTTGGGTAGCGGTGGGAGCAAGCTGTTGTATTTGCGGATGGGCTTCGAAAGAGTGGACATGGAGAACACCGACGAGGCCAGGGAAGTGAGGTCGGGGATGCGGCGGGTGATTTCGCTTTTGAAGAACAACTCGTCGTCGGCCATAGGGTACAAGTTGTCGATGGTGTCGACGGTCTCCTTGGAGTAGTTGTTCATGATGTCGAAGGCCTGGTACTTCTGGGACATTTTCGGGGAGATCATGTAGTCTGTGGAGAGCGACAAGCTGCCCAAGTTGAGCGACCGCAAGTTGGGGCACATGTTGATCAAGTGGATGATGTAGCCGATGGGCACGTCCTTCAGCGACGAGTAGTTCATCAAGAACTTGTTGATTTTCGGGTGGCTCAGGTGCTGGAGAAGCCATTGGCTGTGGCGGCGGGCGCCTGGCAGCGGTCTCTGCTCCTCAGGAGCCTCTATTTTGGCGTGAGAGCGTCTTCTCTTCTTGAAGTACCTCAGAAACTTGCGTTTTTTGGGCGACGGCGGCCCGTGGGGAGCGTGCAGCAACGCCTTGGTCAATGGCGTGGCAGGCAACGGGTGTAAGGTGTACAATGGGTTGTTGGCGAACTTCCAGTCCCGCCAGCCGGCCCAGATGGCCAAGATGTCGTGGAACTGGTCAGTGTCGTTTTCCTCCTGTTCTGTGTCGCTCTGGGCCTCCAATTCCCAGTTGCCCGGCTTGAGCTGGGACAAGTCGACCTCCAAAACGTGGCAGCCCAAGGCGGGGTTGAGCCGTAGGTAGGTGATGAACTGGGCAAAGCGGAAGGTCGAGGAGAAGGCCACGTAGCGGAACATGAACGGCTTGGCCAAGCGGTAGAAGGTCTTGCACGTGTAGAGGCAGTTCTGGTAGGATGGGGTGTCGTCGACCAAGGAGAAGACGTGGATCTGGATCTCCTCGGGAAGGTCATTGAAGGTTGTGGCAGGGGCTCTCTTTTTCGGCGTCGTATTGGTGGTGTTGGTCTGTTTCACGCTCGGGACCTTCCGACTGAGCAAGGACGCCCGCATGGACACGTCAGAGAGCAACAGCTTGTACTTCATCTTGAAGTTGGACCGAGGCAACTTGGGAAGCTGGTAGCCCAGCAACACCTTGGACAAGTCCAGCTGGCTGAACTGGACAAAAGAGTGAGTTCTGTAGTCATACTGGGACTTTGGGTCCACGAGGGAGCGGTACGGAGGGAGGTGTTTTCTGAACTCCACTTCCATGAAACGGGGTGGTTGGATTGAAAGTGTGGAGATGGCGATGTCTCAGATGGAGGTTGAAATATGAGGAGGCCCCTTGAACAGGAAAGGAATTGGCTGTTCTTTATAGGTGACCTGGAGGATCAGAAATGCTTTGGTGATTTCGGTCAGATCAAAAAAGGCGTAGTTGGCAGGATTATATTTGCTTGGTAGTGATAACAGCCGCAGCCTCACAAGACAGTACAGCTGCGGGTAAACAAGCAAGGCCGCAATCAGGGAACCGTCTGGGGTATCCGGGTGATCTTTAGTTTGGGCAAATTTCAATATCACGCAATTATCTGGTGATGGTGATTTTATGATCTTTCACTTTCATTTTCAAATCTTTCTATTCATCTTTTTGTCTTGTGCTGTGTTTCTTTTCGCAGCCATAGCAAGTCCTCGGGGCCCCTCGTTGCGGATAGGGGGCAGGCCTAGAAAAGAAACCGCACGGCGGCAGACGAAGCCTGATGAGCTGCCAAAACGGGAAGACCGCTCTAAAAATTAGCCTAATAACTTTTAATAGCTTTTAATTGAAAGCTTTCCTTTTTTTGGAAAAGCTAAAAAATATTTCTCGTCGAAGTGGCCCGTTTGGCAAGCGCCGCCGCAGCGTCAGCGTTTTGCAGCCGGTCGGCGTGGCGGTGGTGCGGTGGCAGTGGGTATCGCTCGCAAGCGCGGGGCGTGGGACTGGCTGCAACGGCTCTTGGCGGTGGTTTGGCGGCCCTTCGAGGCGCTGGGTCCGGGCTCGGATTTCTGGAGTGGTTGGGTCGGCCGATTTTGGGGGCCGTGGTTTTGAGAAAATTATCAGAAATTGTGTTTTGGCGGTTTTTGATGGTTTTTTGGTGGGTCGCTAAAAGGGCCCTTTTCAGTCTGCTCGTGCGATGCCGCCTAGAAGTCTAATTTGTCACGGTGCCTCGAGGAGGGGAAGCCGTGGATGGTCCCGCAGAAACAGCATCAAATTTTGAAGAATTAGTGAAAAATCGATTCACCATATCGATGGGAATGTTTTTTTGATTGTGTGACTTTGCAACACGGCTGAGTCCGCAGCACACTGTGAAGGTTCCAGGCGAAAGGCTAATTGGCTGCTTTTCTGAGGCTATTGCTTTGAAGGCTATTTTGGGGGTGAAGGCTATTTGGAGAGCAAGGAAGATGGAAGTGTAAAGTTTGTAATTGCATTGCGGTGGATTGGAGCTGGTGACGTTTGCTGGAGAATGAATATGGAAGGTTGATTTTGTGACACTTGGGTTTGTGGTGGTTTTTCTGTTTGGATGTTTCGGCGTGGATTACCGATTTGCATTGGTTGGGGATTGTGGTCCGTGACGAATACATGGCGAGATTTATGGCGAGGTTCGTAAAATGGTGAATTCAAAGAAATGAGGACATAGAATTCCAGAATAGCCAGATACCACTATGTAAGCATCCCGGGCATTAGAAGCTCCACCGATACCCTAAAGATTAAAAGCATGGCCGACTTAAAGCACATCCACTTCATCCCATAAAACCATAACCTTCATCGCTACATCTACAAGTACCTACTGACAAAACCCTAAGCCTATGCCCTTTGGCTCCTTCACACTTTAACCTCTCGCTTATCGTTTTTCCAATTTCACTCTCGCTTACCGCTTTGACGTGCTCTGTTTCACCATCCACCTCAGCTGATGGTCCCTTGATGTACCTCAAACCTCCACAACCAATCCCTCCATACCACCAAAATCGTAGTTTCTCTAAATTCCAAAACCAATAAACCCCCAAATTCGAAAATGTCCAGGAAGGTCCCCACATTCACTCCACAAACCAAACCACCATTTGCCGTACATTCCATCCAATCACACCACACCAAACACCCCATCACGGCATTCGCTGCATCGTTTGTTGTCAGGTAACGGGCGAAAAATCGGGATCGACGATGCCTAATGCCTGGTTGCACGAGCTTTGCATTGTAGAGATGCACCAGGATCTTCAGACGCTGCGTTATGTGGGTTTGGAAGATCCTGGAGTGCTGATTGCGTTTTCGTCTGGGGTTGGACGCATCTGGCCAGGCGATGGGGACCGTGCTTTTTGTATCTTCTTTTTCTTTTTTGTAGTTCCAGGGGTCTGGTCATCGAGGGCTTCAAGCCTCCGATTAGCCTGGTCGATCTCGGTACTATTGTCTAAGCCATGGCCCAAAAGGGCGAAGCGCCAGACGAAAAGAAGGGTTTTTAGGGCTGCTGGGACTTCGGCTGGATGTGTCAAAAATGGATCACCATCGGTGTGGACGATGTGGATGTGGATTCTGGAAGGTTAGGTGGATTTTGGTGGATTTTCGAATGCAACAGAACATCTTCAGGGGTCTCTTGGAAAAGCGGCTTGCAAACCCAAGCCTCTGTTGGTGAAAATGGACGCTTCTGTTGAAACATCTTGCCCGAATTTGCTGTTTTGCTTCTTGCTTTGTCAGCAGAGCCCACAGGTGGCTTTGGGTTTCTGGAAACGGCAAGCATCAAGTGTACATTCACGATAAGGCCAGCCTCACGGGAGAATGGATGGAGGTAAATTTGGCAGGATTAAGAGGGACCGTGTAGTTTCGTCGCTTAGACTGCCGAGTTCAAGAAATCTTAATGTGTCGACTTTGTGCTATGTTTTAAACCGCCACAGTGAAGAGGCCTTGTAGAGGTTTCATTTTATTTAGAGCCTCTGGATCCCTGAATTTTACCTTATCATAGAATTTCCCAAAAAAAGCATGTAGACCTTAATGGTTTGTAGGCGAGGGTTCGAAGAATAACCACAATATCACCAGTACCACCTCCCACGACCATTACACCTTCCAAGAAGCTACAAATTATTTTCCAAGAATTTTTACCTAACCGTGGGTCCAGAAAAATGCTGGATTTTCCCATCCAGACGTCTACAATACCCTCCGCCTTCAAATCCACCAAAAAATCACCATTTTCTGGATTCGAAGAAAACCCCAAACGGCGTGAACGTCGCCATCACAGACGCAAAACCGGAAAAATGTTGGTTCTCCGTGGCCAGCTTCCCCAGAATCTAGTCTGACATCGAAAAAAAAAAAAAAAAAGAATACAGTTTTGTGCCTCGTAGGTGTCTGTGCTCTGAACCTTGCTTCACATTACCTCACATTGCTTCTTGCACTAAAAGTTTTTAGCTTCTAAGTTACGGAGGAAATAAAAGTGACTCAAGGAAGCGACAAAACTTGCAGATACTGGCGCTAGTCAAAATTTGTGAAGCCGTTTCTTGTACAAGTCATGAATCAGCAGATGGGTTTGTGGAGCCTCGTGGCCAAGAATTAGTGGGAAAAAAGAAGCCGCTGAGCGACACCTTAATGGGCCTCCACAACGGAATTCTGACTAATTTAGTAGTACCAGACAGCCACAAGACGGCAGGCCCGCGGACGTTTTTGTGTTACCAGATAAGACAGGTCCGGACAATAGAGACACTAAAAAAGGGGAAGCCCACAAAAAGGCTTGACACATTGTAAGCGATTCCTGTAAAATTGCGACGTGATAGTCCGTGGCTAAACTGTAAAGGCTCCGCCCCCAGCTGTAGAGTTAATGCAAGGTGAATACCCGATATCCGGAAGGCCAGGAAACCGTAAAATCACTCGGGTGTTGCTTTCGGATTTTAGCTCGGGTAATGACCCCAACAGTGGTCTCTGTAGCACGCCTTATTCGGTTGTTGAGCGGCGGTATTGTGTCACTTTTTTTTAGACTCTTCCAGAGCAGCCTTATCAGATAAGGATGACAGGAAAGCTTGAAGAAATATTATTTTGGATTGCAAATTCACCTGAAAATCCCCTTCGAAATACCAGCCCAGCATGAAAACAAACACCAGGCAGCATTCCGAAGTGTCCCACTGCCTGGCGGCTAGAACCCAACAACCGAGCGGATCGTAAAACCGCCATTTTCGGGAGACACTGGGAGCTCGTCCAGATGAAAGTCAAAGTCAAAGGCAAAAATTAAAAAAGCCAGAAAAGCCCACAAAACCCCGACTCGGCAGCTCAAACTTCTCGCTAGATTAGCCGAAACACCAAAAGCCCACAGCACTGCCCCATTTGCAGCCTTCCCACCACCTTACAGCCGTTTCACAGTGCACCGCAGCCGCCTGGCCTGTCGTTGGTTAGTTACCCTACCTTGCAGGCGGTCTCCACCAGTTAGCACGGCGTGCATGGGTTGAGCTGGAAGCACCACGATCCGTGGATAAGAAAAGCAACTCGTATGCAACGAAGGTAGGATTTGGAAGTAGCACAAAACGGAGGCGCCACTACGTGGCGGCTCCATAAGCTCAACCACTTAGTCCACCCCATTAAACCACCCCAAAGTCATTTTTTCTACCATGGCTACCGGACCGAATCCACCTTGGCACCTCAGGCCTTGCTTGTGGCTAGGAGAGAAAAACGCCGGATAGCCCAGGCGGCATGGAAGCAACATGAGCGCAAATATGTGGTTTAGCAGAGGCTGCGTACTGGCTGCATCGTCTACTGTTGGAGAACGCTGCACCGTCGCCGTAGTCCACGAAGATACAGATTGGGGCTGCCGCCAGATGATGCTGCGGACGAAAGATATGATTTGGAGAAGCGTGGGAGATTGGTTTTGCAGCAGGTGATGGGTGCATGGGAAGGAGCCCTGGGGGTGGTTTTGCAGCAAGAAAAAAAAAAAAAATGGCTGGTTTTCTTTTTGTGTTCCATGACCATGGTGCTGTGGACTGGCGGTTGGAGATTTTTGGAAATTCATTTTTGGAGCTCCTCTGGCCTGACATTTGTCAACGCTGACATTGTCCTTGCTCGACGCCAGATGCTGGTTAGGAGCTACCCGGCATTTCCGTGGCGGCACATCGCTTGAAACCAAAAAGTGCTCAGCTGAGTCAGGACGAGGATCTGGTGCTCTGTCAGCGGGCTGCTGGCCAGGCGTCGTCGTTTTTGAAGTGTCAGTTTTTGATGAAATTTTGTGAAAATTAACGAAAATCACTAAAGGTGGTCCCAAAAAATCACAGAAACAATGCATTTTTTGGGGGCCCAAAACCCTCCCCATTCTCTGACCAACCTCGACGATCCATCCCTGTGTCTGCCTCCCTTCCGTACCCCCGTTTTCTCTCCTTCTCTAGCACCTCTTCCACACGCCATGGCGTAATCCTTCTCCTCTCTTCTTTCAGAGATCAATGTACGTGCTGCGGCGTAACGCAATGTTTTTAGTTCGAGCGTTTGCTATTATTTTGCCGGAGTCTAATGCGTTGTCGATCCAGCTCAGGGACCGCCAGTTCTGAAACCGATAGACTTCTCAAGGTGCAACCACGGCACAACGCTGTTTGTAATGCCGAGTGCCGGGCCAAAATTGAAAAAAATCAATTGTTATGAAAATTCCACAATCATAGCTGGCAATCACGCTTTCCCAAACGATAATACAGAATAGGTTCCGTGCGCCTGGTGCCTGGCCATTGTGTGGACAATGGAGACTCAGTCTCCGTAGGTTCGCCGAGCTTTTTCAAAGCAAAACGACCAACAGGGAAGTGCTACAAAGTACGAGGGCCCGGGAGGGAGCCCGAGAGGGAAATAGCCAAACGAATCGCACAAGAGAATGATCAACAGATCGCAAAACACGCAAAACGTGGGTTTCAGGTGTGAAGCCCCGTGGAAGCCAAGGCGTGCTAAAAAGCCAATCGGCGGGTCGTGGGAGCCGATTTCAAACTCAATCACAATGGAGCTCTGCCAGGGCAAGAAGCCGACAATGGGAGTATCGCAATGTCAATCACTGGAGAGGAGACGCCAATCAGGGACAAAGCCCGACCGGACAGAAACAAAGGAATAGCCGGCGGGCGCTAACACCGACCAAAGGCATTTTTAGTTTTGGTGATTTTCTATGATTTTTGTAAATCGCCGGAAGAGTCAGCAAACGGCGCTACAGAAGTCGAAAGCATTGACAGCCCATGTGGTGCACAACGTCCACGCCACAGAAGCGGATAAGCCGTCCTTTGGACACGAAACGCTGTGGCTGGAAAAGCTACGTTTTTTGGAGAAAGCCCCCCAGCAAGTCTAAAGCCAAAGCGATAAGGTGTGGAAAGTGAAAAGTCAGACACGGTTTGGAGAATCTGGGGTCGGAGTCGGGGCTTTCGAGCGGGAAAAGTTGCCCGGCGGCAGGAGAAAGCTTCTGCAAAAGCTTCCCAAAAGCTTCCCGGAAGCTTCCCTGGCTTTGATAGAGAAGAGGTGGTGATGATCGCAGTACAAGTGAGGTGTTGATCGCGAAGCTAATCAGCAGATACGGAGGGAAGGATTGCCGGATACTCCATGGGGAAGGTCACAAAGATGAAGAAGAGAATGTAAAAAAAATACGCCTTCGAATGTTGGCAAAAAATCAACAATACCTGGCCATTACCGGCCAGCCTACGGCTTACAAACGCTGTCTCAGCGTATCTGAAACCTCAATCCTCCCAAAAACCACCGCCAACTCGTCGCCCGCAACAACCACACCCAAAAACGCCCGGCCCGCCGCGTGCCGCCCGTGCCCCTCCAGCAGGCCCATCCCGCTTTCGCTACGCCCAATCCGCTTGGACCCTGGCGCAATTTTACCGCTGCCAGCCTCTCCCAGGGACGATCGCGCCTGGTTCGCTGCGTTGCCGCCGCTGACCGCCTGTGCGCTGAAAGTCGGCCCACAGTGGCATGAGGGTTTGCACGAGGCACGACGAGAACGAGGCAAAGGCCGGGTTTGCTGTTTTTTTTTTTTGCTCTGTGCACGGGGTGGTTATGGAGACTGGGTTTTTCGCTGCAACGAAGGAAGCCGGTAACCGTTAATTTTTGTTTCTGTTTTTTTTTGGCCCGCTGCCCTCTTTTTGTTTCTGCTTTTGCTTCCCGTCAGAGCCTCCCTCCACGCCGGCCACCGCCTGCCGCTTGGAAGCGCCTCGAATATACTGGAGTAACTTTTTCCGAAGAAACGATAGATTGTAATGTAGCCTCTGCCTGATCGTCGCTTCTGCCCCCGAGATCAATGGAATCTCCTCAACGGGTCCCTGCCTGTCTGTGGGCTGCCCCTCCGGCAAATCCAACCCCAGGCAATTTGGGGAAAAAGTGTCTCGGGTCCAGCCTGCTGGGTACAGCAGACGTGCGTCTGTTTGCTGCTGCTGCTCAGCCGCCGCACGCCTTTTTTTTTTTTTTTTTATTTTCTTTTGGTTTTTCCTTTACCCGAGCGATTTATCGACCACGGCCTGCTCCATACTAGGGGAAAGGGTCCCGACGGAAAGTTCAAAAAAAGCGCCGCGGCGTGATCCGGATTTTAGCGATGATTGAGAAAGGCGAGATCGCTCTGACGGTTTCGGCGCCGTACTGCATATAAGCAATATACGTCTCTCACTCGCTCTCTCTCGCTCGCTCGCTCAACCCACCATCTCTCTCAACCTGCCTCTCTCACCTCACGCACTCTGTATGGAAGTGCTGCACCATTGAGAGACCCTCGCGCGCATTTGCAGCGTGCAGCGTGCAGCGTGCGTTAGTGCTCGACGCGCCTGCACACAACCCGCATTGCCCACTTTACCCTCCCACATATTTTCCTACCAAAATACTAATCTCAAATACCTGACTAACTTCAACCACTACTGTGCTGGCCCCGCATTGCAGCGTGCATTGGATCAGGACCCTATTGCTACAGCCACGATAGAAAAAAAAGCAAGGCCGGATGAGGAAGTGCTTATTTTTTTTTTTTTTTTTCATTCATCAGACAGGCATGGAACAAACGGCTCGGGCTTCTCCCGCCTCACCTCGGGTCCTAAATCGCCCCTCCTAATAAGTATTTAAGCTTTCCCTCTGCAAAGAAAGCCTCGAACCCTGTAATACCTCTCGTCCTCAATCTGCACCCAGGACCGCCAGCACGCTTAAAAACGACCCATCCCCACGGAATTTCTCGAGAATCTCCCAAATTACCCACACCCTGATTTTCCAGAGTCACTGCTCCTCCGTGCCCCTCCAGTGCTGACCGGTTCCTCCACCAGAGCAGTGAAAAAAGCACGATCCTCGAGCCAAAAGTTTATTCCTTGTCCAGCTTGTCTTCAACCAGCCCCCAGAGTAGCAGCCGATCGTCGTCGTGCCTGGAGACCGGTGCCTTGTTGAGTTTTTCCAGAGCATCCCGGTTCCACCACCGAAACCCCGTTTCCCCAAACTCTAACACCACCACGACTCTTCCCCTTCGGGGGGTCACCTGAATTGTATTTAAGATTGGCCTTCGTCCGTGTTTAGAGTCAGACTTCAGCAGAGACTTCCAAGCAGAAAGGTTTCCAAGAGACTTCCCAAGCATCAGAAAGCTTTCAAGACTCCAAGAGACTTCCAAGCTTCAAGAGACTTCTACAGAAAGACTTTCAAGAAGAGACTTCCAAGCTTCAAGAGACTTCTACAGAAAGACTTTCAAGACTCCAAGAGACTTTCAAGGAACAAGAGACTTCCACAGAAAGACTTCCAAGAGACTTCTACAGAACAGAAGACTTCCACAGAAAGCTTTAACAGCCTTCACAACCTTCAGAAGCTTCACAGCCTCCACAACCTTCACAGCCTTATCAGCCTTCAACAGAAAGTTTCAAACCTTCAGGCTCAAACCCTCCTAGAGCAGACCTTCCCCAAATCGTTCCCATGATGACCCTCGTGCCGACCTACACGGGCTACATCGGGTCCACCAGAGACGCCGTTCTCATCATCCAGGGCGTGCTTTCCAAAGAGTTCGCCTGTGTCCACCGCAGACCCCACAGCAGAGAAAGAGCAGACCTCATTCGCCTGGGCAACGTCTTCGTTTTCATCGAGGAGCAGCTGGGCATCAAGCGCTGGACAGACGGCATTGCCTGGAGCCCTTCCCGAATTCTAGGCCGTTTTCTTGTGTACCGTGAATTGGACAAACTGCTCCACGACGACCGCAGAAAGAGAAAACGCAACCTGGAGCCGTCCATGCTGCAGCGTTCTCTGGCGTCTGATCTGCTGGACAGAGCCCCCACTTTACAGCATTTCCAGCAGTTCCAGCAGCCATTCGTCACGCTGCCGTTGCAGCACAAGGACCCCCACATGACGGTGACCCGCCTGGACCACGGCCTCATCAAAAAGACCTTGAGCGTTTCCACCGTGGTCAAGGAAAACGACAAGGAGCTGAGGCAGACCGTGCATCTTATTTCGTACTACCTGGCGTACGACGTGCTTCTGGGCCGCTTGGTCCGTCCGTCCCAGAGCAATCTCCAGTACATGCCTGTGAATCCTGATCTCTGGGCTGCCATTCAAAAATCGACTTTGGGTGGGAAAATACCTATTGAAGACGAGGCCCACTACTTCTTGGACGCCAACTACCAGCTCCAGAACATGCTGGTGCTTTCCCAGCCCGAACGCAAGGTTTCTCCAGCGACAGACCCAAAACACTACTTCCAGCCGTACGCCCAGCCGGTCAACTACCTGCCTTTTCCGAAAGTGCCGCTTCCCAGCCCGTACTCCGATGCTCCAGCCCGCCATGTTAAGGAGGAGGAGCCTATTGAGCATAAAATGCCTCCACACCCTGTTCCTCCCATCCACATGCCCCAGCAGGACCCGGTGCCTGAACAAATGTACTACGGCGCCTATTCCCACCAGATGCCGCTTCAGTACTATAACGGCCCGGGTCTTTTGAATCCGACCGCTGGAGAACAGTACCAGATGGCCAATCCGCCAGGAACCCAGCCGTTGCCGCCGTACCAGCAGTTCTACAACCAGGGCTACCAGTATGCGGTGCCGGAGCGGGTGCCGGCGAGAGAGGGCTACCAGGAGGACTACATGTGGAAGGAGACGTTGTAGGCTGGGAGGGAGAGCCACAGAGGTGAGGGATTTGTGGTTTAGTGGGTGGGAGTTGGCAGTTGATGATAGGGGGTTTGAGTGATAAAGAGTTGGAGAGGTTGAACTATGAGATGGAGAGCTAGGTTAATTGAACCTTCAATTGGAATTTTGAAGAGATGGGACTGGAGAACCACAGCTGATCTGCATTGGCTTGTTCCTGGCACTGTTGCTTGTATCGGAGTGCATTGCATTTTGGTGTTTCTACAGAGCTTAGGGTCTGAACAAGCGGATGACAGTTTCTTTCATGAACCGGATTTTGGAAATTTGCTGCTTTTGCTGATTTCACGATTTTCGATTACTCGGTATCGGCTTCATGGCATTTCGATTACTGCCTCCTGGCCTATAAGGTTCTTATCGATCGACAGGTGCTCCACAGTCAACAATAGCCCGCCCTTCAATGTTGCTCCGCTACGGATGGATTTTAGCTTTGGACAATTCGATTGTGAATTCACATTTCACCGGATTAGCTTTGGACAATTCACATCGTGAAATTCACAATCCACCGGATTCGACTCGGTACCTGATGAACCCTACGTCATCTAATCCAAGGCAATCCAAGGCAATCCAAGGATCCAAGGATCACGAGTTTTGCAAATTCCGTGGAATCTCCGGTCACCACTTGCCAACCTCCAGATCAGCAGCGTGGTTCGTTTGCGCCACCTTCGTATACTCAAGTGGCTAAATCGCCTAAAGCAGCCAGACTGATCAACACGCTTGTCTCAGAGGTGAATTACACAAGCGCCACTTTTCCCCACTGTGGACCGGTCTGTTGCTAATATCCGACATGCCGCTTTTTTTTTTTTTCGTCCGAAATGAGACCACAGATCTGATAATAACATACGGAACACTTTGGCGGCATCACAGAATTCAGGGTCTAGATCAAAATAAAAAAAAAAAAAAAATATCTAAAAAGAAAAAAGGTCGTTTGCAGAACGCCAGGCAAATCTTCAACGTGCAAGCAAGCGCAGAAGCTGCAGATACTTACTGGGATCTTCAAACAGCAGCAAGCGCTAAAAACCAGCTCACGATAAGCCTTTATGGTCACCACCGAGATGCCGGGATTTTCCAGAAATTCCATTTCCACACCGATAGAACGGCTGGTTTCAGCATACTATTTTGCATCATTTTGGACGTCTTAGTCACAGAAACCCGAATAAAGCAAGGCTTTCGTTTCGTCTCAGCCTCCTTTGAAAAAAGGCAGCTTTCTAAGCTCTCCACCTGAGCTCCCCACATAAACCACTCCACAGTCTACAGAACCATGCCACTCTGTGGCTCGATGTACCAATAAACATAATCAGCACAAGCCGTTTAACTTACATCTTTAAGCTTCTTCTAGAACGAGAAATACCCTTCACTCGCCTAGCTTTTACCTTTGCTTCCTTCACTTGCAACAGCTACCTAGAATTTATTTTGAATTTAGAATCCTACGCTTCTGCCGTCCGTGTCATTTCTTTTAACTATCCATATGAGCCGCGCCACCTTCACTGGGTTTAAATTTTGCAGCCAAATTAGGGCCAGGCACGTTTTTCCTTGGCGGTGCTTTGATAATCGTACTCGGTGCGTCAGCGAAAAATAATATAATGTAATAAATCGAGGCCTCGATGCTCGCAAGATAGATGCGTCTGCCCCTGCACCAGCGGGCGTCTTCTGCATGAATAATAATGCTGTGTCAAGGATCACGCGCCCAGGGTCTCACAACCGTGCAGTCCCTCTCTTATTGTGCAGCAGCGCTTTCCTGGTTCTTCTTCCACTCCAACAAAGGCGCTAGAACTCCAACATCGCTGCTCTTGTGCGTAATGAATGGGTCTCTCAATAGGCTGTCTGTGCTACCTCTCGCTTCGGGCTGCAAGATCAAGCAGCATGACAAAAAGTTCATCATCTCCTCGCTCACCGCCTTGGGGTTCTTCAACTCGGGCGTTCCGTTCGTGGCAATGAGATAGAGCGCCTTCAATGGCTCTTCGTTCAAGTAAGGTGGCTCACCTTCAATCATCTCGATGGTCATGATACCCAAAGACCACACATCCACCTTGCCGTCGTATTCTCTTTGCTTAACCACTTCGGGCGCCATCCAATACGGCGTTCCGACCATCGTTGCTCTTTTGCTCCTTTGATCCGTCAACTTTGCACAGAAGCCAAAGTCTGTGATTTTCACATTGCCTCTAGCATCAAGCAAAACATTGTCGGATTTGATATCTCTGTGAATAATCTGTTTGCGGTGCAAGAATTGCAAACCCTTCAATGTTTCGTGACAAATTGTGGCGATTTGGTTCTCATTGAGCTTGGACTCGTTGTTCTCGATAACTTCCGTCAAGGAACCGCCTTCCATGTACTCCATAACCACCAAAAGGTCGCTGGATCCACGCAAATAAGAATCCAAGAAATTGACAATGTTCGCGTGCTGAGAGTCCTTCATCACAAGAATTTCGTTGATGATAAGTTCCTTACGAGGCTGCACCTTGAGGTCCATCTGTTTGATGGCAACTTTTTGTCCTCTGTCCTTAGGCGCAAGCGACTCGGCAAGGTACACTTCTCCCGAAGCACCTTGGCCAGCCTTGTTGATGATGCGGAACAATGTAGATGGGTCCTTGTTGTTGACCACGGTCTTCAACTTGGCGAGGATCTGGCGGTCATTGAGCTGCTCGCGCTCTTTCTTGATCTGCTTGGTGGTCTTCGCTGGCGTTGGGGCCTTGTGAACCTTGGGGTCGACTGTCCGTGGAGGCACAGTGTCTGATTTTTGCTTAAGTGCCTCGTGAGGTTTTTCTTCATGCTTAGGACGCTGATCCTGCTTGGGCTTCAAGCGAAGTGGCTTGAGGTCAGGAAGGTCGTCCTGTGGTCTTCTCTGAGGGTCAGTCTTGGCCAACGTATGCTTGATGTTATCAGAATGGACCTTGACATCAGGATGCACGTTGCGGGGCATCACTGGAGGTGCCTGCTTAGGTGCCAGAGTGCTGATACCCAAGCCCTGTGTCTTCTTGGCAGCATCTGGAGCCTGATGACGGGGAGGTTGTGCCTGAGGTGGCTCAGGGGCCTTTCTTCTTGGTTCTTGCGGCACTGGAGCCTGTCCTGGAGCCTGTCCTGGCACAGGAGGAGCTCTTCTAGCTGGAATTAAGCTACCTGGACCTGACAGTTTAGCGAGTGAATCGGACGACTCAGGGCCCTGGGCATTCATGAGGTTCATCAATGGCGACAGGGGCTTCTGTGTCGTGTGGTAAGGAGCTGGTGGTTTTGGAGCAGCTCTGGTGGGCTTAAAGTCCATGGGCTGTTGGGCTTTAGCAGCTGGGTGTTTGGTCCAATCCTGGAAGTTCAAGGAGCCAGGGCCCTGCTTGAGTTCAGGCGTTGACACGGGTGTACCGCCATTAGAGCCATTAATATCGGAATAAAACTCCAAAACCTCAATCACCGCCACAGGGTCCTTCTTCCAGTCCTCGTTGGTGATCTTCGAGTTCAGGAGCAACTGCTTCCACGCCTCCGGGACGCCGGTGAAGTTACCACTGGCTGGGTCGAAACCCACGTGGATATTATGAGTGAAGTTTGTAGGATTAGAAACGCCCAGCGAGACGGACAGAGAGCCCAGGCCGGAGCCGATGGTGATCAACGGGCACTTGGTAGCGAACGAGTCGAGCCAGTCTAAGTGGTCGTTGTTGTTTTTGATGGAGATCAAAAGCGACTTGGCGTTGTTCTTGGGCACAATCTCAATCACGGGCGGCGTCAGCTTGGAGCTCAGGCTCGGTTTCAAGTTGATGGCGCCAATCAAGTTGAGCGGGAACAGCATGTCCAAGTCCTTGGGCTGGCTCATGTCGGCGGAAGGTTCCAGCTTGTAGAAATTGAGCGTTCTGTCGCTGATGACCATGAAACGCTTGTTCCAGCGGAACGACGTGAAACCGTCCTCCTTTAGCTGGACCCAGCCAGCCTGGCGGCGATTCGAGAGGTTCCAGTTCTTCTGTGGGGCGGAGACGGCTCCTGGGGGAGGAGGGGCACGCCGATGGTTCTTGAGGTCTGAGGTGTAGATCGACATCATTGGAGGTGTCGTTGGGGGTCTAATGCGTTGGTCGTGTTGAACAGGCGATCAATGGGTGATAAGGGAGCTAGACAATGAGTCGTAGCGAAAAAGGGGTTGGAGCGTCTAGACTGATCAAAACAAGGCAGGTGCTGTGGATAGCGTGGTCCGTTTTGGAGAACTGACGTGTTGTTTCAGTGTATTGTCTGTTGGAGATGGACTGAAGCAACAAAAGTTGTCTAAACAGCAGGTCTAAACAGCAAATGTGAATGTGGTCCTTTCAGCAACGCTGGATTGTCCAGATTCGACGGTCTGTCCTGGTGGATCAAACTATCAAACAAGAATCAAACAAGAAACGTATGGGGGAGGATGGAGCTTTTGGGTGAAAAACCAAAATACAGCGTCCAAAATGCAAAAAACGTGTTTCTTCAGTCGGCAGGTTTATCCAAATGCCGCCGTGTGTCGATCGAAAAAACGTGGAACTCGTGGACCGGTTTTTTAAACGAATATGCTGGAGGTGGTGAGTTGAGAATTTAAAATGGTTTCGACCGCGTCGCGGCCCTAAAAGAGGAATAAGGGAGATTGACGAGCACCGGGTAGCCCAAAATGGCGTTTTTCGGGCCGGGAAAAAAAAGCACCCCCGAAAGTGGGCACGGAGATTACGATTATTGTATTGGAATCTCGACTTTCTCGCTGCTTCCTGGTTTTTCACCGGGTGCTTCGTTTTGCAGCCATTCGTGCACATTCTCGGCGCAGTGCCTGAACGTGGGGGACGAGCATGGCAGATCGGTTTTCCAGGGGTGGGACGAAAAGTATATAAGGGGACGGATTCGCTGGTTTTTTTCTACAGATTTTTTAACTTCTTCTTCTTCTTCTGGTTTCGTGGAGGCGGTCGCCTGCTTTCCGCTCGGTTCTGGCGCCAAACGGGTCCTGGCCACACAGACGTGAAGGAGGCTTTCGAAGGCTTTTCTAGCCTCAGCCGGCGATTGCTTCAGGGAGGTTTCTGGTCTGACGCGTTGATCTGCTGGATTGTGGCGATGCTGAGGTTAGGAGGAGCGGGGTCTGTGGATAGAGAATGGGATAGGGGTGGAGGGAAGTAGAGGGTGAAGGGAGGTGAGAGGCAGAGTCGTCGTTTAGGGATTATAAAAGCTGCTCGACTGTGGCGATGGGGAAGGGTGGGGGTAATTTTGGCAGTCAAGGGTCTGCTGTTTGTGGCTTAGGGGTGAAATTGTTGGAGGATTGTAGAAAACAACAGGCCTTCATTGTTCCTGCTGGAGGCACTTAGACGAGGAGTTTGTAGGTATACGAGGCGTCGGTGGGGGGTGGAGTGTTGAAGGGGTGTTGAAGAGGAAGAGGAAGTAAGGGGATTCAGCTTTGTAGGCTTTTCAATGGCCTTTGTTGGTTCATTGGATGAGATGTTTGAAGATGGTGAAATTTTCAGAGTTGATGAAGGGCACCTTTGTTGTAGTCTGCTTCTCGTTTCTCTTCAATTCGCTCAAGTTCTGAATTATTGGGACGGCTGTTCTAAAATGAGAATAAGGCGGCCTCCAAATGGTGAATTAATAGTGGAGGTTTCGATTGCATTGACCACCCAAATGGAAGACCGCTTCGAGACTCATTGTCCAATAAAGCAGGAAATATCGAACGAACTTCAGTTGACAATAAGAATATTTTACTTGACAATCAAAACGATAGAAAATCACAATTGAGCTTTTTTGTGGTATCAAAGGAAAGGCTATCATCAGGATCACCAGGATCATCAGTCTTCAGTTCATGAAGAGTACTATCATGCTTGAATTCACTACAAAGAGCTAAAAAGCTTACAGTAGCACTACCATCAGTTTTGTTGAAGATTTAAAAAACTGGTGATCAATTCATCGTTTTTCAAGGTCGGATCATCAATTGTTGGACGTCAGAGCCTAGATCTGCACCCTATCACAGGTGGCTGCAAATTAGTCATCACAAGAAGAAACGTACAATTCGAGAAATAGTGATTCTTCTATGGCATGGATCTGAAGAATAAATGTTTAATTAGAGAATGTAAAAGATGGCATGGCTGGTTAGTGTGGGTTCGATGAACTTGAGGAGGATATGGTGTAATACCTTTGCTGAGTATATATGTTCCACCTCCAATTGCCTTACTTCAATAGCTCTTGACGTCTATGGTAATTCACTAGGACTCCATGGAAAGCATTCACCTCCAAATAAAAAAAGCAAAACAAAACAAAGAAAAAAAAAAAGCACAATTGGTCGGTCATAGGTCGACAGAGATGATGGTCAACCAGCCACTAGACTTCACTAAATCTCACACACTGAACTGTCTTGATTCAACGGTCAGAAGCTAGAAAACTAGATTCAAGGCCCCACTGGATTTCTAAGCAAATTTCGTCGAATGGCCCCGTCTCGGCCCAATCTCCAACTTTCACCTCTCCATCTCTCTACACCACTTCCGTTCCAACCTTCAACGGCACCTTCAACGGCATGCCACCCTTCTAAAAACTCAATCCTGACTAATTGCATCGCATTACATCGATTGCATGAACGAAAAACGGCCTCGTCTAAAGTCTAACCCAAAACTCGCCTCATGTCCAAAACCTTCTTTGACGCACCCTCCTGTCAAGCACCATTACACAATGTCCCGAAGCATTCAATTCCGGGATTCCAGGCAAACTCAATTGGAAAAAAGACTCAACCAAAAACCCTCAAATATCCAAAATCACTCAATTAAGGTTAATTCTACCTCACCCTCTCATTCACCCAACCTGTCAATCCGCACTGGGTGCAAAATGCTGCACAACACTCGTATATCCACGTCTTCTCCTATAAACTTTCCACTACCCGAAAATAGCAATCCTTCGAATTTGCAGAAGTCTCCAATTTTCCAATCCACCTTGGCTTCCCCAAAATCGCCCCCCTCCAAAGTCACCTACCCACGGTCCCGCATCGCCAAATTTCGCATCATCAACTCCACCTTTTCCACCAACCATGGGCCTTTTCTCCCGGAAAGACCGGCCCCGGCTGCCCAAACCGCCATCGGGCGCCTCCCACACGCCGCAAAAGGAAAAATCCCACTCGGCATCGCCAAATCCCGAAAATAAGCCCGCCTCCTCCTTGGTTCCTCCAAAACCAAGCCTACCCAGACAAATCAGCACAGAACACGCCAACAACTTCGCCGAGGACGAAGAGGACGACGAGTCGGACGACCTGGACTACGAGCCCCACATGCACACGTTCCTCCCGCGTGACAGGCCGTCGGTGTCTCAGTTATCGACTTTGATGGGGTACTGTGGAATCGGGCTGGATCTGAAGGAAGGGCTCCAAAAGGCCGCCAACGAGGAGCTGAAACGGACGTTTTCGTTGCTCGACGAAAGCTTCAAAATCACGCGTTTGCTGCCGACCATGAGCCGCAAGGATAAGCTTCTCGAGGCGTCCATTATCGATGAGGCCCAGGTTGCGCTTATCAACAGACTCAAGGAGGAGCTCAACGCCGTGATCGACATCAAGGGCAAACTCCCGGAGCAGTATTTGCTTCTAAAGGACCACAAAACGCTCCATCAGCGATATGGTGCTGTCAAAGACGTTGTAGGTCGTGGAGCCTACGGTGTTATCAAGCTCATAGATTCTGGTGAAGAGGACCGGGTATATGCCGTCAAGGAGCTACAGAAACGCAACCAGGATAACAAAACAGAGCCCACGGATAAGTTCATTGACCGGGTCATTTCCGAATTCATCTTGTCGTCAGCCCTAAACAACAAGAACATCGTCAGAACCGTCGATCTCATGGTCACACTCCCACCAATCGACAGCACCGGCGCCTCGCTCAAAGTCAACCAGGTGATGGTGGCGCTGAACGGCGGCACCCTTTTTGCATACCTCAAGAAATGTGTCTCCAACAAGCACTACGTTTCCATCGACGACATCGATTGCATGATCAAGCAGATCGCCAGGGGCCTCTGGTACATGCACCAGCACGGCGTGGCCCACTGTGACTTGAAGTTGGAGAATATCTTGATCGACTACGACGAGGAGCTGATCCAGCCGGGGCGAAACGGCAAGATGGCTCGGATGAACCTCAAAATCTCCGATTTCGGCAAATCCAGCGTTTTCAGAACAAAGTGGGATCTGACGGAGCAGTTCTGGCCTGCGTCCAACGGGCCCATTGGCTCCGAACCGTATATGGCGCCGGAAGAACATGGGAAATTGTGCAAAAGCTGGTCTTTGGCTAAGAAGGATAGCTGGGCTTTGGGTGTGTTGATCTTGGTCTTGTACAATGTGAGACGCCACTATTTCTGTGGAGCTTCTGACAATTTTGTGGTGACGACTTACTACGATAAAGCGTCCAAGGAAGAAGATTCCAGAGCATACGGCAGCACGTACTTGTGGAAACGGACCGATTTGAAGCCGCTTTCTCATAAAAAATACAGAGATTCGGTTTTCGGCGAATACGTTAACAATGCCATGGTGGCAGACTACAACAGCAAAACACAAGAATGGAACATCAAGAAAGAAGGCAGTTTCATTCCTATAGAGACGCTTTTTGACAAAGGCAGCGATAACGAGTCGGACGAAGACGACAGTGACGAAGAAGGTTTCGAAGAGTCCGACTACGAAATACGGCGTCTCTTCATTTACAAGTTGCTCGACATGGATCCGTCTACAAGATTAACCGTGGACGACCTCTTGAGCGGCGCCTGGATCAACGACGTTGAAAGCTGTGCTTGATATGTATGAACATGATTAGGTAAGAGTACAATACGGACCTTCGCCCGGGGCGACAAACACCAAAGGCAAAAGCCACATGCAACGGGAACTGAAGATTAACGTGAATGAAGTGAAATGACGGCCACGCCATCATGCAATGCAAGAGAGTAGGATTCGATTTACCAACCTTTAAAAGTCAGCGAAAAGCTCCCCATACGGATCGTCGACGCCCGTGATACCGTAATCGAGTTCCTTGTCCTCGGGATAACGGTCGAACTGCGATGTGTCGCCCACACCGGACGTGATGGGCGGCTCGTACGGCGTCTCAATGTCTCTCGAAAGTAGACGCTCCCAAATGACCTCCTTGAACCACGGGTGGTTCTTCACATCGTCACTGCCGTTCTGAAGATTACCTAGTCTCTGCGTCAAGTCCTTCACAATGAGTTTCTGGAGCAAGTCGAGGATGTCGGGCGGTAAGTAGTCTGGGTACGTGATGGTACCGTTCAAGATGTTCTCGTACGTTTTCATGGGCGTGGGGTCGTAGAACGGCGTGTAGCCCGTGAGCATCTCAAAAATAAGAATGCCAAAGGACCACCAGTCCACGGATTTGTTATACGGCTTGGTTGCCACCACTTCCGGCGCAATGTAGTCCGGCGTACCGCACAAGGTGTATGTCACGTCGGTGACCTCTTTGGCAAAGCCGAAATCGGTAAGCTTGATGTGCCCGTTTTTGTCCAAGAGAATGTTCTCTGGCTTCAAGTCTCTGTAGATGATATCAAGGTTGTGGAGGTACTCGATGGCGAGAAACACTTCGGCAGCGTAAAACTTAGCCACGGGTGTAGGAAACCGCTGAGACTTACGCAACAAGGAGAAAAGCTCACCGCCTTCGATGTAGTCCATAATCATAAACAAGTTGTGGCAGTCCTGGAACGTGCCCCACATGCGGATGATGAACGGATGCTGCGCGAGCTTCAACATTCTCCTCTCATCGTTGGTGTGTTCCACCTGTTTCATGTTGATGACCCTCTCCTTCTTCAATGTCTTCATGGCGTAGAACCGGCCGTTGTGGACCGACCGTGACAAGTGCACACGGCCAAACGAGCCCGTGCCCAACGTCCGAAGAATCTGGAAATCGTTCAACAGGTACTTGCCCTTTGTGGTGACATCGCGATGCTTATTCTTGCTGGATTTCTGCGCCGGCTGGTTCTGGTTCAGGGCGGCTCCTCCGGCGGCTGCGGCGGCGGCCGTGTCGTGGTTCAGCGCCTCTGAGTTCGGACCCACCGGGGTGTTGTTTTGCTGACCAGCCTGTTGGGTCTCGTGATAGTCCATGTGGGAAAGGCGGGGGGTTGGATAGAAAATTAAGCGGGTTGCGGGATCAGCGGGAACACGAGCCGAAAAAGGTAAAAAATGATAGCGCTGGAATGTATTTCCTGGCGGGCCTGGCGGGTAGTCGTGGAAAAGCTCCCAGTTATCACTTTTAGATTTCTCACTTTCGCTCTTTCTCACTTCCTGTAAGCAGTATCCCAGATGTCAAAACGGTGGGCGCAGAGACAGGAATAGTGTGAAAGCCGCAAGGGAGCGAGGTGGGAAGTTGGGTTTTAAACAGCACAAAGAAGGCGTGGGGTTTGGCCAATCAGATCGTGCCGTTTGGGCCCTGGTTCGGGCCAGCACGTGATTCCCACGCTTCTCTCCCTCTTTTCTTTTCTTGTGTAAGCCGACTCAGTTTCATCTCCCCTCCTGTGATTACGCTGCCGCTATAGCGTTTGCTTTAAAATGCCTCATGCCGTCGGCTTTTTTTCGCAACTATGCTTTTTTCTCTTCCCTTTTCGTCCTCGGCTCTCTGCACTACCTACAACTGGCTGCAAACAGGTAGCCTGAGGAAAAAAAAAAAAAAAAAATATGGCCTTTGTCGCCAAGATCCCGCCGCAACACACCGCTCCGTATCTGTCTGGCCTGCTTCCCCTGTGCATGAAAATCGTCATTTAACCTTGTCTCACCTCACCCAGTACTCGTCTATATCCACCACATCGTCCATGTCAGACTGCTCCGGGTTCGTATCTGACGCATCGTCCTCTTCGTCTTGCCTGTTTTCTCCAGAACTCTCTGCAACGTCATCGGCGGAATCGTAACCGAATCCTTCCCCGCCTCGATTGACGTCTCTACGGATTCTCGTCCCATCTCGGCTGCTTATGATGTTGCTCATACGCCTGAGGGGATGGCGCTCTTCACTGTGCGCTGGTCCGCCTGCTTGAGGTTCGTTGCCTGATGCATGGCCCGAAACCAATCCGGTAATTTGGGAAAGCGCTGTCTTGGACTTTTCGTACAAGTTGTTGGCGTTCAAGAGGTCAAACCGCTCAATGCGTGAACCTCCACGGCCTTTGAACTTGGGCTTCGACATGTCCAAGATAATGTGCTGCAAAATATGGCTGAATCCGTAGCGATGTAACAACTTGGCCTTGTCTTCTGCACTCATCTCTGTGTCGTCTTCTTCGGGCTGCGTCGCATCATTATCGTCTTCCTCGTCGTCTTCGCTTTCCTCAATCACGATATTGGAAGAGCTGAACAATTGCCTCTCTTCACTGTGGGGATCGCTATGCGTTCTGTGGCCAACAGTATCCATAAGAGAGAAACTCACCTTGTCTGGAACTTGGTAGCCGAAGGCATCGTCCTTCCATGTCAAATTGATGAGAATCCATGTAATGGAGAGCTTCACCTCAATGAGCTGATTGGCCAATTTCACTCTCTCATTGAGATTGTGTCCGCAAAGCTTGAGCTCTAGCTTCTCGGTGAGTCTAGCTTTCAAGATGCGTTTCCAAATCTCGAGAATGGACTTCGATGGGAAATCCAGCTTCTTGAAGATTCTCATGTTCGTGTAGCGATGGTCTTCCACAAAGTTAACACCCACTAGAAGCCTCACGTACTCTGTATTCTTAATCAACCCAAAGAAGAACTCGTCGGAATTGAAAAATTCCTCTTCATCATGGACCTTTCCATCGTCGGTGAACAAGTTGAAGCTGAGGAGGTTCTTCAAAAGGTAGTCATGCCATGTAGCGGGAGAAGAGTGATTTCCATCCTGGCTCTCTTCCTTAACGTATTCAAGGTACGACTCACTAAGGGCTTCACTGAAGAACGACGATGCGGCCGTGAGGTTTCTCATGATCTCAAATGCGAGTATCTTGTGCTGAACAAGCAATCCATGAAGCTCAGCATCCTCCTCCACATTACCAGAGAGACCGTAGAGCGACTTTTCAAAGATCAACGTCAACAGGATAAAGTCCCACAAAATCTTGCTGTTCTCTTCATTCTCATTGTACAAGTAACTCTTCACCACCTGTAATACAGTGAGTTGCTCGCGGAGATTCTCGTAGGTGATCTCCTTCTCCTCCTCTTCAGTATACTTGATATCATCGTCGCTGAGCGATTCGGTCTGGAAAACCTTGGACAAATCCAGCAAGAACGAGTCGTGGTTGACAATCTCGTACCGGAAAGAGCTGAAGTCGAGAATGAAGTTAGCAATCGACGCAAGAAGAATGACCCTCTTCACACAAAGCGTCTTTCTTGGTGGAGCGTATTGAAGCGTCAAGTCTGGCTTGGCCTTGACGAAGTATTGCATTGCATACTTGACGTGGTCAAGCAGGCCGAGGATCTCTAAAAGACTAGAAACAAAACTGCCGCGTCTCTTGAACGAAGCTTCCTTGTTGTATCTAACCTTTACAATATCGATAATGTCCTCGTGAGCGTTGGCCTCATTGGGGTTCAATACGGTATCATCGTCAACATCAAAGACACTCTTGATGGAATTGCAGTCCACGAAAAAAGTCCGCAAGGTGGGGATAGATCTCGAAAGGGATCTCACCAAGTAGATTGTTTGGGTGAAGATAGGGTGCTCAATCAACGTGTAGATAATGCCAAGGTTCTTACCAAACCAAGTGAGAACTTTCGTTTGATCCAGCTTGGAAGAGTCTTGAAGAATCTTGCCCAAGACATCGTAACCCAAGAGCATTTGCAGGATCAAAAAGCGGTAATCATCTATGAGCTCAAAAATCGTGAGACACAAGAAGTTGGGCGACAGGGCCTTTGTGGCCTTCAGTTCCAGGAATTTCGTAACTCTACGACGGTAGTCATCGTTGGAGCTTGTGTAGACGCTCAAAAGCTGGAGATAATCTGAAATTTGCTCCAAGTTGGTCAGATGAAGAGCAGTCTCGCCACGGTTGTCAGAGCCCAAACGGTGTTTTGTGAGGGTTGTGAAATCCGTAAGTTTCTTGCCTTCCTTGGCAGCCACTTTTAGCTTGAAAAGCGTTGCAAAAATCGGCGTACGTCTTATGAGAGACTGGAGGTCTTTCATGATCTTTATGTCGACATTGGTGTTGTGCAAGTGCAACGACATACGGGGGTACTTGAGGCATAACCCAGAAAGCACGGAAACCGGAAGACTAAGGAATGGCGGAACAGAGTCCTTTTGTGAGAGATCAGCGTCCAAAAGCTCAATGATGCGGGGAAAGAGCTTCTCGTAGGTCTTGAAGATGATCTCTTCAGAAGCCGAGCCCAGATCCTCAAGCGCTGAAAGATAGAAATGGATCAAATTGAGCGTTGCAACGTTGAGCAAATGGCAACCGTCGCATTTGAGCAAAAGTACCATGCATAAAAACACCTCCTTCGATGTGAAGAAGGCCAGGTCAAGCGGGAGCGCTCTGTTTCTCTCCTTGGTGTGATTGAGCAATTGGGCAGCTGCAACAACTAGCGAGGTGATGAAGTCCACCTCGAAAATATCCCGTAGAAGTCTCTTGTCGCCTATGATGTTGGGCGACACCTTTTCTAGAAAGTGTCCTTGACTGGGCAAACCATCCACGTAGTGATTGTGCAATTGAGCAAATTCTCTGTGGAGCCTGAGCAAACAGAGTCTGAGCAAGGGGCCGCCGAAAGTCTCGGAAAGACGCTTAGAAGCTCCCTTAAGCAAGAACGGGAGCAGGTTCAAGCTCGAAATCACGGCTCGTTGGAGTGTCAGAGCAGAATTGGGCGATTTGGTGTCGTCACATATAAGCAACGCCGTGGTCAATTTGTACAAGCTTTCGTAGCTGGATTCGGTGAGTGCCACGCTGCCTGAGCTGGCAAAAACAAGCATGATCCAGAGACTATCACAGAGCACTTTCTGGAGGTCGATTCTGGCATCGGCAGTTTCCGGGCCGATTGGGGCCAGGGTGTCGCCCAAAGCCGGGAGAAACGTCTGGATGACCCATTCAAAGAAATCCGTGATCAATGGCACCGATTCAGCCAAGCACAGCGCATCCACCGCAACCTTTTCGTCCAGATTCTGGAGGTCAGCGACAAAACACGCTAGAATACGCAAAATGACGACTTTGTCGTGGAGATGGCGTGTTTTGGACACGTCAGGGAGCAGCTGTTCTCTTTGCACGGCCTCCAAGTCCTTGTACAACTCCTGAAGAAGCCAAGCGACAAAGTGTGGTTCTTGAAGAACCTTGATCTTTAGGTCTCGATTTCCAATTAGCTGAAGCCTAAGGTCGGCCATGGTGTCCGGAAGTCCCGAGGCGCCGTTCGGGCGGCCGTTCAAATGTGCATATGTGTCCAAAGGCATGTTTTGAAGAAGTGGTTGTTGAAGTGTGGGGACTGAGTACCGAGATCGCAGATAAGGTGAGGTTGAGTGCGGTAGCAAAGAATGGGGGCGAATTGGGGGCGGGGCAGAAATGGGGGATAATTGGGGGATGGGTGGTTCCAAACGTGGGGGATTCGACACTGGGGTTGCTTTTTTCGTGGGGTGTCGTTGGAGGTCTCTTCGAATTGCTGCAAAATGGGTGTCGCAGGTGATGTCTTACGAGGAGGGGCAGGTCTGGCAGGGTGGGGGAGCAAAGGAAGGAAGAAAGGTTTTGGTTTTGGGGGAGTTGAAAAAGATGGGATTTTGCCTTTTTATATAGTTTTTGGTTTTGGTGATGGTACGGTGGCAAGTGGAGGTGCTGCGATTCTGAGACATGGAAGTGAGGTGAGTCAGAGCGGTGGCAAGGGTGGAGGATATAGAGGTTTTGGGGCGTTTGGAGAGTTTTTTTTTTTTTGATGGAAGGGATTTTGAAGAAATAGAAATTGTGGAATTAGAAATGGGCTTCGGGTGTGGAAGAAGACAATGTGGGATATTCGCTGGTTGGTAGATTTTCAGATATCGTCAGATCTGCTTAAATCCAAGAGGCTATTTGGACAGCTGTAAAGGAATTGATCCAGTTGGCTGTAGAGTATGAGTCTGTTAACGACTATAGATTTGATTCGATTCCTGATTTTATCGGTATCATCCTTTGGATATAGGGAATCCTCCAGAAGGACAACAGTTCGAAGGATGGGCTTGGAAACTCTAGTTTCACATTGATACTTATGTCCCTTTTGGACTTCTTTTTGAGTTTTAGTTCTTATAACTATCCAGGACATGCAATTGGACTCTTTGCAGATGCCAAAAACTTTTAAATTATCAGTCTTCACCTTCATTCAAACCACATCTTCTGAAACCATTCAATATCACACCACCACTTTAAACTACGAACTCACTTCAGAAGTTCCTCAATACCAATGGCAAGATCAACTCATCCCCCACGCTACAATTCCTCAAATAGTCCCGTCTATTCAACCATACTAGATCTTTCCACGCCAGAACTTCTGGCTCTCGGCAGCAGGCTTACCGGCCTTGATGTCCTCACTCACATGCGTGTCGGCATTCACACGCTTGGGAATGTAATCCAACACCTTATCGAGGTCAATGTCCGCCTCGGGACCCTCCGTGTGTCCAATGGGGATTCTCACCACACCGTTCTGGTCAGCAACCACAATGTCGTTGGGCAAAACACGAATCGTCTCTTCGCCATCCACACTAGCCACCTTCACCGAAACAGGCACGTTGATGCCCACCACCTTCACCACAGGCTGGCCAGCAGTAGTGCCTACGCCGTAACTCCACACCGGGTAGTTGAGGTCGTTGTGCTCCGCCAAGTCCCGGATCCGGCCGAGAATGACCGACCCGGCGGCCTCCCTGTAATTGGCTCTCGTCAGCATCAAGCCGCCGTACAACGCGTTGTTTACCTTGACGTAAGGAGCTCCTGTTTGTTGGAGTTCCTCAGTGACCGCCATCACAAGCATGCTGTTTTTGGGGATTTCGTCAATGTAGCTCTGTTTCACCGCGGAACGAGGATCCAGTTTTGGAGCGTAAAGCACAGTATACGCTAGTCCCACCGCAGAAGAGGCACCTGAGTTTGGGGTGTTCCCAATAGGGCTTCTCTGGACGAGGTTGGGGATGAAACCGCCATTTTTCAAGCCGTAGTTGGCCAATGCGTCGGAAATGTCGCACGGGGTGTACTTGGCGAGGGTGTTTCTGACCGACATTCTTCAGGGGTTGAGTTTCAATAAAGAGTGGGTAGTTGAAGGTTGGTGATAATCGCGGAATCTGGGGTACCCGGTTTCGGACCCGGAGGTGCACATGAAAAGGGGTGGGCTAAAGAGGTTTAGGGTCAATGGGGGAGGAGCAGTATTAATTTTGTTGGAATGTTTCAAATTTTTAAAAATCGAGGTATTGTTGGTGGTTTTTGAAGGACCGTTTTGTGGGGTTGTGGAGGAGTCTGGGGTACAGTGGCTGCGAAAGAGTCAGATTGGGGGAGGGTCAAGCTGGAGAGTGATATCGGGTTCCAAAAAACAGGCACTTTCTTGAATTTTAGAGTTTTGTTGATCGTTGGAGGACGGTAATATTGTATTTGGAAAGTTCAGGCAGGCTTTCTATTGTGGCAGTTATGGATGATCTGGTCCACTGACCTCAGTAAGGTAGTCAATGTAATTGTTGAAAGAAGCCTAAAAAAAAGGGGTGAAGAAGATACAGTCATGTTTTCATGAATATAGATGGAAAATTAAGACCGGCTTATTAAACACTGAACTTGCGGATCCTTGGAGTAGCTGCATCGATACTTCATTCGAAATGCACTACATCAATTGATTATGGATGCTACTAAAACCGCCCTGAAAACCTTCGAACTCATATTTGTACCCCCTCCATTGAATTAAAAACGTATATGAATAGCTACTCTACCTCCCCCATGATTCTTTTCTCACCAACGCTGTTTGTACCTTTGCGAAACAACCAGCTACTACTTCTTCACCTCTATCATGTCTATGCTTTCTCGTATCCACCAAAGCTTCCATAGCACCCGATACCCTCGTTTCTGTCCCCTCCCGCAAAGACCAATAGGAGAGGAAATATCAATTTCTGAATACAAGTTCGAGAGTGAGCCATTGATGCAAGAATCTCCCATGGACGTCCAGGATCTTCTCGATGTCAAGGGAATTGAAGATCTTAAATTGAAGGCACTAGTGGAAGAGCACCATCTCCGAACTCGTATCAAGAAACGGTTCAAGCGGGTGGCTGCTTACCTCTTTAAGAAAGAGACGCCCATGCTTCTTTCCAAAAAGGTGCTTTGTGAAGAAGGAGTACCGTCTTTTTACAAAGCAGCCAAGAAGGAAAATCGCAAGCCAAAAGTCTTTCGTCGTTATGTGGACCCTCTAGAATACGAGTTGCCGAAGTACAAGTGTCTCAAGCAACAGATGGAAAGTCGACTTCCGTACGATTATCCTGATGCTTTTGAGAATTATTCAGATGGTTCTAGTATCGAGTTTGAGGATGACGGTGAGTCTTTTGGCTCCTTTGTGGGGTCCCAAAACCAGGAGAACCAGGACGAAGGATGTGAGGCTGGTGAAGTTTTGAATATATCTTCATTAGGTTATCAAAGCCTTGGACAAAAACATAATGATTTTTCACTGATGCCCGATTTTTCCCTTGAAAATAAGACAATTGGCTTCTGCAAAACTAAGACCTTGCCTAGTGAAGTAGGCAATTTGAGGACCTACTATTCCACCAATGCATCACTTCCAGGAAGCCAAAACATGGAGTACCACCCCTTCAAGACCACCGGAGGCACACTAGGACTGAGAATCCAGAACGCACTCGAAAAGCTTCAACAAAGTACCCAGGAGAATATCGTTGCTTCTGAAAGTGGTGATCTTGGTAAGACAAGAGACGAGAGGATCGTGTTTCATCTGTCACGGCAGCTAGGGCTCCGGAGGTGCAAGACTAGTGGTAATTAGAAATTATCATCAAAGAGGGAATGTAGTTCCTGCCTTAGAAACGCACATATAATCAGAATACCTCTCCAACCTAGGGAAGCCTACACCCACTCAATAAATACATGCATCGAACGGATCCGTCGATACGAAGCACCCAAAGGTCAATCTCCCCAGGCCACTCCGTCCTATGTACAATCACTCGAGACGCTTCCGCAACTCCTTCAAACGCTCCTTTCCAACATCCCCATCAATGCCGTGCTCCTCGTCGGTCTCGTGCACACGCACACGGTCCTTCTCCGTTCGAGGCCCCACCTCGTCCTCCTTGGTGTCCTCCTGGAGCGGAACAATGTTCTGAGCCACCTTGAACCGATTGAGGTTCTGGAGAAAGTCAGCGCTCAACTCGTAGTCTTTGAGCACCGTCTCGTTGGTCACGCCTTCGTCGTGGTATGCATTCAAAATCGCCAGAAGCGTCTTGGGGTGGATCATTGTGCGCTGGTGGGTCAGCAGCGAGTCAAGCTGGTCCTTGACTTCTTTCTGGCCCTTCTCGTAGAGAGCTTTTCTGTTGAGAAGCTGCTTCAACGCCCTGACATCGAGCTGCTGATTGGGCTGTTTCACGTCTTCGCTCTGGATCTGGCGCCCTAGCTTGCTGATGGAATCTATAAACGCCTGGTCAGCCGTGGGGTCCATTCCATCCTTGCCTGGGGGATTATTGCCAGCAGGACTCTGGAATCTGTGTTGCTGAGGGGCCACTTGTTGATTTTTGTTTTGAGATTCTTCATTTTGCTTTTGGTCATTCGATTTAGGCGCTTCTTGGGCCTCAGCTTGAGCTGCTGCTGACTTCTCGAATTGCTCCTTGAGTGCCTGAGGGGGAAGATGGGCCCTGGAGCTCCGCGTGATCTTGTCTGTGTTGACGATGTTTTTGGTGAGCTTTCTAGCAGGTTTTGATGCTGAGCCGCCCATGTTTGAGGAGAAATGCTGGTGCTTTAGTAATGTAGAATGAGGTAGTATATGATTTGATGCTCATCTGCGCGCTGATCTGGGGAAGCTGCTGGGGGTGATTTAAGGTTTAGAGGGTTTTATAGAAATTGAGGCAGATTGAAAAAATAGGAGTATTTGTATATTTTTCAAAAATTTGGATATGTAAGTGCCATTTACGTATGAGAAGCGGACGAACGTTGACACTTATCCTGACTTGACCTAGTGCAATATCAATACCACTCATACCTCTAATTAAATAAAGCTTGAAATTTAATAAAGCTTGAATTGAGTAAGAGTCTCACTCTCGTTTCGCTGGAATTCAACTAATTGCCATCACTTCCTCCTTTATAGTTCACCTTCCCCAACCGTCCTACATCGGGTCTCTTCTAATGTGTATTATTGTACAATGCAAATGCAGTGGCCGGCAGCGCCTATTCCTGAGCCTTCTTCTTCTTCTCTTTCTTGTCCTTCTTGTCCTTCTTCTCCTTCTTGTCTTTCTTCTCCTTCTTCTCCTTCTTGTCCTTCTTATCCTCCTTCTTCTCTTCCTTCTTCTCTGCAACCCTGGCCTTCTTGATCACACGGCCGTCTTCATCTAGCCTCAGCTCGGCAATGGGCTGGGCCTCCTCGAAGTCCTTGGCTCCGTAGCCCGTAGCAAAGTGCCTCATCTTCAAACCCTCAGCTTTCTCCACATCCACACGTGGCACGGTGACGGCCTCAAAATCGATCTTGGGAATGTCAACAACCTCTCTTATCGTGTAGTATCTGTCAATGTGCTTGCCTCTCAACTCCTTGTTGACGATAGCGTATTTGGCATTGTCGGATGAAAAGTGCTCCTCGTTCACCTGGTACTTTGTCTTGTCCACCAGCACGGGCTTCACACCGTCGTTTTTGACTTTTCTAGACGTGAACGAAACAGGCAACGTCTTCAATTTATCAAGAGGGAACCCTTTGGGCGTCTTGAGAAGCCAGATTTCCTTGTCGCCTAGCGAGTCTGGCGCTTTGAGGGGCACTTTTTTGAATCCCTTGGGCGCCTCAAAGGCCACATCCTCGTAGTCACTCCCACTTTCGGAGTCGTACACTCTTTCGTCTGACTTGTGGGAAGGTGCCATTGAGAAGAGTTGAAGACGATGGAGATGCTCATCAGAGAATTTTTGAGCAGAGGGCTACATGCAGGCCAGATCGATAGGGCCCCCAAGTGGGAGGTGGAGTTGTGATAAGATGGGGGAAAATAGATTGTCAATTTTTTTCATTGAAACTATGGATTGGAGTTATCTGTGTAGCTTGGGTTGATTTTGAAATTTAGGTGTGGGGGCTTCGAAGACATCGCACTTGGTGTAACAGTTTGGTGGTGTGGTCTGGATATGTACTGTGACTTAGGTAAATGGTTGATTGAGTGAAAGAGGGGGCTGGAACTCATAATTTGAATATTCGTTTCATATTCTGTGCTACAACTTAGTCTGGGATTGGTCTGGCGTTGTTGCAATGATACCTCTAATGTCTCCTGTTGGACGAAGTTCTTTAGACCGTAGATTATCTAGATTCCGAAATATTATTAATTGGGCCTGAAATAAAACCGATTCCCCTAAAATCAATTGATAAGTGGCTTGAAATCTCAATTCGTACCACAACGTTTTCAGAGAATGCAGAGTTAAGTTGATATCTGGGCTGCTGATGTCTAAACCGCCATTTTGCAACATTCCAGCTGAAAATTTTTAAGATGACCTGATAAAATTCGTTTCCCTCAAAACCACAAACGTAGTTCCCCTATCATCAACATCTCCTTGCGTATCGCTTGTGCTCGGTTATGTAGGGTCTGTTATCATGCGTATGCGACCAAGTGTTTCTGAAAGACTACCAAAAAATTGACATCCCATCTTCATTCAGAACCTTCTTCGTCTCTCCAAAACACTCGTCTACAACTTGCCTCCTCTGAAACCTACCTCATTTAGCGCCTCTGCTCCACCTTCCTCATTATCACCAATCCTGTCATCACCTACTCAATACCACCTTCCCTTTTCAAATACCAAAAAATGACTCGCCCACAGCATTATAAATACCCACTCTCCACGCCATTCCACCCATTCCCATCCACCACAGTCTTCCCAATATGTCCCCACCTTGCGATATCCTAGTCAGCTTTCCAGATACCTCTGGTCCTCACTGCACCAGTGTGCCATTAAATGTCAGAGTCCACCTCGTCATCCACAGAGAAGTCATACTCGAACGTTTCCATTTGACTTTATACGGCACCTCCAGACTCGTATGTGGACAAAGCAAGAAAACCACCGAACAGGAACTCACCAAAACCACATACGATGTGCTTGAAGGTGATCCAGTCATTTTTGAAAGCGGAACCCTCAAATACGACGTTCAGTTTATTTTCCCGGAAAACAAGCTGCTTGTTCCTAGCCAGCACGTTCTTCTTCCAGACGGGTCGCTTTCACAGTTCAGCTACTTTGTCAAGGCTGAATGTACCACACTGAAGGGTCTAGAGCTCAAGGCCATCAAGACACTTGAACTCAAGCCGTCTCTTCAGGGACTTCGTTTGTATACGGATTTCGTCACCACGACGGAAATTGAGCCTCATCCGCTTCGACAGCTGGAGATCTTTTCCCGGCGTTTTTTCATTCAAGAGGGCAGAAGCGAGGAGAAGTTTCTAGCCGTGAAGGTGCCGTTCCGGCTAGAATTTGCTTATAAAAGGCGATACCCGGACCAGAATTTCGGCAACACAAATAACGTTTTTTACCAGAACGAGAGGCTAGGCGATTTCGTGGAACTCTACCTTTATACGCCCTTGTCCAATGCGGTTCTTATGAAGCTATGCCATGAAGCATCCTGGTGGAAAAGAAAAACCACCACGCCGCTGTTACGAATTCTGATCAACGGAGTCAGTTTAAGGCAGGTTTTCGTCAAGAACGCCGTCTACAAAGAAGATTGCACTTCCATCACTCCTTTGCTAGAACAGGAAACTCAGATGGCGGTGCGTTTGGATGAATTTGAAGAGGTGAAGAGAAGCCACTCCTGGGACAACGTTCGGCCCGAAGAGTACATCACCGATAAGGAGTACCGCTTCAAGTTTCCTTCCCTGCTTATGCCGTACTCCTTGGCTACCGATGCCCAGTCGTACTTTGATGAGCTTGTGAGTCTGCACTTCTCTCTCAAGCTCCAGATTGGAGTATCGTTTCTTCCTACCCTTCCCGATCAGCTCATTGAGTTGGAGAGCAGAATTCTCTTGTTACCGCAGGATCTGACGAGATTGGAGGAAATAGCACGGGAAAAGACACGGAGAATCTTTGCTTTTGAAAAGAGCGAAAAGCTACCCACCTACCTGTCGTCAGGTAGAGACCAGATGGTGGCTCCATGGAACGAGCTTGCGGAGGCAGTTTGAAATGTATGAAATGTACGAATAAGCAGTCTAGTGTATGGAATGTATCAATTTTGTATACCGATAAACAGTCTAGAAATGTATCAAACGTATCAAACGTATCAATTTATATAGGAATAAGCAGTCTAGAACCGCATGAAATGTATCAAATCGAATAAGCAGTCTAATGTATGAAATATATCGATCTCTATGTACGAATAAGCAGTCTAATGTATGAAATGTATCATTTTGTATTCGAATAAACAGTCTAGAAATGTATGAAATGTATCAATTATTACAATCAGCAGTCTATTATATCAAGTGTATCAATTATTACAATCAGCAGTCTAATATATCAAATGTATCAATTTTTATATACGAATCGTGCGAATTAGGTAGTCGTAAGAAGCAATGAAGTAGCGGTGAAGAAAGTAAATGCGAGCGGCTTCTGCCTCCATCAAAGGCAGCGTGCCTGCTGTAGCCGAGAATCAACTCTGCTTTAGTTTTGGTATGCTCTCCAGCTTAGAAAAAGACAAATCTCTTCTTCTTGCTTGGAATAAGAGGCAACAGCGAGTTACCCAACTTGTTGGTCTCCGGGTTGTAGTTGATGGCATCATCGCTCTGCACAATGAGCTCAATAGAGTAACCTCTGTCCTTGCTTGGACACTCGGTCTGGTTGTTGTTGCCCCAGTAGACGTAGTACTCACCTCTGAAGGAGTTGGCTGGACAGGCCAAAAACTCAGTGGAGTTCTTGTAAGTCAACTTCTGGTGGCTGATGCCGAAACCACTGGTGGCATTGACCGGAGACTCAGTGGTGGAAAGCTGGTAGGTCTCAGGGTTGATGTAGACATTGGTGGTCTTGGGCTCTATCTGAGTAGCGTTAGCGGACTTGTTGGAACCAGGCAAGTTCAAAATGTAGTCATTGTTGGCCTTGATTCTGCCGAAAAAGGCAGCCTCGTCGGTGTTAAGCACAAGGTCATGGCCGTCCCACTTCAACAAGTGGTATTGGAAAACAGCACCTTCATGATGGGCAATGACGGAAAAAACTGGGGAAGATGGCTTATACAAGCGCTTGTTGATGGGGAGCGCCGATACAGCCGAGAGAAGAACACACAAGTATGCAAGGAAGAACTGCATTTTGAAATCAGGAAAAACCGATGAGGAAAGACAACCAGCACGAAAAAGTGGGTCTTTATATATTGTGCCTTTAGAGACCCTGTGGGTGCTGCAAGAGCAGCTTGTCTGCAGGACGCCAGGCACCGAGCGAGCCTTGTGTGAGTGACTTTTAAGCCTGCGCCGCTATTTTTGGTAGCGACATCCTGCGTAGTGACGTGCTAGACGTGTGTGATGGTAATGACCTTGCCTAATTAGGCAATTTGCTCTCTCAGACGTGTCGCTGTCAATCAAAAGCCTTCGCTGGCTTGACTGTGAGGGGCGACTTGCCTGTTCCGGTTTGTTAATAACACTTTTTGGCTAAACTTTAGACAAGCCTCGAAGCGGAGTTCCACCCTTATTGGGCTCCGGAATCTTGTTGGGAATTTACCTTTATCTGCAGTTTGGCCAAGCTGGCTTGGGCTGTGGGCCCTTACACACAAATGCAAAATTTCATCTGCATGTCTTTCACTGCCTGGAGTACGTCCGGTCACGGAGCTCAGCAACTTACTGTGATATGTCGTGAGTCCTGCAGACAAGACGGTCACAGTCGATGGCTGCAGAGCCTCCTCCACGTGACTGTGCTTAGACGACTGCAAAGCCTCAGGAACCAGAAAAGCAAAACGAAAATAAGGGTCAAGGTGAAATTGGCCATTCCACGTCTTAGCAATGTTTCAACGAAATATGCTCCATACGGCGCTAAAAAATTATGAATTGTGCTCGGGTCTGATCTCGCTATTGTTCTCACTTTGACATGTTATGCGAATTCCTGATTTGGACGATTTCCACGATCTGATAAACTTTGTGATTTTGAGACAAAAGTTTACGAGTCTCCGCAGATCAGGGATTTCACAAACATAGATAAGCGTTTTGAGCTGAATTGGGTCTTAATTACAAGGCTTTAGCTTCTGGGTGAAAATTTACCGCAATTGGGTTTTTCGGATATAACTGAAGCCGATTTCATCGGACACATCCGTACACCAGCCACAGTTGCAAGCAGTTTTGCAAGAGCCAACCTACCGAAGCCCATACTATAAGTTAGTTTGTCTACACCAACGTGGCAAGTGAATAACTTAGGTCTCTATTATGAACACATACTTACAACTCGACACCCTTTGGACAGTTCAAAGCAGCCTTCAAAGAACCGTAGATGGTGAACTGCAAAGAGGTCAAGGTACCGACCATGACCAATCTGGTTGGCAAACCGGCGAAAGAACCACGGACACCCAACTGGCCGGCCAACTGGGCCAACAAGCCGACGGTGGACTGGCCTGGAGCCTTCTTGGTCTTGTTGACCTTGGACAACAAGGTGTCAGCTGGCTGAGAAACAATGGCAGCAGCGCAACCGGCGATGATACCAGCAGACAAGTTGATGGAAGTCAAAGCACCAGAAGACAACTCAGATCTTGGCTTGCCAACGGCACCGAAGATGGCCTCAGCGGCTCTCTCGAAAACCAAGAACTTAGCAATGTTGTAAGGAATCTGCTTGAACAAGATTGGGGTGAAACCGTTGTAGAAAGATCCGAGACCCTCCTCCTTCAAGATTCTACCGAAACCACCAACCAAACCGTTGGCGAAGGTTGGCTGAGACACCAATCTGATTCTGGTGGCCTCCAATGGACACAAGGCAATGTCAGCGAAGAACTCGGCCAAAGCAGCAGAACCCATGAAAACGGTGTTCTTGTACTTGGAGGCGGTGTCGTAACCCAACTGCTCAATGAAGGTCTTCTTGAACAACTCGTAACCACCAAACTTGAAAGCACCCTGCAAAGAGTAACCCAAGACGGTAGGGCCCAAACCGGTCAAAAGAGCGCCGGCACCCTCCTTGGAGATAACCTGTCTGAAAGAAGAGATCATACCCTTGTTGTAGACGGTTGGCTCCAATTGGATTCTGGTCTTGACGACATCAATTGGAGTCATGGCACCGTGGGTAAGACCACAGCCCATAGCACCGGCAAGGGCAAAAGATGCATAGTCACCAACGGTGTAGTTTGGGAGCTTGTACTCAGTCTTGGTAGCCATTTTTTATGATAAAAGTGGAAGAAAAGAAAGTTTGCTTCTGAGGAAAAAGAGCTTTCGAAATCTGCGGTACGGAAGCGTCGAGCTTAGATATATCGAGGAGTGGAAAAAAAAAAAAAATTCGCGGTGTGAATGAAGCCTTTTCATTGGCTTGCACACTTGAGGAACGGTGCGTTTCTTTTCCCTCTACACAGTAAAATACCCATGTGCCCGACTCTCGCCGGGACCAAGAAAGACTCTGCAACAAGGGTCGTGTAAGGGCAGTTCCACGGATCAACGTTCCTTTTGGAATTTTTCCGAGGTCGGTGGATCGCCAGCGTCGGCATTACATCGGACCGACCTCACTTAAAACTCCGACAGGCCATTTTCCATAAACTTGACTGCTCGCCCTCGCCCGTTTTGCACCCAAATGTAGATCAATCAGTCTTGGCTGCACCACCTATAAAACTTACCTGTTGGCTGCTCTCCTTTTCATGGTAGGAATTGGAGGTAAAGCACCGTAAGGCAATGGTTTTCTGGCGGGTGGAGCCTCTGGTTTTGAAGGAGCATCTGGTTTTTGAGAAGATGCCGGTGTTTGGGACGAGGCTGGAGTATCGTCTTTGGTCAGGCTCAATGCTTCAGGATCATAGTCGTCGTCATCGTCAATCATCTTGGCGGGCGATGGTTCGGCTGGTTTAGGAGCCTCTGTCTTTGCAGGCTCGGACTTGGTAGGTTCCGGTTTCTTGTAGTTGTCAAAAAGGTACTTCATGAGCTTGAAACGCAATGTCTTACTTTGGAACAATTCATAGGCAGCCTTTTGACGAGCTCCAACATCGGTGCTGTCCGTGCCGGTGCTGTAGTCCTCTCCGGCAATGTTAAGAGTCACCACGTACGGCTCCAGTTCCACGACATTGAAATCGTAGCGAATTTTCTTGGTGGGCTGCTCAAAGTAGTTGTTCACACGGGTCATGAGAAAGTGGAATTCAGAGAGCGCCACAGCATAGACGTTTTTCAAGATCTCGCCGTCGCTATACTCCCGCAGCAACTTGGCCAACATGGGCTCGTAAAGCGCCTCAAGCCACCGCTTGATTTCAGCCGTGCTATACTTCAGCATCGTCAAAGCCTGGATGTACGCGAGAAAGACGTTTTTGAAAACCACAAGCTTGTCTTCAAAAGCGAGCTCATCGGAAACGGCGTGCTGGAGCTCGTCGGTGAGGTTGTAGAGGTATGCAAACTTGGCCAAGATCATGGTCGATGTGAGCCTGTTCTTGACATACACCACATCGTCTTCGTGGGCCTTATGGATAAACTTGTCGTCGAGAATCTCCAAAAGGAGGTAGTCCAACAACGCTTTGCCCTTTATGGCCAATTTTCTGTTGTGGTTGTTGTTGAAGTCGTGATGACCCTCGTGGAACTGCAGCTCCAAGAAGTCCGGAGGCTGTCTCAAGCTCTTGTCTGTGAGCACCAACTTGAGCAACGAGTTATCCTCAATTGGCGGCAAGCTGGGCGGGTACATTTCGATATCTTTCCCGATGAGGTGGCCATTCTCCTCCTCCTTCAACAGCTCCTGGTCCTTGGGCGGTTTATAGTGCATTAGGTAGCCCACATGGCGGTCGAGCTTCGTCAGCTTGAAGTTGCATTTCGCCAACGTTAGGAGAAACGGCAAGTATCCTTTATCACATAGCTCCTTGATGCGGACAGCCACTTTAATCTGAGGCGTATTCACCGTCTGTTTGAGCTTGTCCACCATTTGTGGAGCCGAGGCTAGCACAGGCGGAAGCGAGGCCGGCAGTTCCATCACGCCACACAATTCCTTGTATTTTGCCACCAGCGGCGCCCGCAGAAGCACCTGGTTCAATGTGGCCTGGAGTTGGGATATGTGGCCCTTCATCTGGGTCAACTCCTCAAGCAGGTATAGGTCATCTTGGGCGGACATTGAGAAGAAATTAGAAGACTAGTATGCGGCACGGCGGGGAAAAGGGGCCCTTTTTTCTACGGCGAGATCCTCTAGATGGATGGGTGGGTGAGGTTCTCTAGGAAGAAGGTGGTGCTTCTTGAATCGGTATCGTGAGGTGAGTAAAAATGGTGGTCGTGCGGTGCTCATAAGTGGTGTAGTCGTCGCAGTGCTTGGCGCTCGCTTGGCGCATAATGACAGCGATTGTCTGCAAATCCAGGCATCACACGAGGCGATAAAGAATGGTTTTTTAGGGTGTACCTATCGAAAATTTAAAAAAATACTACGAATTTACGATTCATTTTTTTCGAGCCGTACGACCCCGCTGTGGCCCCCACTCGCGATGAGATGACGTGAGAACCCGCAAATGTGGAGGATTTTTCATCTACTCCACCAGACACAGCGGCTATCTTTGCTCAAAAAGCGAGAAATTTTTAAAAACTTCAACTTCACAACAACCTTTTTTTCATTTCTGCCCGCCAGATCCACAACCCTATAATGCTCCTTTGACATCGCCAGCTAACCTATAACCTCCAAAGCACATTTGATAAGCATTAGCCACACAATTCATACAACACAGCATAGAAACTCAGCATAGAGCAACCCATGAACACAAACTACTTCTCGGAGGAATACATCCCGGGAACCACTAATATCTTCTCCTCGTCCGATGACTCGTCCAGCAACCACACGGGCAGACCATTGAAGAAAAACAAGAAGGGTGTCATTTTGCTTCCCCAGCCTTCTGACTCCGTCAATGATCCCCTTAACTGGCTGGCTCCTCGGAAAGCCTATCATTTTTTGGTTGTCTGTTACATCACAGGCCTCACTGCCGCCATTTCCAACGATGCTGGTGCCGCTCAGGACTCCTTGAACCAGTTTTATGGAATCTCTTATGATGCCATGAACACAGGTGCCGGTGTGCTTTTCTTGTTTATCGGCTGGTCGTGTATTTTCTTTGCCCCGGCTTCCTCGCTCTACGGCAGAAGAATCACCTACTTGATCTGTCTTTTGGCCGGTACTTTAGGTTCAGTCTGGTTTGCACTTTCCAAAAGAACAGCAGACACAATCTGGTCCCAGGCGTTTGTGGGCATGTCCGAAGCTTGTGCCGAGGCCCAGGCCCAGCAGTCGTTGGCAGACATTTTCTTCCAGCACCAGCTAGGCTCGGTTTTGACCGTCTACATTATGGCAACCTCGGTGGGCTCTTTTCTTGGACCCTTGATTGCACACTTGATCTCAGAAAGCCAGACGTTCCGCTGGGTCGGCTGGTGGGGTGCCATTATCACTGGCGCCACGCTTGTGGTGGTTGGTTTCACCTGTGAAGAGACCGTTTTCGATAGACTGAAGTACTTTCCTGTTTACGATTCTCCCGAGGAAGCCGTGGCCATGATCGACGATCCAGAAAGAGATTTCAAGGACGAGAAGGAGAAGGAGAACACGGCCATGGCGTCGGGAAACGAGATTTTCGTGGAGAGAACCAGAAGACGGTCCAGACCAGCCAAGGAGGTGGACGAAGAGGCTGCTTTGGAGAAGGAGAAACCCAACTCGTACTGGAAGCAAATTGCCCTTATCACCCCCTCAGAGTACATGGAGGGCTACGGCGTCAAACAGTACATTGAGCGTTTTCTCGTCTACTTCAAGGTCTTCACCTTACCTGCGGTGTGGCTTTCTGGCTTGCTCTGGGGTTTGCAAGACGCCTACATGTCGTTTTTCCTTACCACCCAGGACACGTTTTTCTACGATGAGCCTTGGAACCTCAGCGAAACGGGTGTGGCTGTGATGAACGTTGCAACATTAATTGGCGCTGTGATTGGCTGTATCATGTCGGGTGTCATTTCCGATAAGCACGTTCTCTGGCTTGCCAAACGCAACAACGGTCTCTACGAGCCCGAGTACAGACTCTACCTTCTTTTCATCACCATGATCATTTCTCCCGTGGGTTTGATCATGTTTGGTGTAGGTGCAGACAGAGAATGGCCAGGCTGGGTTGTTTACGGAGGTCTTGCATTTATTGGATTTGGCTGGGGCTCTATCGGTGACACCGCCATGTCGTACCTCATGGACTGCTACCCAGAAATCGTCATCCAGGGCATGGTGGGTGTCTCCATCATCAACAACACCTTGGCGTGCATTTTCACATTTACATGCTCTCTCTGGTTGAACTCCGCTGGAACCCAGAACACATACATTGCTTTGGCCGTAATTGACTTTGTCACCATTGCTTGCATCATCCCCACGCTCTACTACGGAAAGAGCTGGAGAAAGTGGTCCAAGGGCCTCTACGTGCAATTGGTCGAGCTCACCCAGGGAATGGGTTAATTGTTTTACTAATTTTAATATAATAGATTGATACACATTTGGCTGTAGCTTGAGTCGTGTCATCGGATGTACTCTCTTCCTTATATGATAGAACTTAGAAGGAGGTTAGATACCTTCACCAATTACTTCATTATCCTTGGTGTTATGACAGTTCAAAGCTACTCCCCAATCAATATAATACATTCATCAATATAATACATTCATTAGCTGGTCCGAATATGATAGATTTTATACACATACATATACCGCATTAGACGGCGAAGGCGGCAGTCTGCTTCTTTACAGTTTCAACTTTTTTCTTACTACAACATGGACTCGCCGTTGTCCTGGGCGGCAAAGGCGCCGTTGTCGTTACCGCCGTTTGCCTCGGTGCTCATGTAAGCAGACAATTCAGCATCCAAGTCCTCGGCTGTCTTAGCAGCTGGCCTGGGCTTTCTAGGCTGTCTGGGCTTCTTCTCCCTGGCTCTAGATCTGTGTGCTTCTCTTGCTCTTGGCGCCGCCTCCTCACGCTCTCTGCCGGCGTTTCTTCTGGGGTGTGCCTGTGGTGCTATTCTGTCAGCCAAGGAAACGGCGTTTTCGACAACCAAGGTCTGGCCCATGGCTTTTCTGCCGTCGAACTTCTGAACGGCTCTGGCATTGTTGTCGCCGTAGTTCAGCTGGAAGCAAACGTACGCCACGGCCTCGTCTCTGGGGTCGAATTTTATGAAATCAACAGGGGCAATGCTGATGAACAAGTTCGAAAGGTCTTCGCCGTTCAAGTCAGGGTGCACATTCTTCAACCTCAACATCGGTCTACCATCTGCGCTTTTAAGGATCTGATCGGGGATTGTATTGGCGTTGTTGAATCTGATAGGCTAAAATTTGTTAGTTTTGTTCTTGCTTTTTTCGGGGAAATCTTCAAATCGTTAATCTTTCACATACTGCTCTTCTGGGACCACGGCCTCTTCCTCTTCTATCCAGAGGCCCAGACCTCCTGGGTCCACGCTCGGACTTACGAGCTTTCTGCTGCTCTCCGATTATATCGTCCAAGGATTGTTCTAGAGCGTTGGACATAGCAGCTGGGGTTACTTTTGAATCGGTGGTTTTGTTGAACGCGATAGAGAAAAAATGAGGTTGGTCACGTGCAGCAGAAAGGCCCCCCACTGACTGGGTTACACAGAATGGATCGATAGCAAATTGCCATTAAAAAATAAAACAATATAGAAAAGTACTGTATGGGGTTCTAGCGTAAGGTGTCTCTAGATCTGCTTCTTCGACGTCTTGTAGTTCTCCTGCTCCTCATACTTGACTCCCACAAACTTACCGTCCTGCGAGTACTCCTCAATTCTCTTCAAGAAGTCCAATGGCACCAACTTGGGCCAGTCGACAAACTGGTAGCCGTTCTTGACGAGGTAGAAGGTGTTCTTGAGGAAAACGTATAGGCATCCGCTGACAATGAAGATGTTCTTCCAGCTGAGAAGCGAGCCGGTGGGCCAGAACAAAAGCGAGAGAAGCACAAAGAAAGAGGCTCCAATGATGTACGGAAGCAATTGGATGTATGGCGATCTCTTGTCGACAAAGGGGCTGTTGATGGAGTCTCTGAACGGCCTGTAGTTACCCAAGAACAAGTCGTAGGCGTCCTGTCTGTGGCCGTCTCTGAGGTTATTGAGGTAGTATCTGGTGATGGAGTTGTTCAAGTCCTGCAAGGCACCCATCTTGGTTCTCTTTCCGGTTCTGGTGTAGTCGGTCTTCAAAGCGCCGGTACCAGAGTAGGCGTTGGACACAGCGTCGGCATTGTCGGCCCAGAAGCTCTGGAAGAACAAGTTGAAGTCGGGATCCACAAGCTCCCAAGGCTGGCCAGAGGCAGGCAAGTAGTTGTTCAACTCGAGCTGTCTCTGCAACACCCAGCGGCCCAACATGGACTGCACCACGTTGGTTCTGTCCAAACAGTCCATACAGTTGGTTCTGACGACCTTGTTCTGCACGTTGTTGACGGTGTTGGTCTTGAGGTCGTAGGCAAAGAAGTTGTCGTTGTTGAAACCCAATTTGGTCAAGTGCTCAAGCAAAAGCTTGACTCTGTCCCAACGCATCTTGCTGCACTCGTGGTGGAAGTCAAAGTAGATGTACTTGACTTTCTGGGCAAGCGAAGCAGGCAACGTCTGAACAGCCTCCTCGTAAGCATCCTTGACAGGCTTCTCGTAGCCGCTTTGGTTGACCAAGTTGACCAAGTAGTTGTCGCCGTAGAGCTTGACCTGCTGCTCAAAGTGCTTGGCGGTGGCGTCCTGGGAAGGTCTGGACGAGATGGCCAAGTTGGGCTTGTATTTCAAGTCGTTGATCTCGGACCAGTACACGGGCACCGAGCCTCTGGTCTGGAGGAACGCAAAGAGCTGGTTGTCGGAGGTCAAGAAGATCTGTTCGGTTTCGTTGAAGTTGGCCACGTTTCCGTCCTCGTCGATACCACGACGGAAGTACCGGGTACCAGCACGGGACCAGGAACGACGGGTCAAAAGCGCAAAGTCCAACTTCTGGTGGCCCTTGAACTCGGTGGTGTGGGACTTGAAGTAGCCGTAGATGGTAGGAGTGACGAAAGCAGAGGCACCGGCAGCGATCAATTCCTCCGACAAGTACTGGTTCCAGAAGAAACGAGCATCGGGCTTGGTGACGCCGTCGGCAAGCTGTCTCTGCAAGGAATTGGTCAAGTCAAAGGCGTTGTCGAGCGAAAAGAACAACGAGGCCAGCTTCAAGTGCTGCTCCAAAAGCGCCAAGTAGCTGGACTCCTCGGCGTCCTTCTTGGAGAGGCTCTCGTTGCCCAATGGGATGATCTTGTGGGAAACAACCCTGGCGATTTTCTTGCCCAAGGCGGTTCCCGTGACCTCGTGCTTGTCGACCAAAACAAGGTACTTGTTGATTCTGAAGCGAATGGTTCCCAAGACCGCCGAAACTGTGGATCCCTTGCCCTTGGCAGCGACATCTGGAGAAGACGAGGAAACGGAGGAACCTTCGGAATTGACCACCAAGTACTGGTTGGCGGTAGCCAGGAAGAGCACGTGCAGGCCGTCGGCACTGACAAAGTGTGTTAACGACATGGTGTAGCTTGGACGAGAAGAAGAAAAAGAAGTTGGGGCTGTTCACTAGGTGTTGATGTCATGTGAGAGGTTCGCGGCCAAGGTTCCACGGCCAACTGGAAGCAATGCGGAGAAGGGCACGAAGAAGGTTTCGGGAGAATTAGGCGGTTATGATCTGAGGGGAATAGTATGGGTATGTTGGAGGAGCGGGTGAATTTTGCTGGTGGGGCCTTATCCGATTCGGTCCGGGTCAAGCCAGAGGGGTTGACTTTTTGGAGTTGTTGATTTTTGTATCTCTGTAATTTTGCAATTTGCAATAATCATTTTTGATTGCAATTTCCTGTTTCCCGTCTTTTTTTTCAAATTCACGAATATTGCTCCATGTTCATTGGCCCCGCTTGACATGTCTGCAGAGTTCCATGCGTTGGCTGAATTTCGCAGCCATTTCTGGAAAACCTCATGCGCAAGCCTCCAGGCTGATCTGGCCACGGGGCCGAAATCAGGCGTATTTTGAAGTTGTGGCTTTTTTGATTCGAAAAGTGGGGATTGTCGAGTTTCACAGGTGGCTTTCGCCGGAAGGGTCTGGCTGATGGTTGCGTGGAATTTGCAGCCACCGCACGGCTATGCATCGAAGGCCGATCGGAGGGAAACCTGATTGCCGAGGTTCATGAAGATGCATGAGAAAAAGCAGGTTTGGTGGTCTGAAGGCTTATTCGGTGAGATGGGAGTTTTGTGTATCTTGGGGAGTTTTCTTGTTTTGAAGGAGGAATTGAATGAACTACCCAGTCTGAGGGTCTTCTGGTCAATCGGTGAATCGTGGGGGTATGATTTCCACAGCGATCTTCGAAAATTGAGTCAAATCAACAAAAAATCAATTGAAAAGCCCTTTAGTAACAATCCCTTCGAAGCTTTCCATCCCTCCAAGCTTTCATTGCACAACGTTCTGTTGATCGCTGCTTTGCTACACCTCATGGATCTCACACTGCTCACTTTCGCAGCCATAATTGCCTCCTCAGCAACCCCAACCACGCCATCCACAAACACCCCAAAAAACCGCAAATTCATCAAGTCTTCAAAATTCCGATTCCAAAAGTTTCATCTCAAATCGCCAAATTCCAAATCACCACCCCTCCACCAAAACAACCTGGACCCTCTGGGCTCCTGCAGCTCATGATATCAACGCTCGCTTCACTACTCCATTTGCCATCTGACCTCATTTCCATCTTCTCCACATGTACAAGCTCAGACTGACGCTTCCCGGCCACGAGCTGGACGTGAGGGGAATTGCCGCTGTTTCAGATGAAAAAATCGTCTCGGGTTCCAGAGACGGAACCGCCAGGGTCTGGGATCTCTCCTTGACTCTAGACACCAACCCCAATAACGAGATCTGCTTTCTGTCGCCCACGGGCGCTTTTGTCAATGCTGTGACATTTGTCAACAGTGCCTTCACTGGTGATGTTGCTGCAGTCGGCGGCAAGGATGCGATCATCTACCTTTCAGAACTCCACGGTTCGTTTGTGAAACCTGGAGACGACTTTGGCAAGTTCCAGTTAGTCGGCCACCATGGTAACGTGTGCTCGCTCAATTACAAGGATGACGCCTTGATCTCGGGCTCCTGGGACTGCACGGCCAAGGTGTGGGACTTGTCTTCGTTTTCGGTGAAATACGACCTCCAGGGCCACTCTGCCTCGGTGTGGGACGCCAAAATCGTTGACGCAGCCGAGGAAATCTACCTTACTGCTTCTGCCGACCGCACTATCCGTAAATGGAAGGCGGGCAAGGAAGTGGCTCAGTATTCTGGCCACAACGACGTCGTGAGAAAGCTCTTGATCTTGCCTGGAGGTAAGCAGTTCGTTTCTGCCTCCAACGATTGCACACTCAAGGTATGGGACCTTGAAAGTGGTGCTGTTTTGCAGACCCTACACGGTCACGACTCCTTCATTTACGACATTGCCATCCTCTCCAATGGCGACTTGGTTTCTACTGCTGAAGACCGTACCGTGAGAATCTGGCGCAATGGCAAGACCCTCCAGGCAATTACGTTGCCTTGCATCTCCGTGTGGTGCGTGGACACGCTTCCCAATGACGACATTGCCGTGGGCGGCTCGGATAAATCGATTTATGTGTTCACGGCTTCTCCAGACCGTGAGGCCACCGCTAATGGCATCCAAGAGTTCACTTCTCTCGTGCAGAATTCAGCCATCTCAGAGCAGTCCATTGACGATTTGAAGAGAACCGATATTCCCGGCTACGAGGCTCTCGAGCAGGGTGCCGACGAAGAAGGTGCAACGAAAATGGTCAAGAGTCCTGCTGGTGTCATTGAAGCTCACCAATGGTCAGGCGGCCAATGGGTCAAGATCGGAGACGTGGTGGGCTCTGCAGGCGGAAGCTCCGGGAAAAAGAGCCATAATGGCAAGGAGTGGGACTACTTGTTTGACGTTGATGTTGAGGATGGTAAGCCTCCGCTCAAGTTGCCTTACAACGCCAATGAGAACCCATACACAGCCGCCGAGAGGTTTTTGGCTGATCACGAGTTGCCAGCGTCGTACAAGGATGAAGTTGTGCGTTTCATTGAGCAAAACACCGGAGGCTTCCTGTTGGAGCAAAGCCAAGGTGCTCCAGCGGCTTCCCAGGCTGCCCCACAAGCTGCTCCAGCGCCTTCTCCACAAAACTTCAAATTGCTTCCTGAAAAGTCGCCAATCACATTCAAGGACTACAAGCCTGAGCAGTTGGTCAAGGGCTTCAAGAAGTTCAACGCTGACCAACCCGAATCAACAGCCTTCTCCTCACTGGATGTCGCTAGTGTCGAGTCAGGTCTCCATGATCTCAAGTCCAAGAATGCTCTTTTCATAATCACCGACATCGTGCCCAAGATCTTATCCTCGTGGGAGCTGTCTCAAAAGCTCATTGGCTTTGATTTGTTGAGGGTGAGTATCCCCAGGGTCACCACGGTCGATTTGATTCAATCTACAGAGGCTGCTGAAGGTATTCTCAAAATGCTCTTACAGAGTCTAGACGAGGTGAATGAGCAGGACTTGCCATTGGTGATGATGATCGCCCGAGTCTTGTGTAACCTCACCACCAGCACCTTGTTCGCCCAGTTGTTCTTCACTCTCGACGACCACAACCAGGTGTCTTTGAACGAATACTACGAAGAGGTTGTCAACAAGGTCACTGTGGTTGTGAAGATTATCACATCTTCCTCGGTGGCATCATCCCACAAGCACTACAGCAGCGCATTGACGTCCGTGTCTTCGTTTTTGTACGATCTCACGGCGCTTTCATTCAACAATACGTCGCTTTCAAAAGCCCCCTCCGCGGCGCTTGCCTTCTTTGCACTTCTTGATGAAGTCGCCGAGGATTTAATAAAAGCCGACGAGGAGTCTGCCTACAGAGTGTGTGTTGCATTGGGTAACTTATTGGTATTAAAGGTCACGTCAAGCAAGCCTGCCTGGTACGACGCCTGCAAAAAACTATACAACGGCGCTAGATTCAAGGATATCTACAGAGATATCGACTTGGCCTAGGTTCATAAACAAACGCATCACGGATTCATCAGTATCATTTAGTAGAAGAGCTCAGGCACCTTGGGAACAAGGGCAGCAAGCTTGTTGTGCAATTCCAAATTCGTATTATCGGAGAAACGCGTCACGGAGTAGGCATTGACCTTGTAGTCAGAAGCACCCACTTTCCCAATGACCTCGTAGATTTTGCCAACTTCTAGACCATCGTTCGCGTTCACAGTCACCTGGATTGGACCTCCAGCATTTAAAGTAGCTGTGCTCGAGCCGAAATCGATATTCTCGACGCTTCCAACAACTCTAACAACGCGTCCTCCAAAGTCCTTTATCGTAGAGGCTTGTACTCTCACACTAGCAGCGTCCATATTAGAAGGTGGATTTGGTGAGCTACATACGCGTTGAGGTTGATGTCTTGATAGTGGCGTGCATCAGTGCACCACATACATTGGGGTCCGTCAATGAAGATGAATTGATGTAAGTTATTAGCTTTTTGTAGGAAGTGCTTTGAAGGGTCATTTAATGTAATGGAAGCGGGGATTTTCCTGATCTGGTGTATTGCTTGTTGCTGAAAATTCACTGATCTCTCATAGCTCACTCAGTGTATAGAAGATAGTCATGGGAGGTTTCTCCTACGAAAAGATTACAACATAAAAAATCAGAAAATATTCTGTCTTTTGGCATTACAGTACATAGTTTGAGCCCACTGGCCTTACTCGACTCAGTTAGCAACGTCAGTTAGCTACATTGGGGCCCTCGCTAGGAATGGCTGCAAAACCGAACCCGAAGCTCCAAACAGAACCCATTTTACTCCAAAAACCTAGTATTTGTACAAATTCTTGAATTTCTTTTTATCCTCCACCACCCGACCTAGAACCTTCTCCCGAGTTCCATCATATCGCGAGCTTTCACAAATACCCACCTACTCCTCTGTCCTCATTTACAACACCACCTACCTATAGCTAACCAACTCTCCTCCTCTGCTATGAAGATAATCTCTAATAAGGATAAATTCCGTATTCGCTCTCCCGACCCGCTTCCAAAGTGTCCGCTCTGGGCCATAATGGATCAAGTTAACTGTGACGTTGAACTCGAAAACCTCTCGCCTGAGCTTCCCAAAGTCACAGTCCTGGTACCATCTGCTTCATCGAATTCCTCTGAATTATCAACAATTATTCGGAGCCTGGATGAAGAAAGCGCCGAACGCTCCAAAAAAGAAATTGTGGTCCACGAGAGTTTTACGATTCTTCCACCCTCGAGCTCAAGAAAGCACATTTTCCTCCCCAAGGATGAATTTGATTTGTTGAAGCACCGGCCGATTTTCAATCACCCTCTGCCAAAAGAGGAGTGCCAGACCGATGAAAGTGATATCTCCGATGTGGATGTGGACCCACTTGGGTTCGAAAAAGTGGACTCCCCACCAATCGAGAAACGGCCTCCGTCGCTTGATCCACCACAAAAGCCACAACTGAACTGCCATTATGAAACCTTCCCTGTTGTTCCTCAGAATGGTCCCTCTGTGTCTCATGAAGCACTTGGAGAATCAAGAGACGGTGTGAGCCAAAAGCACAATGGTCATAAAAAGCAGAAGCTTTTCAGTCCAATCCAGTATGTTCCAAAGACTCCATTGGAGGATCAACTGGGAAATTCCAATGAACCACTGCAAAAGCGTCAAAGGGTCGACCCTGAAATCAATGAAACCAATGGCCAGAGGGAATTTGGCGGAAGTCATTTGATCAATGTCGCTAGGAACCCAGAACCAGCTCCTTATTTCAATAATGCAACTCAAAGGCACATCGTCCCTGATTTCAGAAGATACATGGTTACGCTATTGGATCAAAGGTTTTGCCGGATCCAGAGAAAAAGATACGTCCGCCCCAACTTACAAGAGCTTCAGAATAACGACACTCAGCATGTCTATGTGAAGCATTTCTTCTTCTCGGACAAGGAACCATACAGTTATCAGTGGGTCAGGAAAGTAAAAGACGAATCAGGAACCGTCATTCAAAACTCTCGAAGCGCCCTTTGTTCCTACTGCAAAGAAATCCACTTCTTTGACATTCGGAAATCATATTATGCCACACACATGGCCTTGTACCATGGCGTCTATCCAAACGACTACTTGACTCCAGAACCGTTGTTTGCAGGTATCTATCATACTCCAAGATACAGCAGATTTGGATTTATCGATGGTACTGAAGAGCGCCGCTGTGTGGTTTGTCCCGCCTGTTATGAACTTTTTGATTTCGATGTGGGGAGTATCGGTTCCGAAAACTTGAATATATCCTCGTACTTAAGGCACTTCAAGGACGCACACCGATCCAGGAGGCTAGAGGGTTACTTTGATCTTCATAAGCGACACTAGTTCGTCGTATAATTACATTTTGTCTATTTTTTTTGTTCTCCTCTCTCAAACATGTATGAGCTTGTCCAAGAAAGCGTCAGCCTCGCCTCTCTCCTCTGCTCTCATGAGTGATTCACCAATCAAGAAGCCGTCAACGTCATCGTCGGTCTTGTATTTGTGAACGTCCTGCTCGGATGTAATGCCAGACAAGGCCAATACGAGAACATCACCTTTTCTCGAACTGTTTTTGGCAGAATCCACAAGCGAGCTTGTAGTCTTCAAGTCCACATCGAAAGTTGTGAGGTTTCTGTTGTTCACACCGATGACAAGGGGATCTTCAGTGGTGCCGTTGTTCGTCAAAGCAAGTGCAACTTTCAACTCCTCGGCATCGTTCACTTCCACCAACGGAACCATGCCCAAGGACAAGGAGTACTCGTATAGCTGCTGCAACAAGTTGCTGTCCAGAAGCATCTTCACAATCAACAACACAGTGTCGGCGCCAGCTAGACGGGCCTCGGCGATCTGGTATTTGTTGAAAATGAACTCCTTACGCAAAACGGCTGGTCTGGAGTATGATGCATCGCCCTTGCCGGAAATCTGCTCATCAATGACTCTTCTGACGAGGGTCATGTCTTCCAAAGAGCCCTTGAACCACTTGGGTTCCGTCAACACAGAAATAGCCGAGCAGTGGCCCTTGGCATAGGTGGAGGCCTGGTTGGCTGGGTGAGCAGAAATATTAATATTGCCCTTGGAAGGAGAGGCACGCTTGAACTCGGCCAAAATGATGTTTTCCTTGTTGGATTTGGTGAGTTGGAGACGCTCGTAGAAGTTGATGAGAGGAGGAGCCAATCCAAGCTGCAACGAGGTTTCGAGGTTGGCAAAACTTCTACCTGGGATGTTCTCAATCTTCTCGTAGTCCTCCATACGCTGCTTGTAGATCTTGATGAGGATGTTTTCTTTGGACGAAGAGGGCTTGTTCTCCTCCCAGGTGCCGCCTTGCATTTTGAGAATGTTCTCCACAAGGATATGGCCAGCCTCCGATAAGACAGACTCGGGGTGGAACTGAACGCCCTCAATGGTGTATTTTTTGTGTCTGACACCCATAATCACCTCTGGGCTGGTAGTTTCCGTCCTAGCAGTGACTTCAAGACAGTCTGGAATAGAAGCGATCGTACCGGCCAAAGAGTGATATCTGGTAGCACCCACGCCCTGTGGGACACCCGTGAAGCAACCTTTGCCGTCATGCTTAATAGCAGAAGTCTTACCGTGGACAATTTCACCGGCATAGGAGACCTCTCCTCCGAAGACTTCGACCATGCACTGTTGACCCATACAGACGCCAAAAATGGGGATTTTTCCCTTAAAGTGCTCAATAGCAGCCTTGGAAATACCAGCGTCCGTGCTTGGGTGGCCTGGACCGGGCGAAATAAACAAAATGTCCGGCTTGATCTCGTTTTCAATCGTCTCGATATCGATTTTGTCGTTTCTAAAGACATCCACCTTTTCACAGAGCTCCGACTGGCACAAGTATTGGTACAAGTTCCAGGTGAAGGAGTCGTAGTTGTCAATCATCAACACATGTTTTTTGCCGAATTTGCCTGCCATGTTGATTGAGTAAGTGAAAGTGTAGGTAGGTGAAAGTTGACTCAGCTCGCATTGCATATAAAAGTCCAGCCTAATCTGCGTGGGTAATCGCGATTACTACTTGGTGCGGTCTGACTATTAAAATCTAGGTTGGGGTATGACTATGAATGTTTTTTTATCTTGATTTTTTGATGCTCAAGCCCGCTTTCTTCTTCTAACTCTTTCGCTGATCGGCGTCTCGTCCTCGACAATTTGCTGGATCTTCTCCTGCTGCTTCTTTTCCTTAAGCTCGTCACTCTCAAACTCAACACCCTTTAAGATGATGGTGCTCACAAGCTCAAGAATAAGCATAAAAAGCGAGGAAAGAATGGCCAACACGTAATTGGAAATGGTGACACCAATGTCGAGCCATGAACCCTCGGTCTTGACGAGGTAGAAGAAGTTCAACGACAAAAAGTCTGATGTGGAGATGATGAGGGTTGAAATGGTGAACTTCTTGATCTCAAGCTGGTGGTTCATGATGCCAAAGCACGACGACAAAAGAATGTATGGAATGACCAATTTGAGCATAAGGAGGGCTCCCATGGGGAAGGGGTCGAAGATTGGAATCAACCTGTAGACGGAGTCCAAGGAGAAGGACGAGATGGATGCAACGTTACCAGTGCCGAAGAACGCAAATTGTAAGAAAAAGAAACCGACAATGGAAACACGGATCGTCTGTAGCCAGTAGCCCTCCGGCAAATTGAGACTGTTGCGTTTGGATTTTTCGAGCTCTTGAGGAGTCATCTTCAATTGAGTCTCGATGTTCAACCATTGCAACAAAACCAACGAGAATCCAACGTAGAAGAAAAGCTCAAACGAAATGGTCAAGATGATAAACGTTGGCACGAAGGTCAAGTAAATGATCAAAAGTCTGAGCTGGTAATCAGTGGATGGACGAAGGGTGTATAGCGTCGGAAGCACCAAAAGTGAAACCAAGAATGTGATCCAACCAAGAATCTGCGAGTATACTGGTAAACCTTCCCTGGCCTGCAAGGACACCACCGACACATTTGTTGCATACAAGGTGAAAATGGCTGTCACGATTTGAGCAGCCACGAGTCTCTTGTTGTACAGACTAACACCACGCTCGAATACCTTCTTGGCGCCCAAAACACCAACCACAAGGGCTGCAACAGCACTGACATTGATTTGCCACAAGCTCTCTACCTTGACGGCGTCCAAGTTGGTGAAAATGCACATGCTGCAACAACTCAAGAGCCATGGCAACAGGACGTTGAGTTCAAGTTTCCGCAGGACAATGAATGGATAAAGTCCAATCAAGACGAAAATCACCGAGAAGATGATTCTGTTGAAAAAGCCGTAGACAATACCCTCGTACATTCCGAGGAAACTGGCCAAGGTGAAGAGTTTCACTGGACCGGAAATACCAAACAAGAAGTTATGCAAGCCCTTGAAGAAGAGGCCACTCTCGTTGAAGAGCGTGTACCAAAAGTAAATTGGGAACGCCGCGTACATGTAGTAGTTGAATGGCGAGTGCTGGTAAAACAATAAGTAATTGATTCCCAAAGCAATACCGCCGAATGCAACGAGAAGCTTCGTGGATGGAGGAGGCTGCTCGAAATCCTTGAGAATAAAAAGTTTCAAGAACACATTAAAGGAGTAAGCGATCCAACCAAAGAAACCAAGAGTGACGATGGAACGCAACAAAAGCCAGTTGTATGTTTGCAAGTAGTTCAAGCCATCCAAGGATGCTTTCATGAGCTCTTCAGTAAGGGCAATAGCTTCGGCCTCGATAGCTTCGGTTGGATTAGCCTCAAGTTGATCAATAAGGAGCGGGATCTCGACCTTGTACTGAGCGATAGGCTTTTTCACGAAGGGATCGTATGGTTTGTACTGGAACTGGTGGTCGTAAACCTCGCTTTCCTTGACAAGGTATTGTTCCAGCACGGCCAATGCATTCTCGTACAAGGCCTTGACTTTGCTGACTGCAGATCCATCAATATATGGCAAAGGCAATTCACCCACGGAGTTGGCAGGGTAGTTGGCGCCAATCAAGTAGGCCATCAAGGAGGCAATGTCAGCTTGGTTGACATCGTGACGGGCCAAATGGTCGAATCCCCAAGTGTCGAAATAATCAGCCTCGTAGCCACTAACAACAGGGTCTTGTTTCGCTTTCTGAGCATCATCAGCGAGGACAGGCTTATTGACACCAGCACCCCAGGCAATCAAGGGAGTTCTTGTGTTGTCGGGATGTCCGTCACCGTGGGACCCAAAATCAGACATACCGTGGTCAGCAGTGAAGACGAAAGCGGACTCTTCATCGCCGAAAAATTCGTGAATCCGGGGAATCAACTTTTCAAGCTGCTTGTCGATATACTCGATGTTATCGTAGTACTCGGCAGAGTACGGTCTGTAGGCATGGCCTGCAGTGTCAGGGCCCAAGAGGTGCAAGAAGAACACGTTACCGTCTTGGTGCAACTCGTCGTGGAGTGTCTTGTTAGTTGCAGACTGGTCCATCAACTCATCGAAGTGCTTGAACACGAAAGAGTCAAGTTCAATCGAGCTCTGGGTGAAATCTTCAAACTCGTGGCCGTACATGCACACATCAATTCTGCCAGGCACCACATTGTCACCGTAGGCAAACATGGGCAAGATATCGGGCGAGCCGAACGAGTATGTGTGAGTAGACTGGTTGAAGAACGAGTCAAAGTCGACTGGGTTTTCCTTCCAGCCCTTCGTCACGGCACTGACGTCCTCGTAAAAACCAGCAATCATGGCAACGTGGCCTGGACGTGACTCTGTAGGCATTCTGGTGTTGGAGATACCCCAGGTAGCCTCTGTTTCCACCAAAGAGCGCAAGTAAGGAGCCAAGTACTTCTCCTCGCCGGTTCCAGGATGCAAAAGCTTTTTGAACGTCTTGTCTGCTCTCAAGCCATCGCCAACAATCAAGAACAATCTTTTGGCCGGAGGCTCAGATGTTGACTTGTGCTGATCCATTCCATGCACCAACGGAGACACGAAATAGATGTCGAAAATCAGCCATAGGTAGTAGAAATGGAAAAGCACACCGACCACGATGAAGATCTGGCGTTGCGATATCGAAACCATTCTACTGTGCTGTTGTGGAGAAGAGACGTGGTTTCCGAAAAAGTGGTTATAGATACTACTTATTCGCGTTCGCGTATTTAGAGATGGTGGTTATGGATGTGAGGACACGTTTCATGCCCCCATTCGGCCGCATTCAGTTTTTTTTGTTTGTTATCCTTCTCCCTGTATTAATCTATATACGTGTGTTCTCCTGGGCTTCGATCTCCCGTTTGAGTTCACAGTTCTTGTGGAACATCTTCACCACGTCTCTGAACTCCAGGAGAGCACGGCCGTAGTTCTGAAGTATAAGCATGTCATTGAACAAGCTGTTCAGAAATGCATCCAAACAGGATGTGTCGTCGTAAATCGTGTCGTGGTGGCGCTCGTCCTTCTGCAATCTGAGCTGTTGATGCTCGAGAACGGCACTGCGAAAAGCTGCGAATCCTCTTTCGTACTCGTGGATGCCTCTGGTGTATTGAAGCCACTGTTCTGTCGTGAGGTCTGGGGTTATGCGGATTGTGGGTGGCTGAGTGGTGAACATGAGCCTCCTTTCGTCGAAATCAGGCGAGAGGTCGGTCACGGTGATGGAGTTGTTACGGCGACTGGGCGCCTTGTTGACAGGCGTGTGGAGTGTCTCAGCTCGCGTGGTACCGTCGCTGTAGCCTTCGTTGTGTGTGTTTCCTCCGAACTTGGTGCGCTTGTTGGGCATTCTGTGGATGGTGGAGCTCGACTTTCTTGTCTTTCCAGGACTTGGGGGCCCATTGCTGGTAGAAGTGACGAATGAACGAGGAAGTGAGTCGAGCATGTCCTTGAAGTTTGTGTCGTCAATGGATGTGCCCAAGGACAGCCGCAAGTCAGACATATCGATGTTCTTGGCCTGCTTCTTGTGAACAGCTTCCTCGCTCTCCAAATGCTCGTCCGAAAGGGGACGCTTCGGGCTTTCTGGGCCTCTGCTGTAAGCGTCATTGTGAGCTCCATGGCCCTCACCCTCGTTCGATCCAATCTCCACCACTTCAGGCTCCGTCAGCGGAGTGTGCATTCCCTGTTCCTGTTTCACCTTGGACTCGCCATTTAATGTTCTGTCGTCGTTGGGAGCCCCATTAGGCGGCGACGCCTGGCAATCCTCAAAGTTGTCTGAGGAGTCTCCTTCGTCTTCCACAACGATAGGCTCGTCCTGTCCACCATACTGCCCATCCTCGTAAACTTCCTCGTCGCTTTCGCTGACCTCGTAAATGTTGTCCCATTGCCGCCTATAGGCATCTGTTTTGCTGCGACGGTAGTCCTCTTCTTCTCGCATCCGCTGATGCTCTCTGACTCTTTCCTTCTGTTCTCGTAGCTGGGCCTCGACTTTCTCCCGCATGCGCCTCTCCCGTTCTCTTCTTTCGAGCTCCTGTCTCTGTCTTTGGGCCTCGTACATCTGTTCCTGCCGCCTTCTCTCCAAATCCTCTCTCATCTTCTTCTGAGCCATTTTGGCTGCTGCCAGGGCTGCATCATCTGCTTTAGTGGGCCGCTCGTGGCTCTCAAAATGGTTTTTTGCTGCATCTGTGTAGGCACGGTAGTTGTGCTGGAAAAAGCTGTAATAGGAAGTTCCGCCACCGCCATATGACGATCCTGGGGAGTAGTAGGAGAAGCCATGGTGAGACCTAAAGTTGTTATTGTAGGCATCACTGTATGACGTCAGAGACGCTGAGGCAACTGAAATGTTATGTTTCACGTCGTACTCTCTTCGGCTTTCGTCGTCCCTGAGTGTTTCGTATGCCTTGTTGATCTGGAGAAACATTTCATGGTGCTTCGCATCGTCTGTTTTGTCTGGGTGGTATTTGACAGCGAGTTTTTTGAACTGTCGCTTGATTTCGTCCGGACTAGCGGAAGGAGTCACCCCTAGCACGGAGTAGTAGGTCGATGCCATAGGTTGGTGTAGTCCTACAAGTTTGATAACGCTTCACGAATGCACCCGCCATCAACGGTGTTTTTGTCACGTGACTTCCTCGTGGGTTTCTTGATTTATAGTGTATAAGTGTATTAAAAATTAGTAATGGTAGGTCACAAAGGGAATTGGCTCTTGGTTATTCCCCTGAAATGTTCAGCACTTGCCTTAGGCGGAGGTGGTCTCCTTGGTGGTGGCTTCCTTGTTCTCACCCTCAGCCTCAGTAACAGCATCAGCAGCGGCGGTCTCCTCCTCGGCTTTAGCCTCCTCCTTCTTGTCATCCTCCTTTGCGGCTCTCTCCTCCTCCTGCTTCTTCTTCAATCTCTCCAAAAGGATCGCACCATATTCGGGGATCTTGATCGAGGCATCCTCAACTTGCAGAGCGAAAATGTCAGGAATCTTCTCGTTGGCCTGACCGCCGTTGTAGTCCTTGGGCAAGTTCTCCTTACCGAAAGCCAGCGACAAGTCACCGTGGTTGAGCATCTCGAACTTCTTCAAAGTAGCCGCACTCATGAAACCAGTGGCCTTGAAGAAGGAGAACACCCAGCCCATGATGTATGGCACGTTGATGAAGTACTTCTTCGAAAGAAGCTCAGGGTAGTTGTCGCTAAAAATGGTGATGATCTCCTTGGTGGCAGCCTTCATGCCAGGGTCCATTCTGAACATCGAAACGTTGTTGTAATCGTGAACCTGGGCAATCTTGCACTTGTCGGCATCGCCAAAGTTCAAAAGAGCCAAAGACCTCTCCATAATGCCCACTCTCCATCTCAAGAACATGGTGCCTGGAAGGTCAGTCTTATCGGGGTTATCGACACCAACGCCGAACTTGGCAAACAACTTCTTGGGGTTCTTCAAGTTGGCGTACAAGTTCCACGTGACAACGGAGAAGTTGTCCTTATTGTCCTTGTAGTCGGTAATCACACCCATCTTCTCCAAGCTCTCGTCAAACTTCTCGTTGTAAGCGGCGCTGAGAACCTGGAACTTTCTTCTCCAATTGAGCGTGTTGACCAACATTTCCTGGGCCTTGGCAAGGTCGTATTCCCTGGCAATCAAGAACTTGAGCAAAATCTCGTTTCTGTTCTCGACATCAACGTGCTCCTCCTCGTCTGCGGCGATTCTGTAGCCGTATATCTCATCATAAGATGGATCCTCGGTTTTGGAAACCAAATTAGGAATCGCCTGGATAAGCTGCTCGAGCTTCTTCTCCTGGTCGTCGGTGAGTTCAATCGATTTTACCAAAGGCATCGCTAAAGTCAGAAAAAAAAAACGTGAAGTAAATGTGTTGATGTACCTCTGTACTGCTCCCGAATCGGCTTTGTAGACACTCCTACAGCTGCACCTTGAGATGCGACTCAGGGCATTATCTTTATAATCTATCATGCCCTAACTACTTTCCTGTAATTTATCCCTAGTGTCCTCCAGGCACCAACTTGAATGTAAGAATGTCGTTCTTGCCGACATCCACGGTATCTTCCTCTCCCACTCGGGTGCCTCCTACACCTTCGATGGCTGCAATAGTCACATCGCCCATTATACGCCTTGCGACCGATATGACCGACAGCCCACGCTTCACCAAAACACAGTCTCTAAAAACGGCAGAGCCGGACGTGCCTGTGAAGGAATTGATGTTTCTCGCGGGGAAAACGGGCACAAGGTCCAAAACGTCTGCGGCTGCTTGAAGAAGTTGCACCACACCTGTGGACCCAAATCTGTAGAGCACCAAGTCCCTAATATTTTCTATTCTGTTTTGGAGTTTTTCGTCGAGCTCACGGAGTCCAGCGTCGGGCAAGTCCTCGGCGGTATCGACGAATTCCGTGCCCAGGTCGTATTTGATGAAATTTTGTGCAGCCAACTTTCTTAGAAGCACCTCGGTAAGCGATGAGGTCAAGACGCACTTCAGCTCAGGGTGCTTGAGCATAATTTTGGAAACATTCTTGTCCGCATCTGGATGGTCCAATTTGTTTAATGCAAGCACGGTGGGGAATTTAACCGACATGAACGCCTTGACGACTTTTTCCACCATTTCGTTATCCCAGTCTTGTAATGGAGGCAATCCAGGAATGGTATCCAAGGCTTTGCCGATCAACTGCTTATTGGCGTAGTAGCCTCCAAGCTGCTGTCTCAATGTCTCTAGCGCCGTGGATTTCGTTGCAATGTGGCGTCTAACCACAGAACCCCATTTCTCCGTCAAGTTACCCAAGATCCAGCGGAAAATCTCGTCCTGAAGCCATTCAATGTCCTTGAGCGGATCGTAACCTCTGGTCTCTTTACCCTCGGCATCAGTGGTTCCACTGACATCAACAATGTGAAGAAGACAGTCTGCCTCGGTCAAATCACTGAGAAACTTGTTTCCAAGGCCTCTTCCCAAGTGAGCGTTTGGAACCAAACCAGCGACATCAAGAAGCATCACAGGCACGCCTCTCTTGCCGTCTCTGCAGTAGCCGTAGTTAGGTTTGCAATCGGCCGTTTTTCCAAACCTCAGACAAGCACATTCCACCTCCAAGTAGCCTGTGGCTTTATTGGGATCGATCGTTGTGAAGGGAAAAGCACCGACTTTGGCGTTAGCGTCCGTCAACGCATTAAGTGTTGTTGATTTGCCACTCGACGGTTTGCCTACTATACCAATGACCGTTTCCTTGCCCATGATACTATAGCCATGTACTCAAGATGAGCTCTTCTCTTTTTTCAGTTTGACTGAGCATACATAGTGCTGATAACTCATGCAGGTAGCACCGAAAGTGGGTGTTTCGAACAGAGCTCAGGAAAATGATGAAATTGAAAAAGCATTCCTTAATGCCGTTTTCTTCACGTTTTCTTCAAATGCAAATCGTTTGCTACTTGGAAAACTGCGCCTTCGGAGTAAGCTCGGGTAAGAGCCGGTCTTTCTTCTCATCATACATCAACTAACATCGCCATGCAGAAAATAAAAAGTGATCTTTTCAGCCTCTCTTCGTCAAAAGAACGTTCTTGAAGCCGTTGAAAAAAATGCCATGTTAAGCTTTGCACTTGTCGTAAACAGACCCAAATCCAATTCGCAGCCAATTACCCCAACCACAACTCTTCAGCTTCCTAGTCTGCAATTTATCATCACCTCCTTAACTCTTTTACAAAAAATTCATGGTCAAAGGAAAAAATAAAAAAATGTTCACTTTTTCGGCGCTCTCGGCTTCGGCAATTGTGCCTCTATGTATCGGCTTGGCCAAGCGGGATGACTGGTTGGTCCAATTTACCTGCACACACGAGCTCGGAGTAACAGGTGTTTACTGGACTCTAACAACTTTCGTTTAGGTCCTACAAATCTCAATTGACTGAACAGCAGCAAACTCCAATATGGTCAATTTCAAAAACATATTCTCGAACATCTTCAGTGGATTCTCCGCCGACTTCAAGAAGAAGAACTTCTCCCTTTATGGCCAGTGGCTTGGAATCCTCAATATCATTTTGTGCCTTGCCTTGGGTATTGCCAACATCTTCCACTTCAATTTGGTGGTGATCTTCGCCGTCATTTGTATCGTCCAGGGACTCGTGGTTGTGTTTGTCGAGATCCCCTTCTTGTTGAAGATTTGTCCTTTAACGGACACCTTTACGAATTTTGTTCGTAACTTCGACGAGAACTGGCCTCGTTGTGGCTTCTACTTGTTGATGGCTGCCATCCAATACCTCAGTTTGGTCACGCAAGCTACCTCTTTGCTTGTGGTTGCCATCATCTTCACATTGGCCTCTGCCTGTTACTTGTTTGCAGCAGTCAAGCACCAAGAATACCTCAAGACTTCTATAAGCGTCAGCGGCAACAACGACGACTTAGAATCTCAGGTTGCCCACAACGTCGTGAGAAATGTGTTGTAGAGTGGCTGACTTGATGAAGTTTTGTATCAACATGCGGTGACGACCATCCAACTTTATGTAAAAGCCTTTGTGTCTAGGCTTGATTTTGATGAATAATAATTCCATAGAAAAATATTGTGCCCTATTAGCAAATCAATAAAGAAACCCCGTGGTTAAACCAGCTCCAAGCGTTGTAGGTAAATGAGGCACGTGATCGTACATCAAAAAAAAGTAAGTAGGCATCTTATCAACCATCGCACTAACATCGAAAAGCACAATCTTCCGATAATAATATGGGTATATTATCCTTTGTTGAGGATACAAAGCCCTCTGAGGTTGATGAAAGCTCCCGCTGGAACGAAAACCAACCGTCAGAAAAGAAAACTGAAAAAAAGTCTGCGCCAGAGAAAAAGAGCCAGAATAACGACAATGGAGTGACTTCCCTTTCATACGACCAAGTGAACGATAATGCTGATGAGCTAATAGAGCTTCGAGGAGAAGGCAGATACTTTGGTGTCACAGATCCGGAAAATGGCAACACCATCAACGCCCAGCTGTCTCTAGGCCCTTTATGTGATAACTGTCACAAAAGAGGGCACATACGGTCAAAGTGTAAGACAGTTATTTGCCACAAGTGTGGTGTTGTCGGAGACCACTATGAAACACAGTGCCCTACCACGATGATTTGTGCCAAATGTGGCCAGAGGGGCCATATGGTATCGGCATGTACGAATAAGAGCAAAAAGAGAGAGTATTGCAGAAACTGTGATACCTTCAGTCATGGCAACCACAACTGCCCTAGTATATGGCGGTCGTACATCACCAAACCCCAGCCAAATCAAGACGATCTGCTGTGGAAAGTGTCTGATCTTCCCGTCGTCTACTGCTACAATTGTGGTGACCAGTCCCATTACGGTGACGAGTGTTTCAGACAAAGGTCGTCTCGTATCCCAAACATCAACGGAAGCGCCTTCAGCGGAACCAACCTACCCAAGCACCTTAGAAAGTTATACACATGGGTCGCAAACGACTCGAGACAGAACAATAGGAGCAATCCCAACGGCTCCAAAAACAACAAGAATAACAACAAGAACCAGAAGAACCAAAAGCCACTCAAGTCGTCAAAGAAAGACTTTAACGGCGGCTCTGCGCAGCCTACGCGGTCTGGAGTCATCAAGCACAACAATAACAAGCATGGCTTACCACCCATTCCGACCAAGGCGAACCGCTCGGGCATAATAAAAGGACAGAAGCAAAACTCGAGAAACAGCAGCGTGAAGCCCAATAGATCGGGAATCTTACCCAAAAACAACGGAAGCCGCAAGAACTTCCAGGCATTTTACTAGCCGAACAGCAACATAGCACGGCAAGGTCAGGATATAGAGGAAAGATGTAATCGACATTCACGGTGTAGCTTTAGTCAACGGACCTGTAAGTTCAAAAGTCCGAAAACAAAGCCTTTCTTTTTTTCGCTCTCGAGTCTAGCCTTACTATTGGTATTCCATGAATGGCTCGAGACAATTTCTTCGGAATCCATTGTGGCGCAATCGAAACAAAAAGTTCCTAACCTCGGCGTCTACTTTATAAGAAAAAGGGGGTTTCTCATTGAATTTATTTTACTACGATACCCTTCAATCATTAAATATACATCCAGCTCAACGAGCGTTGCAACCTCGCCTTCCTAATTTGTACTTAGGGCCGTTTCTCCGTCGGAACCCCGTGGCAAAATCTCGAACCGAACGTATTCCGCAGCCGAAGAACAACCCGAATTGAATTGAAAAATATGACCGGCTGCATCTAAAGCGCGGCATCTGAAGGAAATTTAGTTATAATGTGGAACCTTCCTGTACAAGCTGCCGTACCCTTCAAAGTGAGAGCGCCGTTAGTGATTTTTTTTATCTATAAGATCAGCTCCATTTCGCGCTACATTCTCCTAGTCACTCCAGTCAACCATACCCCACCTATTTTGGTTTAAACAACCACCATGGATGTTCCGTATCTCTCGGAGTACTTCCACTATCCGGACTCCAAGTCCAAGGAGTACAAGGATTGCCGCCAGAACACCACCAACAAGTTTGGTGAGATCATGGGCTGGGTCTCTGTGGCTTTCATTCTCAGCATAGCATTCCAAAACTATTTATTGGCAACGGGACACTGGTATTTGAGCAAAGTGCATGTCTTGGGGCCTCTCAGCAGCTTCTGTGACCGCATCACCAATCGTGGTGGCCGTGCGGGCTTCTTTCGACGAATGCTTAGAGGCTTCACCCGTGCCCTCAAAGATACCGCCTACATCTCCTATCTTAATCTCCAGGCCATCACGCAGATCGTGCTCTGGACGACAGTGTTCACGGTATTGGCGCTCGTGGATATCAATAACGGTGACTTGATCTTCTTGGCCAAACGCCTTGGCCGCTTATCAG